TAAGACTTTTATATTAATCTATTAATATTTAAATTACTATTATTAATTAATAAAAGTTAAGTAAACCTAATATTTTATTAGCATAAGTATATTTAATAAGATAAGGTACCTATTTAATTATAGGTCTTTATTAATAGCAATATATTAATAAATTATCTTATATATCTACCCTTTATTATTTATTATAATTAATAGGACTTTTTAGATATTATATTAAAGAATATATAGTCTTCTTAGCGCTTTTAGTCTATAAGCTTTACTTAAGAGCTATTATAGCTATTATTTCCGCATAAAAATAATATTAATTAAGTCTACCTTTAAGTATATATTAAAGCCTATATTAATCGAGACCTTATATCGAGACTATATCGTTATTGATATAGTTAAGTATCTTATCGCCTTTATTTAAGGTATAACTATTAAGGTATAAGTATTTACTTTAACTTCTAGGAGTTTTTTAATAACTTAAAGCTACCTCTCTCTTTATATAATTATAAGTAAGCCCTCTAAAAATATCTTTCCTCTCTATAATTAAAGTAATATAATTTATCCCCTATTAATAAGGACGTTAAGGTAGTATTTACCCCTATAGCTAGGGTAGATAACTTATTACCTTATTAGCTACTTAATCCTCTATTATTATATCTTCGCTTAATAAATTACTTACTTTCTTACGAGCCTATATCTCTCCTCTTAGTCTTATAGTCTATTAAGTCCTAAACTTATTATATAATTTAGATAATTAACTTATATATCTTATTCTCGATAGATATCTATAGGTTAATCTAGCGTTATAACTTAGGCTATAATTTCCTAAAAAAGGTAAAAATATAGTCTATCTTATTAATGTATTTAAAGTATTTCTCTATAGAATTTAAGTAAATACTAAAGTCTATAAAGGATTAATTTTCTTATTATATCGCATTTTACCTTTAGGCTATAAAGATCGCCTTATAGTTAATAAAGTCCTAAAGGAGTATATAGGTTTACTCTTTAAAGTTAAGCTAGCTAGCTTTAATTTATTCTTATTAAATTATTAACTATTCGTTAAGATATTAATCTTATCTTACCTTTCTTTCGCGATATATATAGTTAAGGGTAAAGATAATCTTCTTCTTATCTTTATAGAACTTATATAATACCTTTATAAATACTCGCTTAATATCTTATAGCTAGTCTTATTACCGCTATAAGTTAGTTAAGTACCTTAACTCTAAGAAGTTTATAACCTTTACTTTATTACTTTTATTATTACTACTTAATAAATTAAAAGTACCTTACCTCTATTTTTATAATATAGCGTTAATATAGCTTACTTAAATAAGAGACTTATATAATTCCTTTTCTTTTACTTAAAGAGCTTAAAGCTCTTCGAGCTACTTAATATAGGCTTAAACCGCTTAAGCTTATTCTTCGATAGGGATATCTCTTAAGGTAAGATCTTAATTAGCTAAAGGCATACCTAAAATTCGGGTCGAGCTACTCGCTAGCTCTTTAAGAGGGTTATTTCCTAGTAATATATTAATACCTTTATATAGTCTCGATAGCGCTATTACTACTCTTAAGTAACTATAATAAAAGCTTTAGGAATTATAATAATAATAAGTCTTATAAATTAATTAGGTAAGAGAGGTAATAGCTATATAGTCTAGTAACTATTACTATTATTACTATAAGTTAGAGACTAAAGCTTAAAGGTCTATATAGCGTTTCGCTAGCGACCCGCTAGAGGTATACCTTAGCGGGCCGGCCGTTACGTATATACTATATAGCTATTAAGGCTCTAAGTCCGGCCGACTATTATATAAGCTCTATATTAACCTCTAGGCTATTAGGGTTAATATATAGCTAGATACTATAAGCTATAGCTATCTATTTAATATTAATCTCTTAATTAATTTAATTAATCGGTCCTTTAAGCCTTAATAAAGCTAGGTACGATCCTAAATTAAGTAATATAGTTAATACCTTAATAATATTATAAGGGTATATAATACTTAATTAAAACTTAACTAGCTAGAGTCTTATAGACTTCTAGCTTTATTAATTAATAAGTTAGATAAATAGCTATATATAAAGCTAATTATAGCTCTTAAAGGACTTTTAGTTATTAAGTTATACCCCTTTATCTCTTAGGTTATTAATAAAGGTTTAGTATATTAATAAGTAATAATAATATAATTAATACTCCTCCTCTAAATAATAGATTTTTGCCTAATCGGGACTTAGAATAGCCTTATAGTAGCTTAAATACTTAATTAAATAGATTATAGGCTCTTTAAGCTTTAACTATAATAGAAACTAGGCTTATAACTATTATATAGAACGTAAGGGTTATATTAAGAGATATATATTACGCTAAGGAGCCCTATCTAGGGATACCTCCGGTCTAGGTCTATATATATATAGGCATTACTTAAATACCTTAAATAAGGCTAATCTCCTATAGTAAATGCCTATAGTATAGGTATTAAGTTAGAACGGTAACCTACGGTAAGGGCATGCCGTAGGTAACGCCGACGGCGATACGCGGCGCCCGATAAGGGTTTTAGTGCATAAAAAATAGGTAGGTCGTGACCCTCTGTCACGGTGGCCGCAACAATTGCCGACTCGTTTCGGATCGCCATGCGGCCTGGTGCCAAGCCAACGTTCCCCGTCCCATGCCAAGATGCAAGTAGCCAACGGTCATGGATTCTACAAAGCGCTCGTGTGCCCCCGTCTAGCGACTTATTCACGGTCACAGTGATTCCCACATGCATGTACGGCCTTTTCGCCTCGTATCATGATGACGCACCTCCGGTCCCGCTGGCATCGTTGACCTCGTCGGGCCGGCAGGTTAGCTATGCTACGATGTTTGTCGCTTTGTTGCTTGTAAACTGCTGGCAAAACAGTGGTTTAGGAGCGTACGATATCTGGGATTGACGATATCGAGTTCGTTATCATCCTCTACAAAAGCCGGCGGAGCAAAAGCATCTAGGTCGAACATACTCAATGGGCACACGCGGGCTCTCATTTCCGCCAGACCCCATGCCCTCCCGTACTCAGCCCTCTCTGCCCTTTCAAATGCTCACGTGAAAGCTCCGAACAGCCGGGAGCCAACTGCCGACCAAGACGAGGTCACCGAAACCGTACTTCCATGACTGCACAAGTCGATGTAAGTACATGTATCTGACACGTCAACTATAGTTGGCATAATTGATCTGAAGCTCACAAATCACCTTGCCCAAGGTCTTTGAGGTGCAGGCCGTGCTGTTCCAGATGCATGCCAGACTCAAAGTAGGGATCTACGCTCCATGTCTACCTACTATTTGAGAAACGAGCTTCGAGAGTCCGAATGTCCATGATTCAATGAGCGAACTCTGTATGGCCTTGAGGAGTTTCAGCCTGACGCACGGAAGCCGCTGACTCGGCACCAGCTTGACTACCTCTTCTCGCAGAGGAGAGCTTGTAGTGAACAAGGCTCGACGAGGTGCTGTACAACATGGCATTGGCACATTCCATAGCATCTTTCCTTTTGCGCGGTCTCAAGGAGCTAGGGCAGACAGGCCTGTCGTGCTGCCTGAGCCTCTATTATCCTCGGCTCTTTGCGTGTCAAGCATGAACGCTACTGGATCACGGGAGCAAGTTCGAGAAGCCTTTCCTCTCGGGCCAGCTTGCGAGCGGCCCTTATGGGTATTATATCATTCTCGTAGGGGCTGAAGTGATGTTCAGATATCGACTTTGGACCTTAAGACCGAAATGAAGGCTTGAGAGAAGAAGGTGTGACGAAGCAGCGACCCAACGACAGAAGTTGCTCATTCCTTTCCCATGATGGCTGATACAGATCGCTGGGCATTCCCTAACACTACATGCATGTTTGATGGGGCCGAGAAAGCTCCAGGGACGAAGGCGAGATACAAATTTATCGCGGAGTTCACGCTGATTAGCTACCCTGTCGGAGTACCCCCGGCAAAGGGCTCATGCAAGGGTCGCAAGGAGCCGACGACATCGCTGACTTTATACAACACGTCGTTCGAAGTAGTTACCAGGGGTTTCGTATGCTCGCTAATACAGCCTGTGAGCCAAATAATATAAAGAGGAGCCATACTCCCCTCAAATTCCCGCGGAACAACTTCACATGTTTCGCCTCGGAAGCGACACCACTTGTCTGGAAATGCGCAACCGCCAACTCAAGAGTCTCTTTTCACCCCCCTCATGAAATCGAATCTACCCGGGTACGGAGGCCGGCAAGAACCATGAAATCCTCCTCCCACGAACCCTGATCCTCACAAAAGCGCTGGCCCAGACTCAATGGCGGCATCACAAACTGCACACAGCTGCAGGGTCCGCGGCCGTGCTATTGGCAGATATTTCTGCGTTTTTCAGCCGCAGCCAGGGAGACTTGCAGTGCCATTGGTCGCCAGGTCGCAATCGCGGCTCCTCTGCTCCTGGTTGGAGTTTCACTTGCGGTCCGGCTCTCGGGAGGCGCGCTAGGCTAGGGACGGCGCGTGCCCGCGTGTGGTTGAAGCAGGGAGCTTAACTCAAAGCACGGGGAAGCCCTGCCTCAACCAGGCAAGCATTGCGGGTCGAAGCTCGACATCGCTAAGATCCAAAGCTGACGGTCGCATCGCCAGGACTGGGTTTCTACGGTCACGACACCTCGCCTGCGCTTGTGGCTTGCCGAGACCGGCGGATGTCGCTTCCACCCGTCATCCTGAGCATGGCCGGCTCAACGGGCTGGGTTTCTGAAGGGAGGACCAGACAGGCCGATGGGTGAAGGGGCCAGCCATGAGGGGAGAGTTCGGGGGGTCGTCTGGGTGCTTTACCCGGGCAAGGGGATTTCTGGTGCTTGAAGCAATGGTCTTGTCCCCTCCGTCGAGCAACCAGGAGAGACCGCGACCCGGTTTGCACCTTTCACTCACCAAACGGTATCCATCAGCCAAACTTGGGGCATCACCTTCAACTCCTGGCAGACGATAGATATCTGGCCCCCAACAATACGACTCGCAATGAAGCCCGCCATGGCGTTTCAACGACCCCAGGCCGTCTTTGCTCAGCGCGTCCTTCTCCTGGCCCTCCTAACACGTCTCACGATGGCCAGCCAGGTCAGCATCCGAAGCAACGTACCCGACAATGCGCACGACTGCGTCGGCGGGTGCCTCGTCCAATCCTACTACAATCTGGGCAAGGCGATGGCATGCGGCTCCCCACTTGACAACGACTGTTACTGCGCAACGGCCAGCGCGTCCGTGAGTGTCGCGAGCGCCTTCATCGACAAATGCGTCAGCACAGCGTGCGCGGGCGGCGACGCCTCGAAAGACCGGTCGATCATGCGGAGCATATACGGCGCGTACTGCCTGGGAGCCGGGTACACGCAGCCTGGGATATCTTCGTGGGTGCCGGCTGTTGCGACGACGGATTCGCCCAGTTCTACCCGGGCGGAGGCTTCCAGGCCTTCCGAGACAGGAGGTCCCAACTCGGTGCCGACCCAAACCGAAGAGACCTCGGGAGGTGGCGTAGCCACCAAGTCGCAACGTAAGTCTATTCTTTTAGGTGTCGTCTGCTCTTCTAAACGTTCCGATTTGAATGACTCCAACTTATGCTCATTGCTTGCAGCGACAGGAGCAGCAACCGTAACCGTGTTCGCCACCTCGACACCGGAGCCCAAGGACAACAGTGCAGTTAAGATTGGAGTTGGTGTTGCGGTTCCTGTCGCGGCGCTGCTTGCATTCGGGCTTGGCTTCTGGCTATGGATGAGGCGGCGTCAACGCAACTACAACGCGGGTCCTGGCCACGCGCAGCCACCGATGCAGCAGAACTACTATCAGCAGCCGCCGCCACCCCAGCAGCAACCACAGGATTACCAGAATTACACCCAGGGCGCTGCCGGAGTAGTCAGGAAGGCGGTGCCAGCGCCGACAGTCTCGCCCGTCTCGCAGTCAAAAGGGGTCACAGGAGGCGACAACCGGCCGCAGGAGCTCAACAGCCAATTCGCGCCTCCAGCTCCAACCAGTCCTGTCAGCCGGTCCACCACCATCGCAACTCAAGGACAGTACACCATGGCGCCGGTAGCCGGGCATGGGTCCGAATTTCCAGGCCAGACGCAAACGCAGCACCAGCACCCTGCCTCGGAGCTGAGTTCCTACCCGCCGGGTTACGATGATGGGCGAGGCACGCCCAGGTGGGAACTTGCTGGGAATGCGCGGTAGCTGCCAAGAGGCTAAGTAGTGGGTTGTGGGTGTTGCGATTACCAGATTGGGGATGATGCTGCGATTACCGGATTGGGAATGATGCTGCGAGGTGCCCGGGACCCTTGAACGCGACATAAACGAGAGACGATGGATATATCTGCCACGAGCATTGCTTGAGTATAAAGGGGGGGAAGATTTTCCTCGGATTTCTCCAGGAACTTGTCATTCTTCTTTCTTCGAGAAATAACAGTCTTTGTTACAATTGCCGCCATACAATTGCACCTGTTGCTGCACACCTCAAGCTGTGGACGTCCCCACACCCCACCACAGCACACGACCTCCCCCCAAGCCTCACAACCATGTCTGCCACAATGACCGAGAAGACACAAACGCTCGCCGTTGATGAGCAACCATCTTTCACACCAACAAAGGTCTTTTTCATCAACTCATCAAGTGGAGACTTCTCCGACGAGCTGCACGTCCTCGACCTGACGTCCAATGTCACACTATCGCCGTGCTCCAGCACAAGCCCCATTCCAGACAGCCTCCGCGACGAAGTCGAGCGCGCCGCCACGAAACAGAAAAATGATCGCTCCGCCTGGTCTTTTGAGCTCACGCGAGGTACCTTCTCCTCTACCATGGAATTCCACGACGCGTCCGCCGGCGGCGCCGTCGCCGCGGAGCTCGACATGCCCGTCCTCAAGCACTACAGCGTCTGGAAGGTGCGCTTCCCGGAAGGGTCCCCGCACTCGAGCCACGACGTCGAGGTGCGCCCCGTGAGCATTTGGAAGAAGCAGGAGACGTTCGTCAAGGACTCGGTGCCGTACCTGTGGGACATGTCCATGGGCGGAAAGGGCGGCGTTCTGTACAAGACTGTCGAGTTTGAGAAGCGTGTGCCGGTTGCCCAGTTTGTCGCCAAGAACTGGCTCAAGAACTGCTGCGTGCTGGTTCTTGATGACAGACAGCTGGATGCTGTGGTTGCACTGTCGACGTGTGTGGCAGTGTTGAACCGGGATATTTAGACCGGCCTTGCCGGCTCTGGGCTTGAGCGTTGTCATTGAGCATGTCATTTTCCCTATGAGACTTGAATTCCTGCGAATTTTACTGCTTGCTCTCCCTCCTTCTCAGATGAACCCTTCTCGCAATACTCGAAGTTCCTCAACCGAGCTCGCTATTCGTCCGTGTAGTCGCGTTTGAATCACATTCAGGTGAGCCAGCACCTTCTTCCAGTTCTGCAGCAGCACTTCTTGAGTCTCAACGTCGAACCGCTCCAACCTTACTGTATACTTGCCCGGGTACGTCTTCGACCACTCTTCGCTGACATTACTTATTGACTCCACTACAATGTCAATGTGTGACCGGAAGCTATTGAGCAGTAAAATGAGTTTGGAACACGTCCTAGAGCTCTCGTGTGTCGTGTCGGATAGCAGCTGATCCAGCCGCGGGACGTCTCTTTGGCTATCGAGCTGCTCACAGAGGTGCGTTAGCACTCATCATCAGCGTCTGCACTTGAAGAATGACGAACTCGGATCTTGAATGTCTGCTCGACCCGGTCGAGTGTGCGACTCCAACCCTTCTCCCAGTCGTCTAGCACCGACCAGAGCACCATTTGGAATAGGGCAACTCCTCCTGCCCCAGCTGGAGATTGTAAGCCGCGCTCATCCCACGACTGCTCTGTCACGTTCAGTCGACGGTGGCCCGTATCCCCGACAATGACGCCTACCACCGCTGGCGACGCGGCCGGATTATGGCGCTGGTAAGGTGTCGCGATTCTCATGGCGACCCAGGTCCGGCACTCTATGAATGCCATACTGCGCGATTTGTGCCCGAACCGAATAGGAAGGGTGAATCGGCCACGGTCGACGCGCACCCCGGAACCCGTCTTCGCTCCGTACGCCCACGACGGCCAAGGGTCGTCCACGCCATAAAAGTGCAACACCACGTGGAAATGCATCCAGAAATTGGACGACGTGCCGAGCACCGACGATAGGCTCTTCTCATCGCTGACGTGGGCAGGTCCTTGTTCGGGCTTTGCTTCGCGGCTGAACCCATGGAGACCATCCAGACACCACGACATGTCCCGGTCGGCGAACGGGTCGTGAACGCCCAGTCGGCTCTTCGTAGGATCGGACAAGAGGCACAGAATGGCGCTTATTATCGGTAACGACAATGGCTGAATCTGAGTCCGAGTGAATGACCTGGGGATAACCACTTTTAGTCAGGACGCAGTCGTCTCAGCTCGTGAGGCTCTTCACTAACCATATCTGACCCGAAGAGAACGGCTTGCCGTGCAGTACAGTACCCGATGGGAATTCTGGGATGGCGGAAGCTTCAAGTTCTTGGGCTGATCGGTCGCGGATGGCTGTAAAAGCCTGCATTAGTACTAGATCAGCCAAGCTTGAGCCGCACAAGGTGAGTCAGACTGTCACTCACGTAGCTCTGGCTGGAACAGACTAGTTTCCCATGACTATTTCGAGAAAGAAGACACAAAGCTACGCCTTCCGCGTTCAACTGCTTCGAAGCAAGCCAGTGGAAGATGTGGTATTCAGGAGCAGTGGCATCCGTCAACTGGAGACCGACGTGTCGCCGCCGTGACGGCCCGATCAGCGCATCAGGCCAGAGTTGTTCGACGAGCTTCGCCGCCTTTTCCACAATTGCTATTCCGCCTGGGCCAGGATCGGGGTGGCTGCTGATGTGTTTGAGCGGCACGAGGAGTGGCTTTGGGTGAGGGGCATCTGCGTCGGCCGACGAGATGTCAAATTGGAGTTGAGCGCCCCAAGCGGCAAGACGCGCCGTGATGCGTGGATCTGTGGCGTGGAAGTCGTTTCCGGGAATTGGCCCCGACGGCGCCCTCTCCGGGTCTGAGCTGATGAAGTCGCGGTGGATATAGTACCACGGCAGTGTTTGCGTCTCGAGGACAGTGGGGACGTCAAAGACGGATAGGAACTTGTCGCGCAAATCTCGCAGCGTGTCCTCTATGGGCAGAAGCTGTCCGGGGCAGAAACGTTCGCCGTCGTTGACAATGCGCCCAAGGTCTGTCTCCCCCATTTTGTTGCTGAGCAATGCGAGCCTGAATCAACGTCCCCTCAAATCGTTTGAGTGTTTGTGTTCAGCGCAGGGTGACCGGCACGTCTGTTGAGCGAGGCAGCCAAGACTTCAAGGACTTCCCCACAGACTGAACATTTCCGCAAAATTTCCGTCAGATTGGGCCGAAGACCAGTCGCAAAACGGGTTGGCAGGTTTTCTGTCTTGCTCAGACTGTGCTACGGGCGGTTTTGTCTGTCTTGTTGGCTGCGCTGTGGTCTGTCCTGTGTTCTGCTCCAGAGTGGCACAGTATAATAACCTGTAACTCCATCACTCGCCATCGATCCAACTGGCGTGTGGCTTTGCGCCATCCAGCGCTGTGCTACGGCCAATGGGTGCTGCTGTGCCCCAACAAGTGTTTGTGAGGTGGATCGTTGTTAATTGCGCCTGGCCGTGCGGCGACATCATAGTCTGTGTCCGAAAATTACCGGTGATTGCCTTGTACAAGAAAACATGCTCACCTTACTTCGTTTCGTAGGAAGGGCCGAAGCAAGCATGCGTGGCGATCAGCGCATCCGGGCTCCAGCCTCCCAACTGTCCGCTTGCAGAGGTAGATACTGACTGTGCAATGAATTACACGTCTCGGGCTCAAAGCTTGACTCACTCCTCAAAGCCTAGCGACTATGCCGTGTTGCTGTTCAGACACCGTAGCGGGGAATCTAGTTCATGTTGGCGATCCACATCCATACGGGTGATAGGAGGTATCGAACCGGCTGGCAGGGTCGTCGGAACGGGAGGAAATGTGACATGCAAGGTATGAGTTCGCCCCGTTTTTGTGACGCTCCAATTGCTCGGTTCCTGGAACCACCCGCCCGTTCATCCCCTCACTCGTGGAGATTATCCGTACTGTGCAGTGTGCACCCTGCAGGCCTGCACCGTCATCCGTGCGTCTGAACCGCCGCCCAACAGAAACGACGGAGCAAAGACGGCGGTGAGTTCAGGGTCATCAGCCGAGTCCCGTCCATCTCCACAATCGCCAGCGGCCAAAACTATGCAGATTCACTGACTCAGGAAGAACGGCATTAGGTATCAGTCATCCTCAACGCGGCCGGCTGCCGGAGATCGGGCTGTCGGCATGTCGTTGATGCAAGTGGGGCGCGCCTTGTGGCAATGTCTTGTCATGACAATGGCGGCCCCCCCCCACCCCCCCCTTTTCTTGGCGCAAGCTCGCCTTCTGCAAACACGCAACCCCAGCCGAACGGACGGTTTTGAGACTTAACGAGTTCGTCAGGCTTGAAGAGGAGAATCTTCGAAAATGCTTCTCTTCAAAACCTCTGGTTGTTCCAGCAATTCCAATTGACAATTGAGTTGCGGCCTACAATGTCTCAACGACACGGACAAAAGCAATCAAATGGTCGAGACCATTTTGGCGATGTCAAACTAGTTCAATGCGGCGCACGCCTTGCCAGCTTGTCAAGCTAAAGCCCAACGACCCACTGTTCCATGTCGAACTGCCGCGTGAGGGGATATAACAAGGGCACGACAGCCTCCTGCGACGGCGTTGGGTGATGTGGTGACGAGGGGACGGTCAACGGTCAATTACCCGAAGAAACATCACGCCGCATCACGAGCCTGTACGGTGGTCTGCACTGTCCTCTGAGCATGGGCTCCTCACAACCATCACCCCTCGGGGAAGACTTGGATGCTCTCTGCACAACCCTGCAGTCCATCCTGCCCCGCCTCCTCACCGCAACTCACAACGTCAAGAACCAGCCACTATTCAAGGTCGCCCAAAAATCCGATTATGCGCACTTGCGTCAACTCAGCACGCCGGGGCCGCCCAGCGATATCAACCAGGTCATTGACGATGCGTTCGCCATTGCCGATTTCCGCGCGCGGATGAGCCATCCACGGGCCATGGCATTTATCCCGTCGCCAGTATCCCCGTATGCTTGGCTTGGCGATGTCTTGGCCAGTGCCTTCAACACGTTCGCCGGGTCTCGGTTGCAAGGTTCCGGCTCGAGCATCGTGGAGAAGACAATGATTGACTGGCTTGCGGCCAAGGTCGGGTTGCCAGAGACGACTGCCGGCGGCGTCTTCGTTTCCGGGGGTTCCATGGGCAACCTCTTGGCCATGGCACTGGCAAGAGATCACCGGCTCCCACGTGGACAGCAGTCTTCTGGGGTCATCTATGTCTCCGAGCAGACGCATCACTCTGTTAGCAAGGGCCTCCGCATCCTTGGCTTTCACAGCTCTCAAATTCATCAAGTTCCATCCGATGAAACCTTCAGGCTGGATCCTGTCAAGTTAGCCCAGGCGATACAGGCCGATCGTGATGCCGGACTCGCCCCATTTGTCGTTGTCGCTTCCTGCGGCACGACGAACACGGGTGCCATCGACCCCCTGGCCGAGATCGCGGAGTTGTGCAAGAGGAAAGGCATATGGCTACATGTGGATGGAGCCTACGGAGCGTCTGCATCTCTGTCCGCTACGCACAGTCACTTGACGGCGGGGCTTTGTCACGCGGACAGCATCTCCTGGGATGCACACAAGTGGCTGTTCCAGACGTACAACTGCGGTATCTTACTTGTTAGGGACAAGACAACGCTGCTCGAGAGCTTCGCGTCACAGGGTGACTACCTCCGCGATGCGTTGGCAGACGACGAAGTGCCCAACTTCTGGGACTGCGGCCTCGAGCTCACGCGAGGGGACCGCGCGACAAGGTTGTGGTTCACCCTCCGAGTGCTCGGGGAGAAGCGCTTCGGTGAGATGATAGACCACGGGTTCTCTCTGGCAGAGGCAGCGGAGGAGGAACTGGGCAAGTTGCCAGACTGGGAAATTGTGAGCCCAGCCAGCATGGCTATTCTCGCTTTCCGCTTCGCGCCGAGTGACACAGCGGACGCTGAGCGGAACGAGCTAAACGTTGCCATCTCTAAGCGCCTTGTCGCCGAGAATACTGCGGGGATACTCACGACAAAGCTGCGCGGAGTAGTTGTCATGCGGCTGTGTGCCATTAGTCCCTCCCTGGGTGTGGACGAGATGCGAGGTATCGTGCGAGAGATGGACAGACTGGCTAGGCAAGTGTGCTGCAAACCTTGGAATCCATGACAGGATGTAACAACAGTCGGAGAGCCTCGCAACGGCCCAATACATGTGTCGTTGTCTCTGACAGCCAATATCGTGGAGCGACCTTGTGACGATGTTGTCGCCAAGTGGGGCGAAGGTTGCCGTGATTCGGTTCGACGCACGCAGCGGTGCAGATGCAGGCAGTCTACAGTGCAGGACGGCTTCACGAGCCGGATCCAACAGCTCGAGATGGCGAGCATCCACCAGGTGAGGCCATCGTGGCAGAGTGATGGCTGCGGTGAGTGGTCAGACCAACCTCGGGTTGGACTGAACACTATCGGACATAAATATTCCCGTATTGTCTGTAAGGTTTGGATGTAACATTGGCCAGCTCTGAAGGGATGGTTGGGCAACTTACCCGAGTTGGTACGTGTCGGATCGTGCGCTGTGCCAAGAGGCGGCAGTGTGATGGCGGAGTCAGCAACTGACTTGCGATTCCCCGGTACCTGGCGCGCGCGGGGGGCACCCGTGCACCTGCAGCGGCGGGACGTGGCATTTGTGCTGTGTGTCAGTGTTCAACGTCTAGCCCCTGGCAGATCGATCGTGCATGCCCGGTGGTCCTTGTCGAGTTCTTGCAGCCCAGATTGTCTACTCAACGGCAACACAGGCGCCGCCCAGCCTGAGATGAGCGAGCGGCAAGGAGTGCCCGAGCAGTGAGTTTCGACGGCAATGGTAGGTTACACTAGAAGAGGAGCTTGCGCTGCGCTGTTCGCCCGCATCTCATGATGTGCTGCTCGCGCGAGGGCTGGTGGGTTGGCCGTCGCGGTTAGCTGACCTGCATTCCGCCAGCCATGCATGGACGGGGCCGTGGCGTGGCGTGGAGTGACGGGGCCAGCCCGCCAATGGCCGCCCGCCGGCTGCGAGCGCAGACGGGCGCAATGGGTATAACGCGGCGGCACAGGTGATGGGCTGCGTGCCATGCCTAACTCGTCGACGCTCTGCGGGGGAGAAGGAGGGGCGGTGGTTTGTTTGTTCGGGGAGCCCACGGGGTTCTGTCGTGGCCTGTTCTTCTCGAAGTCGGGATTCGGCTCGCGGCATCTGGCCACTCCTTCAGCCACTGGGCCGGGGCAAGGCACGCTGTAAACGGCGGGGAGGGAGGGGCCAGGGGTCGGCCGACAGTGGCCACCTCCACTGCTGCGGCCACCGCACCGGCCGCCGCTCACTGGCCGCCCCGGGCAGCGCGAACAGGCGAGGGGAGCCCTTCTGGGACCCCTGTGGGGGGGTTGCTCGCTCTGGGCACGTCGCGGGCTCCGCGTCGGGGAAACTCCCACGTCGCTCTTGCCCGTCCCTCGTGCTGTGCTGCGCTGCCATTTTTTCCAAGCTTGTAGCCATCGTACGTACCCCATGTACTTACCTGCGTGTTGCCCAGTCCGGACGGTAGACGAGCCAGAGTATCCAAGGTGGGCTCCAGCTTGCAGCCCCTCCCGCCCTCTGGCGTTCTTGCCCGCTTGCCCGCACTGCACGGCGGCAATGCGCGGCCATGCCATGGGCCGGCCGCGGCACGGTGGCAGGTGGCAGGTGGCAGGAGGCAGGAGGCGCGACTGAGACAGGAAGGAGCCACCATCTCGAGCCCGCCAGCTCGCGAGTTCACGTTCGTGCCTGCCAAGGTCCGGTACCTGCCTCCCTCCCGTAGTGCTCCAACAAAGTACCTGCACAGGTACCTCGAACGGGAGTACCTTCCCTACGCATTTTACTTTCCCAGCACGAAGCACACCCCGTTCCTCCAGTCGCGCTGCAAGACTCTCCGCATCGCTTGCAAGTACTGACCGCGTACTGTTGCATGGAGCCATAACGTACCGTCCCTGTTGTACTTGGTCGAAGCCGGGGTAAGATATAAAAGGTATAACAGCACGACACCTCCATGCCACCCCTCATGCCCTTTCTCGTCACCCACTTCCCGTCCTGCACTTGATATAATATATCCAGACGGCTTGGCCAGCTCGTCGTTCCCTTGTGTGTCGCAAAGCGTCCTGCTGTCGACCCATTGAAGCACTGGGTCGTTCCCCTCTTGTCCATCCCAGCTCCTGCTCCCTCTCCAACATCATGGCCCGCGCCAGGGTCGAAGCTGTCGATGATGTCGACAGCTCGCCCGCCATCCAGACCGTCTCTGAGGAGAAGCCGACCTTGAGCCGCATTATGAGCCGCTACGGCGACCAGATCCCTCATGAGATGATGGAGACGCTTGCTCCCAACGGCGAGGCCGAGTATATCCTCGACAAGATCAACAACATGTCCGAAGACGAAGCCATCGCCATCATCACCGAGTCGCTCGAATTTCACTCGGACGACTGGAACTTCCCCTCGGATATGCGTGAGCGCATGCAGAAGCTCCTTCTGGGGCCCAAGGCCTACGGAGAGTTCTACGACCGCGACCTGCGCATTGATGCAACCATGATGAAGTACTCGTCGCCCTACCCCGGTGTCCGTGCTGTCGCCAGCCCCATCGATGATGAGGTGCCCATTGAAACGTTCCGCGCCTACTTTCTGGGCATAGGCTGGGCCATCATTGGCACCTTTATCGCGACCTTCTTCAACTCGCGTTTCCCTGGCATCAGTGAGTTCAATCCACACGGAGGGACCCAGCGGCGTGAGATGAGATGCTGAAGGTTTCTTTTCCAGGCCTCGGCAGCTATGTCATCCAGATCTTCTTGTTCCCGTGCGGCAAGTTCCTTGAGAAGGTTCTCCCTGACTGGGGCTTCACCGCGTTTGGCTCGCGTCATACGCTCAACCCTGGGCCCTGGACGTTCAAGGAGCAGATGTTTGCCACCATCACCTACAACATTGCCATCTACACAACCAACGCCTACGGCATGATCCTTGTCCAGCGCTCTTCCGTTTATTATGGCCTCGACTTCATCCACTTCGGGTACCAGCTGATGCTTACCCTCTTCACCCAGCTCATGGGCATGGGTTTCGCCGGCTACCTCCGTCGCTTCAGTGTGTACCCTGTCAAGGCCCTGTGGCCCACCCTGCTGCCCATCATCGCCATGAACAGGGCTCTCACCAAGGCAGAGCCGCGCGAGAACATCAACGGCTGGACCATCTCCCGGTTCAGGTTCTTCCTATACACCGCCGCCGGCATGTTCGTTTACTACTGGCTACCCGGTTACCTCTTCACCGCGTTGTCGCAGTTCAACTGGATGACGTGGATCGCCCCCGACAACTTCCTCCTTGCCCTGCTGACGGGCTCCAACATGGGTCTCGGCTACTTCAACCCCATCACCACCTTTGATTGGAATGTCGCCACCTCGTCGTATCAAGCGCTGTCACAGCCCTTCTTTTGCACGTGCACCATGTACTTTGGCAGCATCTTCGGCGGGCTCATCATCCTGGCCATCTTCTACAAGAACGCCTACAACACAGGCTACATCCCGATTAATTCGTCGTCAGCATTTGCCAACGACGGGACACCATACAAGGTTCAGAATGTCGTCACAAACAACAAGCTTGACTTCGACAAGTACCAAGCGTACTCGATGCCTTTGTACTCGGCAGGCTACATCCTCACCGTCGCCGCCAACTTCGTCTTTTACCCCGTCTATTTTCTCTACATGATGTTCAACCAGTGGAAGACGGTATCCAAGGCCTACGTTGACTTTTACAAGGGCCTTCGCTATGGCAAGGGCAACTACGAGGATGCAATGGACGTGCACAGCCGCACCATGGCCAAATACAAGGAGGTGCCCGACTGGTGGTTCCTTGTCATCCTTTTTGGTGCCATTATCCTGTCGTGTGTTTTCGTCAGTGTCTACCCGCTGGACACGCCCGTGTGGCTCGTCTTCCTCATCATCGGCATCAACCTCGTTTTCGCGGTGCCCTTGTCCCTGCTTTCTGCGACCACGGGCACCAACCTGAGTCTTGGCACTCTCATTCAGATCATCACAGGCTACCTCCTGCCCAACAACCCGAACGCCTTCCTCTTCGGACAGACCCTTGGCTCGTGGGCTCTGGCGGGCTACGGCGACAACTATGTGCAAGATCAAAAGATGGCTCACTACACCAAGATGGCACCGCGAGCCGTTTTCCGCTCCCAAATTGGCACCATCATCATCACTTGCTTCGTCGCCGTTGGAACGCAGAACTTTATCCTCAACAACGTCGAAGGACTCTGCACCCCAGACCAACCGAGCAGGTTTACGTGTGCCAACGACGGCGCGCCGCTCTATGCCAACTCACTCATGTGGGGGCTTCTCGGGTCGGATCGCATGTTTGGCCACTTGTACCCAATCCTGAAGTGGTGTTTCCTCATCGGCGCGCTCATCGCGCTCGTCTTCCTCGTGGGCCAGAACTACGGGCCAAAGTACCTCCCGCAGGTCAAGGAGAAGCTGCGTCGGTCGCTCCGCCCAAACACATTTGCAAAGCTGGACAAGACGCTGTTTCCCTTCGTGGCTTCGTTGTTGTGGCTTAACCCCATCCTCGTCATTCAAGGAGTTCAGCACTGGGCGCCGTCCAACATGTCGTACAAGACCCCAGGTTTCATCCTCTCCTACATTTTCATGTACTGGATGCCGAGACGTCGGCTGGCCTGGTGGTCCAAGTACAACTACACTCTGTCAGCGGCGCTCCAGGTCGGAGTCGCTGTCTGCGCTCTCGTCATGTTCTTCGCCGTGTCTTATCACCCCAAGACCCTGAAGTGGTGGGGGAATACAGTCAGCGGCGCCGGCATGGATGGCAAGCAGATTGGAAGGTTGCCTATTCCAGCGCGTGGATATTTTGGCCCTGAGAAGGGCACGTTCCCTTAGAAGTGCAGAGAGGCAGATTCCAGACGGCTCGTGGTGGCCGTGACTCAGGTGGGCGAAGGTGTTGGCTTATATTTTGCAGATTGGCAAGGTCGAAGCGTGGTTCATTCTAACACAAGCGTCTTCGTCACGATTTCCCATGGCATACAAGCGTCGAGCCAAAGTTTTCACTTTAGTCAGAATCATAGCTCAGCACCAAAGATTGACACATTGGCATTGAACTTGAACCTGGACATACTCATCACCTTTCTTGGAGGTCTACCGTGCAGCCTCGGTTTCCGAAGCCGCAGTTACCGTTTGGAGCGCCGTCCTGGTGGTGAATCGCCGTGCAACTGCTTACCGGAGCGCTAGCAAGCTCCTTCCCATGCAGGTTTGAGGCTACATTGTTCTTGCTTCCACATGTCTTGCGGGCCATTGGGCGGGGGCTTTCTCAAACGCGGGGTGCAGCGGTCGTGCTTGTGCTTATCGTTTGGAGATGACGATGACGATGACGCTACGACTCGGATGCTATCTTGGAGACGAGCTCTAAATAGCAGCAGGTAAAGTCACAGAGCTGCTGCTACCTGGCGTTCGACAAATCTGCCGTCTGTACGAAGTACATGCGAATCTACATTTGTACGGATGGGGACAACCCCATGGTTCTCGACCGCGTTCTTCGTGGGATCCAAGGTTCTGGAGCGGGACCTGAAAGCCTGGAGGCATAGGTAGCGGAATGATCCGTTCGAGGCGCGATGTGACGCCGGAAAGCTACCAAGCCTGGGGCAGGCCGAGTTCACATCCCGGAAACAGAACCGCCCTTCCTTCCGACGGGTTCAGCCCTGGGAAGAAATAGTTGACGGGACGGTGGTGTCGAAATTCGCTCACCGCATTGTTCCCTCTATGCTGCATGCCCTTAAGGTTGTATTCGTTCCTCATGTGGCCTATTTGATGCGGCTGTTTGCTGGGTGCACCGCACGCACGTGGGCAGCGAGCTCCGGACCTCATCCCTGCAACGAGCGTCAATGCATGCGCCGCCGGTTACATTCGTCTCCCTCCCGCGCGCCGTGGTCAGCAACAACTTCCGTGCCACCGAATCCCTGCCGGGGAGACTCTAGAGGTGGACGGTCCGGGGAGGAGAGTCCGGGGAGATTCGGGTGAGAACGAACGGCGGTTCATCCTTCGGGCGCTGGCGGTCGGAAGTGCCTCAGGTCCCAGCCTCGTGGCGCCGTTCGACGGGGATGTTTGTTTCCATCTCGGTCAAATCACACAACAGCCAAGCAAGGCGGTCCATAAAAGACCGTAGAATACAGTATAGTCTGATTCGGTCCCGGTTCAAGACGAAAACAACTCGCCGGTTGCAGAGTGTTCGCAGATATCCAGAGCGAGTGCCCGTGGCGGGAGATGAGGGAGGAGTTGTTAACGTTCGCCAAGTCAACGCGAGCCCACTTACACGAGCGGCCGCGCAATCACGAAGCATCACCGAGCAAAAACCCCAACCCACCGGCCAGGCCGCAAGAAGGATCCAAGCGACATGCGCCGTACGGGAGCATTACAGCCTGCTGTACGAGTTGGAATCCATCTTGGGGAAGCCGATTGCTTCTTTGTCGTCTTAGCGAATCGAAGAAGTCGAGGAGGTCACCCACTGCTGTGGCTAAATTGTGGCAACGTGCATCCGCGACAGCACGCACAACACGCACAGCGCGGGTCCGACAGCAGTTAGACGCACGCACACAGCCGCCACGCAGACCCCGCCGTCCAGGGATCATGATCCCCAAGTGCAGGGCCTCGCTCACGCCAAGACCACCTTTGTCGGAGACTCGGCAATTTCGCATGCGTTGACGACGCCATGATGTCGACGGCTGCAGCGCCGCCGCCGCCTTCTGCAGCAAGCCCACTGATAAAGACACAGGTTCGGCAGCAGTCCGTGCAAGCCACGCGAAGGGCGGGCGTTGGGTGTGGGATGCTCTCGTTGGCTTGGCAGCCCGGGTGCGCGGGGGGACGCCTCTGCTGAATTCTTGGCTTGCGTATCTGCTTGTCTGCTCTCCAGACACCAGCGTTTTGGGGAGGTGGTGTTAGCTCTGGTGAGGGCTCTGGAATCCCAGATCCCGCAGGACGCTGTGGGGAGGGGGGACGGGGACGGGGGGGCAGGGCAGGGGAGAGAAAGAGTGGCTTTCCTGGTGGCGCCCACATTGCCGCTTCGGGCCTCTTGGCTTGGGATCCTCTGGCCGCGGTGGCTCCGCGATTGTGAGAGGATCAGAGGCCCTGGGGGGAGGCCCCCACAGGCCAAGCCGGCGGGCTTGCGGGACAAGAAGGAGGGGGACGCGGCGGTGGCTTTGGGGTGGATGGTGGTGGGCGTGGTGTTGGGGTTTGGTTGGTGGTGTTTGTCTGTCTTCACCCTGGACGGAAGGAATCGCGGCGTGGCGCTTCGGTGACGGACTGACTGACTCGGGCGCGGGCATCCGTCCGCTCCTTTCACCATGATTGCTCTCCGGTTTCACCCAGCGTTCTGTTCCCTCGGTTGAGCAGTACTCAAGGGGGTGCATCGTCCCTTTGGTTATGTGAGAATGAGAGCCGGCAGTTGGCAGCGCACCAGACGCGAGGGAGAGAGCGCTGGACCCTAAGCAGCAAACTGTTGGGCGGCCTGCAAGAAGCACGCACAGCAGCGGCAAGTGGCTCGACTCGGGGGTGCTGCTCTGCTGCTTTGCACGCGCCCGCATGCATGCCTCCACGATGGATATCGCTTGGTTGGTGAAGAGACCAACGAGCACAGAAGAGCCCCCTAAAAGGCATGGCCTGACTCCGTCTGCCCGAGAAGGCCCTGTACGGAGCATGTACTGATACTGCCAGGCCCAGAACCAGGACCCCATCATGTCGTGATCGGCAGCCGCACACACACACACACACACACCCACTCATCCCACCCCCGCGCGTTGCTGCCCGCTTGGATGAAATGGAGAGACAATTCGGCAAAAATGGAGCAACCGGCCTGGCGCTGCTGCGACACTGCCATGCGAGACAACAAACGGTCGCTGCGACGAGGCGAGCCGGAACTATGGGGGGATGCAACGCCGTTGGCGATGTCAAAACTGTCTAACGCAGCACATCATTGCACAGACGGACGGCCTGTCAGAATGGCATGTTTCGAAACAGCCCTACCCAGTTCGGTTGCAACGGTCGCAACGCGTTCTGTCTGACGGACATGATGCTGCCGTCTGGCCTTAACTGGAGGGGGCAGGGGGGATGAAGGGCAAGGACAGGAGGAGACGAGCAAAAGGCGCGCACAGCAAACACCACACCACCAACACTCGATCGTGTCAGCGACCAACTCACTGATGGACGCGCCGTCTCGAGATGGCGCCACAGCGCAGTGCCTACTTGCCCCCTCGCCATTGGCGGCTTTCCTTCTCCTCCGCACCGCGAATCCTTCTCCTGTATGCCCTTTATGTCCGGCCCGGCGGGCGAATCCACAGCACCGCAGCGCACTGCATCGCGTGTGCTCTCCCGCGCACGTCTGCCGAAGACCCATGTCCCCGGCCAGCCACAGCGCCCAGCGCCGCACGCATCGGGAGGGGCCAAGGGAGCTTCCACGGACCTTCACCTGGGATGCTTGTCCCGGCCCCCCCGCAGACAATGTCTCCGCACTGTGGCTAGGCGGAGCAGGAGGAGGAGGAAGGACCAGCATGACCCCTGGCATGAAGCGGCTGTGGGCCACAGCACCCCCCGGCCTCCACTGTTTCGGTCAAGGTCCAGCGACCAACGATGCTGGGCGGTGGTTCAACGAGTTTGGGGAGCTTTGCCGCGGCGGCTGGTCGGTCGCATGAACCTGTCGCACAAGGATCGTAGACGAGTATGATGCGCAGTCTCAAACTCAAAGAAACGATTCGATCTGGAAGAGCTAATTTTGGTCACGCGGTGCGCGTATCGTGTACCTTTGTAGACGTTTCCGTATGTTTGATACTCGTACGGAGTACTCGAGGCGGTCTCGTAAACGCCAAGGCTTTGAGGCTCATTGTCGCGTATCGGTCACATGCAGTTCACGTGGGACACATGCGCAAAGCTTTCCATCAATGTCTATTTTCATGCGAATCATGCTCTCTCAAACAAACTACAGGGCTCCTCGAGGCCTCACCCCCATTCGCTCCTCGAGGTGACCGGAATAGGTCCACCTACATGCCCAGCATAGGCATCGATCCATCTATGCGAACCACCCCAGGGCGCGACGCCGCCGCAAGAGGTGGTGTTCGCCGTTCGGTCCCTTGGTGTACTTGCGCTTCTGCTCGTCGAGGTAGTACTTGCCGCCTCCGGGCAGCGGGTACCACATGTCCGGGCCCGGCGGGACGGTCGGGTGCTCCGAGACGGGAAAGTCGCGAGAGGTGCCGCACTTGGGGCAGGGTGAACCCTTCTGCTGCGTGATCTGGCGCGGGTCGCACGTCCCGTGGGGGCACTCGAAGCCATTGCCGGCCATGGTGTCTGATGGATAGGGTTACACTGCCGTTTGACGGGAAGTAGGGATATACGCAGATAAGTGTCGCCGCGAGAGGCCGAGGCGAGATGGTGATGATCGAATCGAGTGAGTCTATATTGAAGAAGCACCCTTGCCGGCGGCCCGGAGATCCAATTTATACATTTAGTCTACCGAGTGGTTCTGGAGAGCTATGCCTCGGTGCCGTCCAAGTGTTTTACGTCGTAGTCCGCTGCTGCTGCTCTGGCCGTCGACTGGAGAGATGAATGTCCAACACGTAACTTATATGATGCCAAAAAATGGCTTCGCGGACCGGTTCAAAGCTAGAGAACAAAGGTCATGCTGTCAATTGACCAAGAATATTCGACCGGCGTGACCAACTATACAACAATTGCGGAGCCAGACAGCTAATCATGACCGAGCGGCAACGAGGGCCTCAACAGCCACTGTTGCCCTGAATACCTGTTTGTTTGCGTAATTTGTACATATGAAACGCAAAGCTATCGAGTCTTTGCTGAATCTGCGCGTTTCCATAACGTCACTGGCTTATTTGGTGTAAAGAAACGCAAACAACCGCTGCGGTTTGGCCCGGGTCGTCGCCCCCTTGCGCCACTGAGGTCAATGCTTTCGGGCGTGTGCCCACCTCACGTAGACAACCCTACACAAGACGCCCTGGATGGACAAAAATTCCTCCGCCCATCTGTCATGGGCGCGCCATTCTTCTCCAGTCTGTGCAGTCACGATCTCCCCCGGGCTCACTTTTGATGCGAGTCATGTCACCGCGGAGAACCCGGGGTTTTCTGCAGCGCACTGGCGTGATTTTTGACACCTCCGCTTCGGGATGCTACGGTGCGTTTACTTATCGTACTCATGGCGCTGCAATAAATGCAGGCCCCCCGGGTTGTAGGAGTAGTAGTACGACGACTCGGCAGGCAGAGAACGAGAGAACCGGATCCAGACCCGGCAGGCGCGCATCCACGGCCCCGTAAAATGGAGAGCGCCCCTGCGATGCGCTAACACTCATCTCCACATCCCGCTGAGGACCTCTCTCACTCTTGCCCGTCCTCACCTCCACCGGCCCCTAAACACTGTGTGTCTGGCTGGTGTGTGTGCCTGCTGCCCCAGAGACTCCAAGGATCTTCCCCCCTCTCACCACCTCGTGCGGGGGGCAGTCCCCATCCACCACCACCACCAACACCCATACCCATGCTTGCCTGCCCAACACCTGCTGTGTCTCGGTCAATCTCCAGCGAACCAGCGCTGACGTGGGATGTGCGACGCCCTGGTGGTGGTGATGGTGGGCGGGTTGGGGTCCCGCACGGGGTTTTTAACGTTAACCTCGCCGGCTAAGGTTAATGTTAAGCGTGCAGGTAAGCCTATTGCTGAGCCAAAACATTTCACACTGCAAATCACCCCTAAGCCTGGCACGCGAGACAGAGCACCAGCGGCAAAGACGGGGCTAACAGTGGTCCGCCCAAGCAGATACGAAGCGTTCAATGGGCCATATTTCTTATGCATATGCGCCGTCAGCACTGGGTTTCACCACATGACACGGCTCGACGGGCCATGGTGCTCTTTTCGCCCGTGGTCGCCGTTCGACTACCTACATGTGCGTGCAGCCGCCTGACCTGAGCAGCGCGGTTCCAGGGACCGGCACAGACCAAGGGCCTGTGAAATCGACAGCCGCTCCCCTGCCGCGGTCCCTCCAGATCGTCACACCGCCCGCAACAAACACCCGCTGTCGCGGGGATGACCCTGTTGCCGGCCTCTTCAGCACCACTGCTTCAGTTTCCTGGCACCCCGTGCAAATCCCGTGGCGAAAGCCCGGCCGTGAGACAGCCAGGCACGTCAGAAATAGATTCCCTGCCTGAGAAACGTCTTGCCGGCCGAGGGTTCTCTCCCCCCTCCAGCAAAGACATCCCAGGCGCATGTCACTGGCCTGACACTCCTCCCTGCTCCCGGTCCAGTGCGCATGTGTACCTTCGCGCTTCGCGTGCTGGAGCCCCCAGGACGGCCCTCCACAAATGTCTCCTCCATTCCCCAGATCCCTCCTCACCCACCTCGAAAGTACAGTACGGACGTGAGGTGCGTGTAATAGCTCACTCCACAAAACAGGATGGTGGGGGGGGATGGGGACTAGTTGGAGCTCCAGCGCCGCATGGAAGGATGACCGCACTTCTTGCTCCTCCTCCTCCTTCACCTCCACCAAGGAACCACCAGACAAGCACCTCGCGTTCCCGGCAGCCACCTCGCCGGCCCCCAGATCTGCTCCTCGGCTTGGCCCAACGCAGAAGGTCGCCCGCCGCGGATCGCAGCTCGGCCCTGTGGGTGCCACGCCCTTGAACCCTGTTGGTGGGCCGGGCAGCCCGTTTCCGGGGGCGTGGCTGCATATGTGCAGCAGCAAGTCTGTTGGCCACCTTTGCTGTTCATCCACCTCCGTCACTCACTCACTCACACCACTGGTCCTCTTGCTCCGAGATGGAGCTCTCTCACAGTCCGGCATCGCGATACCCCCCGCCATCGGATCCGGGGGGCCGTTTGCTCTCCCCTTCCTTTGCCCTGCAGCCGGTGTTGGCGTTTCGCGCGGTGTTGGTCGCGCACACCACGGCTTGACATCCCTGTTCGTGCCTCGGAAAATGTCGTAACCTCGTCCGGTGACGCCGCTGTGCGTGGGCTGCTGGCTGCGAGCTCGAGCCCACGGTGAGCGAGTAGTGGATGGATGAGTGAGTGACTTGGTACGGTACCGTACATCCCACCCGTTCTGGAACATGTCGTGCGACGGGCCCGAGGCAAGACGATGTACGAGCCATGTAGGATCTCTGTTCCTGTTTATATAAACACGTCGTACACCCCGCGTGCCATGCGCCAGATGCTGCTCTGAGCTCTTCCGCATACGTACTCCCTCTCTCCGTTCTCTCTTTTTCCCTTCCCAAAGACATTGACAGATCTTCACGACTGTCTGTCATTGCAGCCCCCCTCCCGCCAACAACATTGCTCTCTTCCACCATGTCGACGGGGCAGGTTGAGCAGGCCGACGACCTCGCCAAGGGCACCTTGGCGACGGCCAAGCAGTCCCTGCGCGACCTCTTCATCTGGAAGAAGCGCGTCGTCGTGTCCAACGAATATGGCGAGACGCGCTGCGAGTGGCACGAGGCCGACCGCTTCGTCAACCCCATCAGCCTCATGGCGCAGCTATCGGCGCGCGACTGGGTCTTCTTCCTCGTCGGCTTCGTCTCCTGGACCGCCGATGCCTTCGACTTCCACGCCCTCTCCATCCAGACCGTGAAGCTGTCCAAGTACTACTCGCGCTCCAAGACGGACATCAGCACCGCCATCACCCTTACGCTGCTGCTGCGGTCCGTCGGCGCCGCCGTCTTTGGCCTCGCGGGCGACAAATGGGGCCGCAAGTGGCCCATGGTCGCCAACATGATTATCCTGGGCTTGCTGCAGATTGCCACCATCTACAGCTCCACCTTCTCCCAGTTCCTCGCCGTGCGCAGCCTCTTTGGGCTCTTTATGGGTGGCGTGTACGGCAACGCCATTGCCATGGCTCTGGAGCAGTGCCCGTAGGTTACCTGGAGAGTTTGACTGATGTTTCGTTTCAGCCATGTAGGAGATGTGCTAAAACGTACGTCACTTATAGGGCTAATGCGCGTGGCCTCATGTCCGGTATCCTGCAGCAGGGCTACTCATTCGGCTACGTCTTGGCTGCGTGCGCCAACCTTGGCGTGGGCGGTAGCGTCGACTCGTGGAAGACGGTCTTTTGGATCGGCGGTATGTCTTGGCGTTGTCCTCCAACTCCTTGTAAACACCAGCGGAAGTATATCGTGTGCTGACAAGAAGACGACGATCACAGCCGGCATCTCCATCGCGGTCGGCCTCGTGCGCATCCCGTTCCCCGAGTCGAAGCAGTTCCTCGAGGCGAAGAAGGCGGGCAAAAAGGCCACCTCCCCGGGGGCCTTCTGGCGCGAGACCAAGAAGATGCTCGCGCAGGAGTGGAAGATGTGCGTCTACTGCGTCATCCTCATGACGTGGTTCAACTACTACTCGCACACGTCGCAGGACTCGTACACGACGTTTATGCTCACGCAGAAGGAGCTGGACAATGCGGGCGCGTCGCGGGCGTCCATTCTCATGAAGGCGGGCGCCTGCGTCGGCGGCTGCATCATCGGCTACCTCAGCCAGTTCGTCGGGCGGCGGCGCGCCATCATCGTGTCGGCGCTGACGTCGGCGATCCTCATCCCCGCGTGGATCCTGCCCGAGGGCGAGCGCGCGCTCAGCGCGACGGGCTTCTTCATGCAGTTCTTCGTGCAGGGCGCGTGGGGCGTCATCCCCATCCACCTCAACGAGCTGTCGCCCGTGGCGTACCGCTCCACGTTCCCCGGCGTGACGTACCAGGTCGGCAACATGATCTCGTCGCCGTCGGCGCAGATCGTCAACGCCATCGCCGAGAAGACGTTTGTCACGGCCAAGAAGACGGGCGACAGGGTCGAGGCCTACGGGCCGACCATGGGCATCGCCACCGTCATCATCGCGCTCGGCATCATCGTCACCACCATGTTTGGGCCCGAGCGGCGTGGCCGCGACTTTGAGCACAAGGTCGCCGGCGTGGACAGCGATGTGTCGAGCAAGGTCCTCGACGAGGAGGCTGCCGATGAGGAAAAGGGCGGCCGTGTGGAGCTCGAGGAGAAGAAGTAGTCTGCTGCGTATGCGTCATGTAGTTTATGCCATGAGCATTGACGAATCATTCCATGCTGTGAGAGGTTGGCTTGACAATGTGCTGCTGTGTAAAGACTCGATGATGGTGTAGATGTAGTGCAGCGTCGCGCATCACAGCTGTAGAGCCGTGTACTGCTGCAAGAGCTGCTTACCCTATAGCCCGCCGATTCGCTGGTTACCCGTAGTTGTCCGTATGAGCCTCCAAGAGCTTCGGTCTCGACTTTTCGATATCAATTGGCATGTCTGCGTCTCATTTCTACAAGACTTTGAATATATCTTTTATATTGGCAAGCTCCGTCCGCGATCCACGTACAGCGCCTCGCCCGTTGTTCAAGCTGGAGCTGCTTCAAAGATCACAAATCAATCGCGGACCGCGAATTGGACTACTATCGAGCAAATTAGCCGTCGTAGCAATGTGACCAACTTACTACAGTCCGTAAATATTTCGCCCAAGGCTTAATTATGACAAAGCTTTTGCTAGCATGCCGTGTCATGGCGACAAAGATAGGTGCCTCTTGTGATGCTCCAGCCTCCTCAGGGCAGCTCCCCACAGCTTGGCGGGCGCTACGGCGGGTACGCCTGCGACCTAATGAGCTACCGGGCGGCCCCACGCCGCAACCGCCGATAACCTGCCTTGCCTGCCCACTGCGTCCGTCCACTGGGAGCCTCAATCCCGACTTCACACACACAACCACACCCGACCCGTCCCAGCTCCGACCTCCCTCCCGCCGACCGCCCGCCCGCCCGTCCGCGCCGATTGCTCTCCTCCCTCAAGCCAGCGAGCCGGCGAGCTAGCAAGCCAGCGAGCAAGCCAGCGCGATGGCGTCACAACCGCCGCAGCACGACAGCTCCTCGGCCGCCGACGGCCTCACCGGCGGCAGCGCCGCCGCGGCGCCCGCCGCCGAGGTGCGCAACGAGGTCAAGAAGCCCAAGAAGAAAAAGGTGCTGCTCATGGGCAAGTCGGGCTCCGGCAAGTCGAGCATGCGCAGCATCATCTTCAGCAACTACATAGCCCGCGACACGCGCCGCCTGTGAGCCTGAACCACCCTTCGCCCCACCACCGTTCCCTCACCCCGTCCCTCCATTTGGGCGGTGGGGGAGAGGCATACGTCGTCACGCCCTTTGCTGGCTGCGGCGACGATGCTCCTCCTGGCTCAAGGGCAAAAAAGAACAGTCGCTGACTCTGGGACGTTGTTTTTGTGAATGAATAGGGGCGCCACCATCGACATCGACCTCTCGCACGTCAAGTTCCTCGGCAACCTGACGCTCAACCTCTGGGACTGCGGCGGGCAAGAGGCCTTCATGGAGAACTACCTCTCGCAGCAGCGCGTGCACGTCTTCTCCAACGTCGGCGTCCTCATCTACGTCTTCGACATTGAGTCGCGCGACGTCGACCGCGACCTCGCCACCTACGTCTCCATCCTCTCCGCGCTGCTGCAGTTCTCCCCCTCGGCCAACATCTACGTCCTCATCCACAAGATGGACCTGGTCGTGCCCTCGGCCCGCGAGTCCGTCTACGACGAGCGCGTCCGCCTCGTCAAGCAGAAGACGGCCGAGTACGTCGCCTCGGTCGGCGGCGACATCGCCGGCGTCGACCTCACACCCTTTGCTACCTCCATCTGGGACCAGAGCCTCTACAAGGCTTGGGCCTCCATCATACACGACCTCGTCCCCAACCTGCCCGTCATCGAGCGCAACCTCGCCAACCTCGGCGTCGCCATAGAGGCAGAAGAGCTGCTGCTCTTTGAGCGCACGTCCTTCCTCGCCGTCTCCAGCTGGACTTCGCCCGAGGGCCACCGCAACCCGACAGAGGACCGCCTCGAGCGCATGTCCAACATTATGAAGCACTTCAAGCAGAGCATCTCGCGCTTCACGGGCACGCCAAGAAACGCCGAGCAGTTCATCCGCATGGAGCACAAGGCCGGCATGCGCTTCAACCTCTTTATCCTCAAGTTCACCACAAACACGTACCTCATGGTCGTCCTCCCGCCGGGAGAGGCCCGCTTCAACGCCGCCATGCTCAACTGCCAAATCGCCATCGAGCACTTCAAGTTCCTCGACGGGCCCGTGAGCCAGGCTTCGGGAGCTCCCGCGCCTGCTGCGGCAGCTTAGCGAGTACCGAGCGCACGCAGTTCCTGGCCCCAATGATTGTTTCAGTCTGGCGTTTGGGTTTAGCGATACCTTGTGTTGTATGGGCTGTGTTGGGGATATTGGAACAGAGCCACTACGCCTCGGGCACGACGTTATGAAAACCACTTGTACATGTCCCCGTGTCATCACGATATAAAGCCCTATGTAGTTGATGATTGCTTCAATTGGCAATCGCCTGATCTCATTGACAGGCCCTGTCTACGTTGCTACTTTGCTCCCTGATCTGTAGCCATGTTTTCCCGCATTCCAACCGCAGCTGCCACCGCAATCTATGCCCACTTGACCACGGCCGTTCCGCCCTTCTTGAACTCGGGGACCTCTCCCAACACCAGGTCCTTGTCCGTGTGGTCCTTGTTGGGAAACGTGGTCGCGAGGACCCAAGGGCGGCTTCGAGTCTCCGGCGACGCGCCCTGGACGAATCCATACACATCTCCGACGGTGTGCGTCGTGTTGAAACGGGCGGGGAGCCTGGTGCCATCGGGCATCTGGATGCGGATCATGATGGTCGGCTGCGAGCTGTCCACTGTGGGAGCAGCGTCAGAGGTTGAGGCGGCCGGCGCGGCGCCCGATGTTGGAGCGCGGGTGGACGCCTGGCTGCTGCCCGTGCCCGGCACGGGACTGCCGAGCCGCTGTCCGCTACCTCCAAAGGGCCTGTACTTCCTCGGCTGCGGCGTGTACGGGGTGTCGTGCTGGTGGAGCTTGACGTCGACGGGCTGGTCATGCTGCACGTTCATGAGGTGCAGGGGCGCTCTGCCGGACCGTATCATAGCAAGGTCTGCCTGGTTGGCCGGGTCGTCGAAGCGGCGCAGGTCGCCGTCGTCGATGCTGAAGCCGTCTTGCCAGATGTGCAAGACTCGCTCCTGAGGTTCCGCGTTGCTGGGGCGGACGGGTCCGAGAGGATCGGGGATGCTTCGGCTCTCGACGCCCTCGCCGCCAAGGGTCATGCCTGTGCCGCGGAATCGGGACGGACGGGACGGGCCAGCCTCTGGGTCGGAGGTTTCAGGCCGCGAAGAGTTACTGCTTGTCGTTAGGAAACCGTCAGATGTGCGCATGGCGGTAACACTTACGCTCGGGCCTTGGCCAAGATGTCGTTGATGATGCCGCGCGATCCACTGCCCTCCTGCTTCGGGTCCTGCACGGCCAGGCCGGACTTTTCGCCGCCGGCGAAGAGATTGCCTCGGCCATCGTCATCGCCATCGCTGTAGTCGTCGTCGTCTTCGTCGTCGTCGTCGTGATGGTGGGAGGAGCTGCCTCCTAGCGAGCCCAGCGTCGCGACGCCTTTTCTCTTGGGCTGCGAGGTGGCGCCGCGGGCGGATCGCTGGTACGACTGAGGGGCCGGCCGGCCATCAAGGGTTCGAGGGCCGGTGTATGCTGGTTCGGCGGCCGCGCTGGCCCCCGCGATATCCTTGTCGTCGTCATCGGCAAAGTAGCTGTTCACGGCGGAGACGTAGTCCCAGTGGTGGGCGTCGAGATACTGGACAGCCTGGGAGGAAGCACGTCAGCAAATGGCAAGGGTACGCAGACATGGCTGGAATGTACGCACCACATCCTCGGTGGCGGCGGTGGCCGAGCAAAAGTCCTTGACAAGCTTCTGCTTGTCGACAGCGTCACTGCCGGCCATGGCGGGGAGGCGGGCGTCTCGCGACCGGGGCGCTCAAGCTTGGAGAGGTGCGTGAAGGAAATCTCCCGGGCCTGATCAAGTTGGGCAAAACGATGTTGAATATCCGCTGCGAGCCGTGTTGCAAAAGGCAGATTTTCTTTTGCTCGTAGAGGGGAACAAGGTTGGTTGATCGAGTTAGCTGGAGGTGCTGGATGTGAGAGAGAACCTAAAGACAGGCAGCGCCGACCTCGTCATGCTCCAGCGGGCTGAGGTCACTGGTCACTGCAACCGCGTGCTGGCCAGAGCTCCAGCCCACCTGCACAGGCACACACGCACTCGCAGTGGGCGAGGTGGCACTCAACACCCCACCGGATCAGCAATGTGCCGGCGCCGGGCCTGCCAGTGAACCACTGCATCATGCTTACATAACATTGGCTACGATGCTACCGCCGCCTCAGCTTGACGTTGATGCTCCCCGGCTTGTGGACCGTCTCCGACCGCCCCCAACCGCCGCCGCCGACGACGACAACGACCACGCCCTCCGCGGAACGACGACGACGACGACGACGACGACGCGGGGCAGAGATCGCGGCCATGGCTTCCGAAGACTCCTCGTCCCACAACCTCGCCGAGTCCGGCATCACGATGCACTCCGACAGCGAGCAGTACTCCCCCGGCGAGGAGCTGTCGACGTCGCCGCCGTCCTCGGGCTCGCCCGTCATCCTCTACAAGCCGCCCACTCTGTGGTCGCTGGTGCGCGGCGCCGCCATCAACCTGCTCCTGCCGTTCATCAACGGCATGATGCTGGGCTTTGGAGAGCTGTTTGCCCACGAGGCTGCGTTTAGGTTAGGTTGGGGCGGCACCAAGGTTAGTAGTATGAGGGGGGTTGAGGCGCAACATCGGCCGCTGGCATGGCTCAACGCCCATCGGCGCCTTTTTCCTTCCCTGACATTGTATCTGACTGAATAAAGGTTTTCCCCACATCGCGACGGAGAACACACCCCATCGGCCCGGGCATCGAGGTTAGAGAGCGGCGCGAGAAGCCCGGCGTGTCGTTGAGCGACTATGCCAGTCTGGAGTAAGGAGGGCGCAGGGTATCTCAGGGCAAAACATCTACTCAATCACAACGCAACACAATATCCGCGACATGGCGCACAGAGGAGTTGCAGTCTTGGTGGTCCGCATCCTGATCTGATGTCGGTAGCAGGGTCATGACACCCATGGGCATCGTGGGAAGGTCGGCCGGGGAGGGCCATGATGAGTCCATTAGACGGCGTCGGGGATGGCGTGGCGATTGCATCGTCTTGTCGACAATTCGACTGGGATGTACGAAATACTCGGTATACATAGAACAATGACTGTATTTCTCCCAGCTCAACCCACGACCCAGAGGTCAACGCGTGCATCATCAGCCAGCTCTTCGGCGAGCCGACGCTCGGCGGGTTCCCCCGGCGCCGGCGTGGACCCTTGCCGCTCCTCCGCAGCAGCCAGCTCAAGCTCGTTGGGGGCAGGCAGCCCGCCACTGGAGGAACGGAACGGCAGAGCGCCACCAACCGCCACCCCACCCGATGTTTATCCGGTGGTACCTGGCCCGGCGGCGGCCCAGGCCCGACCCAAAAAAAATTGGCCGGCACCGCCAAACCCCCAAAAAACCGCCCAGCCGGACGGCATTCGCGTGCCTCCTCGACCGACCGTGAAGCATCCACCCACCCTCCCCCCAAACCACACATCCGCTGCCATGCTTCCAAGCAGGGGAATCGCGCGGTCCCTGCCCTCGGCCGGGGCGAGGCGGCAGATCCAGAGCCGGTGGACAGTATGAATCCCCCTCCCTCGTTCCTCAATTCCTCGACGGCGGCGCGCATCGTGGGACGGGCGCTTCACAACCCGTTGGGACGTAGGAAAAGTTCAGGCGCTGACATGGCTCCCTCTGCAGCAATCTCCTCTGAGCGCATTGTCGCAGCGCCTTCGCAATGGACGGCAGTTTGGCACAGTCATCAGCTCGTCTGGGAGCAGCTCCCCGCTGCGCAGCCGTAACCTGGGCGCGCCCATCGTGCTCGGCGGCATGGCCTCCTCCTCGCGCGCCTTTTCTCTCTGGGGCTGGGGCGGCGGCAGGAAGGACGCCGCGCCGGTAGAGCAACCCGCAGCCGCCGCCAGCGCGCCCGCCCAACAACCCGTCGTCGCCTCCGAGGCCGTCCGACCCGTCGACCCGACGCCCGAGAACGCGATCCCCACGCCGCCGACCGAGCCCGCCGTGGCCGCCTCCGACGTCAACCTCCCGTCGTCCATCTCCGACATCGTTAACGGGGAGGACATCCTCAACATGCCCGAGCAGCTCGGCTACCTACACGCCATCGGCCTCGACTACGGCTTGGGGCCGACGTCGGTCATGCAGTGGGTGCTCGAGCACGTGCACGTCTGGACCGGTCTCGGCTGGGGCGCCTCCGTCATGGCCACGGCCGTCCTGCTCCGCCTCGTCATGTTCTACCCGCAGGTCCGCAGCCTGCAGTTCAACGGCGTCATGCAGAAGATGCGCAAGGACCCCCGCGCCCAGGAGGCCATGAAGCTCATCCAACAGGGCTTCCAGGAGCGCGACATGGAGATGCGTCAGAAGGGCCAGTACCTCAACAAGATGCTCAAGGAGCAGTACGGCGCCAGCAACTGGGGCATGCTGTGGTCCTTTATGCAGATCCCCTTCACCTTTGGCCTGTTCCGCATCGTCAGCGGCATGACCCACGTCCCCGTCCCGTCCCTCGAGACGGCCGGCTATCTCTGGTTCACCGACCTGACGGCCACGGACCCTTACTTTGTGCTTCCGGCCCTCGGTACTGGTCTCATGATCAGCGCTCTCGCGGTAATTCCCCCCACTGTAACTGTATTACCCGTGTCAACCTAGCAGCTAACGCTCCTCGACCAGCTCAACGCCAAGTACACCCCCGAGGCGCAAAGAAAGATGCTCAAGAACATGACCTACGTTTTCGGCGTCGTCGGCTTTGTCGGCACCACTTTCCTCTCCTCCGCCGTCAACCTCATGACCGTCGCCCTCGGCGCCTCCACCCTCCTCCAATCCATCATCCTCAACATCCCCGCCGTCCGCTCCATCTTTAACCTGCCACCCGCACCCGCCGAGACCCCCAAGACGGTCACCTACGAGGCGCCGCGGGGAGCCGCCGCCGTCGCCCCTCAGGGCATCCGCGAGCGCATGACAAGCAGCCTCGACGACATGAAGAAGGGCTTCTCCGAGCAGGTCACCAACTATACGGGCCAGTACCAGGGCACCGAGGCCGAGAAGGCGGAGCGCAAGCGCAAGGACTTGATCCGCAAGCTCGAGGAGACGCGCAAGGAGCAGGAGCGCGACGAGTTTGAGAAGAAGTACAAGGGCAGACGGTGAGCCCTGTTGACTAGCCATTGTCGACGTGGCTCCAGAGGAAGACCGTGAGACGGTCAGTCTTGTACATCTACCCATGCGCGGCTGCGACCATGTGTAAAATCACCTAGAATGGGTCCAATAGTGGCAAGGCCTGCGGACCAGGTCCGAAGGAAAAGATCATGTACAATAGTAGACAAGGGTAGAGCCACTCCCCCAGGAAATGGATCAGGCTCATGGTGCGGCGTCTATCCTCACCAAGCCATAACGCGGAAACGTGCTCAGCAAGGTGGTGTCGCATACTCCATGATCAGGCCCCTGTCTCATTCATGCAGACGAGATAAAAATATGTATCGTCACGGGCCTGCAGCCCGGCCTCAGCAAGTCCTTCCGGCCGTCTATGCATTTGTCGCAAATTTCAGAATCAACGCAGCCTAAGAGGCTCTGGTATCTCCTCGACGCTGCATCATTCCAGCGGCTCAACCTGCTCTCATCATTGTCGTGCCTCAAAAGACTGTGCCATCGCTCTCGATTAAAATCGGCGGCTCCTTTGTATTCGGGCGGTGAATCTCGGCAATCTCGCGGCCGCCCTGGTCTCTGTTAGCCTTGCCATACATTGTCGTGATGGTTGAACGATGCGAGCACTGACCTTCCAGCTGCCTGCCTCTAGCAACTGCGGCAAAGTCATCTCGTTCCCGGCCAGTTCCGCCTTGAGGAATTTGTTGACCTCCTCTAGCAGTTTGTCCAGGAGTCCAACCGTCGCTCCTCTCCATTCCACCACCACGTCATCACCGGGTTCGAACATCGGAGCAACCTCGATCCCCTTACTGCCGGTTCGTCGGCTGTATTCCGCGTAATGTTGCAGGCCTCGTTCGACATCATTGGGCTTCAGCGTGAGCACCCCCATGTCAACAAAGAGGCCGCCATTTCGATACTCCGGAAGCCCCGTCAGCAGCTCCGTGCCTGCGAAGTGCATGTTGAGAAGCGACTGCATCGGTTGCATGAGGGAATACGTGAGCCATTGCGTCAGCTTGTGGAATGGTAGGATGGATTCCCACGAGGCGCTGCCAGCCTTGGGCATCGCCTTGCACGGCCACGCATCACCCAGCGACACCCCATTAACAGAGGTTCGGGATGGCGGCCAGATGCTGGCAAGCCCAGTCATAAGGACGTTCCACAACACAGGCAGTGGGACAATAAGCATGGAAGAGGCCTGAGTCGACGGGTGGGACAACAGGTGATCTGTATACACGTTAGTGCCGGGACGCACTGGTGCCGGAGGAATAGGGTACCCACCGATCATGTTACCGGGGCGGCCATCCTTGCCAAAGAACTCTTCATTGTTGCCTAGAGCTTTCGCCAATCTGGTGAGAAGCTCCGTGCGACCCTCCAGACCAGCGAGCTCGTTGCCGGGGCGTGACTGGAGGCCGGCCTCCAGCTTCTCCACAGTTAGTGATTGCAAGCCGACCTTGTCAACTTGTGTCTTGTTGGACGGATTGCCAGAGAAGACGCCCTATGCGTAGTTTGTTAGATTTGGCTGGCTATCCGTGAATCGGAGTGGCCCACTCACCGATTTGAACATTTCCAAACTAGCGATGGCTAGGCCCTCGGAGCGTCGGTAGACGCGTCCATTCTCGCCGCTCTTGTAGCTCCACTGGGTACCGGCACCGGCATCAAGGAGGACACTGACGAGGAAAAGATCGATCATGCGGCGACAGCGCTCGGTGTTATCGACGCCTTCAGGCCAAGTAGAGAGCATGTCGGCGATGCGGTCGCGGCCGCCCACGCAGAAGTGTTGGTATCGGCCATGGCCGGGGATCGTGTTGAACGGGGCGTCGTAATCTCGCTATAGTTGTCGCGGGTCAGTCCTGTTGAAACACGACGAGAAACCAAGCTGTGCTGATACCAGACACGGCCGTCGGCAATCTCCGAATACATGGGGAGCTCAATCATGCAGAACATACCTTGATCAGGCCGGACACGAAGCTGACCACGTCCGGGAGCTTGTTAAGATCGACGTCGAAGTGGTTTAGCTCGTTGCGAAGGGCCTTGTCGTAGATGATCTTGCTCCTTTCCCTCACAGCCCCCAGGCTTCGGAGGTAGCCGGTCGGGTCCAGCTGCGGGTCGGGAGGGCGAGGGAGATCGACCTTGGGAAGCTTGACTGGTGACATGGGGGACATTGGGGTGCCCGGCGTTGCGCTGCCTGCTGATGTTCGACTGGGGATACCTCGCGAGGTGTTGGAATTGACGCTGGCTGTGGACTGAGAAGTGGCCAGGGAAGAGTTTCCCTTGGGGGCCTTCTCTTTCCGAGAGAAGATGCCCATTCTGGTTGGCTCCTTGGGCGTGGACAAGCCGCCGCGGGCGCAGGTGACGGAGGAGGGCGGGGTGCGGGGAGAGGTCGCTGTCGCTAAGGTAAGCCCGCAGGTGACAGGTGACTGGCTCTCGGGAACCAGCAGATGGCGAGGATGCAACGGCGGCTCGGAGGGGGTCTCGGGATAGAAGGGTCTCGCAAAGGCGCCGTACGATGCTGCAGCGAAGTGGAACGGATTCGCAGTGCGCGCGACGAGTTGACGGGTTGACGTCCAAAAACGACTTCACTCCCCCTCAGGAGTTCGAAAGGGCGACGGGGCGCTTTTGAGGAGACGCAGCGGGTTCTCGACAGGCCCAGAGCGATGGGCAGGGGTCTGCGGGGGCGGACAAGCGTGCAGGCAGGTCCAGTCCAGGGTGGTGCCGGGGCGCGGTTTGGACCTCGAGCTTGGGAGACCGGGGGGTTCGTTCTCTTGTTGTCCTGGCGCCGGCCGAGGCGTCAATTGCAAGTCGTCTGGGGCGGCTACGGTGCCGATTGGCGACGGGCCAGCGAACTGGGTGGGTTAGGCACAGCGAGGAGGTCCGATCAGGCAAAGGCTGCTCGCTGTTAGATTGCCTCGTTAGCCACGAGTCCTCTCGTCTCTTGTGCGTCTGCCATGTCAGCAGCCCAGGCCATCTCGCTTTCCGTGCCTGTCACGACGCCCACACACGACCAAGCAGCCAAGCACCCCACCTTGACGCGCGACGGCAGGGTGAAATCCGCCCAGGCAAGCCAGGTACACAAAATTGAGGGCATGCTCACCTGCTGTCGAGGATGGGTCGCGGTGGCACGGGCTAACTGCAGTACCAGTCGAGCGGTTGGGCGTCGATCGCACAGGCGCGAAATGACCTAATTCAAGCCATCGAGTCAGTGCAGTCAAAGCGGCGCGTTGGTGAGCAGACTCGTGGCGGCCCTGATCTTCGTTAGCTTCCCCGCCCGCCGCCAACATATCCAGGGACCTCATTGCCTCAGACCTCAGAAGGGGGCCCGAGAGGGGCCTACGGCACGTGGGGCTTGCCAGGTCAACCGACCATGCAATGATGGCGCGGAAGCATGTGCAGGCGATCCGCAAGACAGACAAGACAGGCCAGGGCCGTGTCGGAGCATTTGCGCAACGATGCCACGCATGGGACGCACGGTGCAGTGCCTTTTCGTAGTGGCTGCGATCCGGGCCGGGAGGGGCACGACTCACCGTCTTCCTTGCACCGGATCTCTGTCCGTGTCAATCCGAGCGCGGACGCTGGCTCTCTGCCTGCTCTCCTTCCGAGCTCTTTCGGTGGTCTTGGGGCTGCCGGGACCGAGCTGATAGCGAGACAAACACAGGCCCTGGTTGCAACGGAAAAGCACCGAACAAAGGGAGGAGGAGGGACGCAGATCCGAAATAAACGGCTGTGATGCTTTTTTTGTGCTTGTTTTTGGAATTGCGGGACAGCGTTGCGAACGGAGTGGGCTGTTGGCAGGCTGTCGGGCTGGGGTGAGGGGATCTCGAGTCGTCGAGGGCCAGTCTGCCTGCCAAAAACTGAGCTAGAGTAATCACACCCATGAGGTGAGAAACGGATGTCGCAAAACGGGCAGCAGCTACCTGCACTGGCCTGCGGTACTTGCCTTCCGAACTGCTTGTGGGCGGTACCTACTCGTACTTGTTGCGAGGCAGGTGCGACCGCGACCGCGGGATTGCCATGATATTACTCGTCGCGCGCGATGCGTCGCTTCCTGGATGGGCAATCACGACACGGCACAGCTCTTGCCGCGACGGAAAGCAGACTCAGCTCAGCACCCCTCTCGAGCCTCGCGTCCGCCCGCCCTCATCATATTCAATGCTTTGCCCTCGTCCATCGCGTTATCGAAACCCGGCTCATGCGAATGAACCGCTCGCTGCCTGTGTCCTCGAGCCTCGAAAGTGAAGGCCAACATGCCCCCCCCATTCACCTGCCCTACCGGGGGCGCACCGCCCTGACCTGTCGGAGTTGTTTCCCAGGCAAACATTGGCCCACACTCCAGCTCAGGGTCACGACTCAGCGAGCACTCCAACAAACTCGCCCTGCTCGTCTTCGACGCGACGAGACCCATCCCGCACTCACCAGCTCCCCGCCGAGCAAGCGGGCAGGAACCCACCCGAGCCACCGACCCTCCTCGAGGCGGCGGCTGGTCGCCAGCGGCTGGCGGGGCCCGTACCTAGCGTGCGCATGGAGTGCTTCATTCATCAGATGCAGCCCCCCGAGGCGTCCTTGACCAGGCGAGTTCGCCGGCCCTCCGCAACCGCTGGCCTGGCTAGTCCTCGCGGAGCACCTGCCACTTGCAATGTGGTTCCTGGACTCTTTGGGAAGCTAGTCTAGAGGGCCTGCAAGGTACCGACGCCACTGGGGCCTTTAGCCAGGGACATGCATGTCGACTGCGACTCGGACCAACAGATGGCTTTGCAGGAATCGGGATAAGGTTGAGGGCGATGCGCCGCGAATCGCCTGCGGCCGATCTCCTCCTTCGGCTTAGAGCGCCCACGAGGCAGAGGGACAATCCTGCTCGTCGACGGCCAACATTACTCGCGCTGTCCCGGTGCTCAACGAGCACCACGATTCCCACAGCGTCGATGATACAGGCGCGGAATCATTGGTCGCGGTTCGGGCCGTCTTTTGGGAGCAGCCGAGCCGTTGCAACAGTCTATCCGAACTATCCGTCGCGACACCAGCACTTGCAGGCTTCAACGCCTGCCCCTCCCAATCGTCCCGACAAGAGGCAACGCGGCCCCGTTCACCTTGTTCCCCTAGCCCGCAAGCGGGGCATGCGTCTGGTGTACGTGAAGACCTCCCCTGTCTTCCTCCATGTTTAGCTGACCGAACCAGTCTTCTGGAACCGTGGCCCCTGCTAGCTCGTTGCAGACATGCTCGCCATCGGTCCGTCAATCTGCACGCCGTGGTAACGATCCAATGGTCTCGAAGCGACGGTGGCCACCGGGCGAGAATCGATCTTTGCATTCGCTCCTGACGAGAACTCTTGCAAAATCCAACCTCAGCTGATCCGGGCCACATGTCGTGGAGACGGCACTCATGCCGCCCAATGGACAACGTCCAGTTCCGTCAAACGCAGATGGGATTTCAACCGGAGCGGTAGGAGTCCAATTAGGTGAGCTCTCCTTCCCCTCCGCACCTGATCAGGCTGCAATGGCAAACCCTGGCTGTGCCGCAGGTCATCGCACGTTGCATCAGCACCAGGGTTCGGGCTGCTTATGGGGGGCAATGACTTTGCGCGTACATATCATTCTCCGGAGAAGTGCAACGACGGCAAAAAGGCCGATGGTCAGCGACGATGCTTGTTCCCGACCTGTTGCACGGCTTGTCGTCTGCATGATTTGTGGCCAGGGATGCCACCCACTGAGGCCCTGCTCTGGTAACCGCCTCCAATTCAGCGGGCCAAGTAAGCCCCAGTCCCATGCCTGCTTGCCACACCTCTTGCGTGCCGATTGTGCAGAGACCCTTGCGTTTCCTCTCAAAGCACCCGCTGAACAGTACTCACACGGATGGTCGTGTTTGTGACAAAACTACCCGTGTCATTTGCAGATTGCACACAAGCTATCCTGCATGTGGCTCTTCGTCAGCGTCAATCGGTGAAGAACGCTGTTGATTCAGATAACCGCTGCATCTACGCAAAAAGAGAGGCCGGTAACTAATTCACAGTGCGGATGCACATAAATGATAAATATCTTCACACCTACGTCGAGCACAATGGAGCCCGCGTGCACCAAAACCACTCGCTCACAGGAAACGGACGCCTCATAAATAGCATTAATTGCGAGTGGTTAGATGTAGAATACATAATATGTGCGGACGACCAAATAAACCCTAACTATGTCGAGCGATTGGTTGCTCACGCTCTTGTTCCCTGCTTTTCGTCCGTTGCTCCATGCATTCCCGGCTCCGACGTGCCTCGAATCCAGGGGCAACGTCATTGCGATTGGCCTTCGGGGCGCGCAGCCACATTCGGATCAGATCATCAAGATGCCTCCTTTTATGCGTCCTTTCATCTAAACCATTCATTAACTCATGTTAGGCTTCGCCCGTGCATGTTCACGTCTGTATCATCTAGACATACACTACGCATACAAAAAGTTGTTCTTGGATGACTTCAAAACGTCAGGAGCAAAGGGCCCGTAGCCATCCTCGTCATCCCACACATCCGCCCCCAGTACCGACGCAAAGATCTCGCGGGCCTTCAGTCGCGCCATGGAATGGTTCGTGAGTAAGCCCTGGGAAAGTTGTAGCCAATTGGTGACTGATGCCAACTTTGGGCTGAGTGTCTTGGTTCACAATCGTTAGCTTTGAATGCATACCGGGCTGGGCGGGCTGGTGTCATTCACCTCGATGCGGGAAGCCATGCTGGCGTCGTCTGGTAGATTGCGTTGCGTTGACGCCTTGACGGCATAGCTAGCCACATGATGAAGTTTGTAGCATCCCTCGATCATCCTGTCGACGTGGCAGCCATCCTCTTTGAGCCGCACAAGGTAGTCAATGAACCGCTGTATGGCGTGGAGATGGTCTGTCACGTCATGGGATTGAGGCTGCTCGAGCACAGCAGAAAGGAGCACCAGCACGGCTCCTAGCGGGTAGCTGATCAATCTCCTACATGTAGCTGGGAGTCAGTTAATGACAAGAGAGCGGTGGATGGCTCATTACCAGATTTGGAAAAATGGATGTGTTGGCATGGCATCAAGCATGTCAATGATGCTACGTGCTTTGCGAGTATAGTCCGTCCGGTATTCTTTCTGCTTGCGTCTCCACTCCCGTACCGATGTTGCAGCCAAGCCTGCTTTGTTTGCAAGTTGGCCTCGTGCTGCCAAGTGGGACAAGGCAGTCGAGATCTTGATCTGGCACGTCGTATAAATGAAGTTCACGAGGATCCATGGCAAGAGCGCACTTTCGTCGGAACCTTGAGGGCGGCGGCGGATAATGGCATCGTTTGACGAGCGCCAACCCTGTAGTATTTCGTCCAGATGGGTGACAGTCTGAATCGCATCCAGTGTGTTGTCATCGTGAAGTGACGCTTCACATATATCCTCGTGGATTTGCAGTTGGATGGCCGCTAGTGTCGCCCTGCAGCGAAGAACGTCGGGCGTTTCTGTATCGTTTTGCCCCACGGATATGCCCTGGACTTCTGGGTCGTCCTCGAACATCCAAGTCTTGTCAATAATGATATCCCGCCGTCCAAGGAGTGGCGGAAGACCGAGGGAGTCTGCAACATCAGCGTTGAAGATGTACGTTGCCCACAAGATGTGCTTCACCCGGGTCGCTTCGTCTGCCGCCAGTTTCGCAGACCGCTCTTGTCTGCCAAGGCCCAGTTCTTGTACAATTCTTGACAGTGCTGTAATAAGCTGCACCATTGTACGTGCATCTGCATGACCCTGCATGAAGAAAACCATGGCGATGAGCGCCTCACAAGTCTGCAGCGTTGGCTTCTGAATCATGAGCTCTGGAAACAGAGCAAAGGCGTTCTTGAACAAACCCCAGACCGGCCGCGTGTAAGCCTCGGGGTACTCGTTGGTGACCTTGCACAGCATGGTGCTTGCCAGGAGGGCATTGATCAACGTCCACCGAGAGGGATCATTAGTCGAGCTTTTGCCTCCGCCGAGGAACTGCTCATCGATGAGGGCGAGGATCGGGCTTGTGCTGAAGACCACGCCATGGATCTGGAGAGACTCCAGCTGTGACTGCATGATTCGAGACAAGACATGTTGATTCGGCAGCGGCACGAATATCCTTCGCTGGAATGGACTATTGTCCACTGAGAACTGGAGGCCTTGCAGCTCAGTAAATATCGTCGATAGCCTGTTTCTGACTGTCTTATGAATGCTGGACATGTCTGTTGAAGTGTCCTGCTCATCGTCTTCTGGTTCGGGCGATGCTTCATGTTGATGCGTCTCGTCGAGGCTATCCTCTTTATGGTGCTGCTTGGACTCGAGCTTCTTTAACCTCTCTTCAAGGGCTCGGAGGTGTTCTTGGCTACGGATAGGTCAGTCACAAAGGACAGACAAAGCACATGCATCCATAAGAGAGTAGGTGGCCTATACGTTTTCCCCTTGCCGCGGAGTCTCCTGGAGGCATTATATGTGCAGGTGATGTCGACCCGCGAGCACTCCGCACAACGGGGCCTCGCGCCGTCGCAGCGTCTTTTCCGTCTTTGACACGACTGACACGCCTGAGAATTGTATCAGCACAGTCCTGCTTAGATTCACCTGAGAAGAGCCATTCGGACAAAACTACTGGTGCCGTTCCGCTACTGTCGTTGCTGTCGTTGCTGTCGTTGCTGTCGTTGCTGTCGTTGCTGTCGTTGCTGTCGTTGCTGTCGTTGCTGTCGCTCCTGTCGTTCCTGTTGTTGCCGCTTCAAGACACCCTGTCCGTGGTCGCCAAATAGCTCTTCTCACTCTAATACAAGGATGCTTACATTGAAGATGCGCTTCCGTCCTTTTGTGGGTGGGGGCTCTCCGTGGGAGTTGCTGTTATCGGGCATTACTGGAACGGGATTGATCAATGTCTGGCGGGCTGGTGAGAGATGATGACGGAGCAGCAAAGAGACGCGATCAGCAGTAGGGAGCGGGAACACTCTGTATCCGCACTTATTGGAGTAATAAGCTCCGTTTTTGGTCAAGTCCGCATCCTTTGGTGCTTTGCGTTAGCTTGTCAAGGGTTGTGGAACCATGCGGAGGTCTCCGGCCGCACCCAAGCTAGGATCCCGAGCACGCAGCTTACACTTCGAGTTTGTAATTGAGAATGGCGGCTTAGGCTTCACTTTGGACAGTGCTCTGCTGTATTTCTCAGCGGCATTGTTGCGCTTTGGGTCCGGGTGGGCGACGGATACGTTATAAGAGTAGACCAGCTCTCGTGCCAATTTTCCAGCTCTGCAACTCGATTAACCACCATTTGAGACTCTTAATACGCAATCTATTGGTCACAAAGCTAATAACTTGAATCATTCACATACCGTCATGGCCTTGATCAAGAACGTCGCCCTCATCGGGGTGCGTCCGTCCACAACTGTCTCCCCGCTCTCTCACTGACCCCGGATTAGAAAGGACTGTTCGGCTCCGTCGTCCTTCCCGCTCTGGTAGACGCGGGCTTTAACGTTACCGTCTTCAGTCGATCGGAGAAGAACAAGGATACCCTCCCTGCCGGTGTCGCGCATGCCAAAGTGGACTACGAGTCGGTGGACAGCATGACAGAGGCATTCCGGGGCCAAGATGCCATCGTCTCGACCATTGGCTTCGACTCCATCCTCGCACAAAAGCCGATGATTGATGCGGCCGTCGCAGCTGGCGTCAAACGCTTTATTCCGGCCGACTACACCAGCTTCTCAACCGACCCGACGGCAGCCCAGCTTCCGCAGCATCTGCCCCTCAAGGCCGTACAGACGCACCTGCAGGACTACGCGCATGCAGGACGATTGGAGTACACCATTGTTGCTACGGGTGTCTTTCTGGAGTTTCTGATCGATTACGGCTTCGCTGTGAATTTGAAGGAAAAGTCCGCGCAGCTGTGGGGAGAGGGCGACCACCCTGTTTCGGCGACGAGTCTCGCGGCAGCGGCCAGGGCCGTGGCCGCGGTGCTCAAGAATCCGGAGGAGACCAAGAATCGCGCCGTCTTCGTCCATGAGCTGGCTGTTTCGCAGGCTAAGATCTTGGCCCTCGGCAAGGAGATTGCGCCCGCCGGCACGGAGTGGACGGTGGCCAAGTTTGAGGATCCGAACGCCGAGTTCGAGAACCGTCTCCAGGCCGTACTGCAGAAGCCGGAGATGTCCACGATTATGGCACTCATCGTGGCGACGCTCTTGTCTGGACAGTTCAAGGCGCAGTTTGGCCAGCTTGACAATGACCTTCTCGGGGTGAGGACGCTTACTGAGGATGACCTCAAGGCGAGAGTGGCTTCCGCGTTGAGCTGATTTGCAGCCAGCGATTGAACAGGCCTGCATTTTTCTACTGGGTCGTCTGATATCATTTATAGAATACTCAGCTTGCCGTGCAAAGTGTGACACCTAGCGCTCGTCCATCTTCATTCGCTCCGTGAAAACTCCGCAGACCGCCTCACGGATTCGCCCTCAACGCTCCACCTCCCAGTCATTGCAGTCTGTCGGGGGCAATCGTAGTCCTTTTGGCGCTGCAAGGAGATAAGCTGGCAGCGTCGATCCATCACCTCAATGTCTGAAACAAATTGCTCACAACCCACGACACCACACCGGCCGCGGTCGCGCTACGATCAGTCTTCATGACAAGAGACAACTTTCAGCGGCGCTACATTGAAGTCCGATGCTACTGGTCAGGTCCTAATTGACGCAGCACGCAGCTTTGCTAAATTCCACCACGGGTCTAGTTGGGCAGAGCTTTTCTGACCGTCAATTGTGAACATAGTCGGCCGTTGCCCAACACGGGTTGTTGGCGCCGCGGATCAGTGCTGTGACACCCGAGACATCGGCTGGCGGGCTCCCCAGATAGGTCAGATTTTAAGAAACGTGCGCATGCATGACCGTGCCGCACTCGCAGGAGCAGTCGGTGGCCGGGATGCTGGGCCAGACCGCTGCGGGCATCAATCATGGGCTTCCAAGTCAAACATGAATTGTCATTTGTTGGCCCAGTCCGTGCGACTAGCAGGCATTGTGCTGCTCACGCTCATACAGTACTCATCCACTCTTGAGTCCAAAAGTCCAACCGCTAATGAAGAAGTTCCGTCCGCTCCTGCTCTCCCCGCCATTCTTTTGTGCATCCTCCTGTCATCCTGCGACCCCTCATCTACTGGCTGCCGAGTTACGCTCTCGTTTGCTGCGGACCGCTAATTACTTTCAAAGCCATTCACTCAAACTAGGACACGACAAGGCGTTCTGGACTCGGGCACACTACAACGGGAGCTGTTGGGCGCTGCGCGCTGGTCGCGGACCTCATGCAATGGAGCTCGCTCCACGGAAGCTCCTGCAGGCCTTACTGCCGTTGACGGCCCTACTCTGCTTCCTGTTTCCGCTCTCCGGCGCCGCCGAGGCGGTCCAGTACTGCAAGTTCGGGAACTCGACGAACGACAAAGATGGCGTGAACTTTTGTGTCGGCCTGTCACTCTATCGAAACGCCTCCACGGACGCGCACAATGCCTACATCACGCTGACGCACACGCGGCCGCTGCACTCCGCCGTCGGGTGGACGGCCGTCGGCATCGGCCGAGCAATGAGGGGAGCTTTGATGTTCATCATTTACGGCGACCCGGAGTCGGGTGAGCAGCCTGCTGTGAGCATACGCACGGCCACGGGCCACTCTCATCCCACCATGGTGGTGAGAGATCGGATGAATGGCGGGGATTTGGAAGTCGTGCGCGCCGAATGGCATACCGATAAGACGCAAGGGGGGACCGCGACAGCAATCGTGTCACTCGTCTGCTATTCTTGCACCCTGTGGCCGGACGAGTCCATTTCCGCATCGACAACCTCGCAGCCATGGATCTGGGCATGGAACAAGGCCCAGGAGTTTGCGACTTTCACGGACAACGAGCACCTCGCCATGCATGAGCCTCGGCCTGATAGCGGTGGCTGGGGGCGTTTCTATGTCGACATGGCACAAGCTGAGACTTCGGGACCGGAGGCGCCGTCACTGCCAGCCATCAGCCCTGGAGTCGCTGCGATTGGCACTTACGAGAGCCCCAAGGATTCTTCGAAAGGCAAACAAAAGCCCATGTCATTCCATGTCATTGTCATGCGCCTTCATGGCTTGCTCATGATGATCGCGTTCCTGTTGCTCTTACCACTGGGAGTCTTTGCGATTCGGTCAGGGTCGCCGCGGTCGTTCAAATACCACTGGGTTATCCAGGTCACGGCCTCAACAGCCATGGCAGGTGGTTTGGCTGCGGGCCTGCGGATGCATCCGGAGATCAGCACGGTCCATCAAGTTGTCGGGGTATCCCTTGCCGGCATAGTCCTGGTGCAGATCTATCTCGGGTGGAGGCACCACGTGGACTTCGTTCGGATCCGACGGCGAACATGGATCTCATATGCTCATCTCTGGGCCGGTCGACTCTTCATGATCGGCGGCTCTGTCAACGTTCTCCTGGGTCTTGCTCTAAGCGGATACTCGCGGTTGTGGATGGCGATTATTGCGGCTTATATTGTCATCGGAGGCGTGACGTTGGCTTTGTGGGTTCGTCGTCGCAATAGCATCATTGCAAAGTCCAAAGCTGTGGCGCAAGGCGAGGAGGAGGAGCAATTGGTTCCCCTCCAGAACGAGGAGTATTTTGTCGTCGCTGAGGAAGGAGACGATGAGTCCGTGGATGTCCGAAACTCGACGGAAAAGGACAAATAGAGACAGTGACATCAGTTGACCTATCATGACTGTTCAGAGGTTGGACGGCGCCGGGTCACCACGCGCTGCTGGGGGAGGGCTCTCGCTCTCGTGGAATGATAGACTTATTCGTCATGCGAAATGTGCTCCGGAACCGCTCAAAGCTTCACAGTGAGCTCAGTTGTGCTGGCGGCTGTGCATTGAAGTTGCCCAAGCCTGTGGTGTAGGTGGGGGCCGGTCCGAGAAGGTTGAGAGACGGCAAGCAACTCCCGGGAAGAAGTTGGAGCGTCATACTGTCAGCTCGGCTTTGTGGGGGGGTGCAATCCGCCTTGCTCCCTTCGCCCGCTCCGTTTCTTTCATGACCCTATTTCTGTGGATTTTCGCGACGATGATGTCTGCTTAGAAGCGCTGCTGAAGGGTTTTGAGGATGCAAAACAGCATGATCAGACGCCGTTCAGACGTCTCCAAACAATGGCAACGGAGGGCTCAAGGCAGGCGGAAATCGTCGGGCTGCGATCCGTGGGGTCCAGAAGACTAATATTGACGTGTTCAAGCGTGGGAAGGAAAACGGAACTGGCTGTCGAGTGGTCCTCTGACATCTCCTCGGAACGCAGTCAGAGCGACAACAAAGCCATCAGCAGAGCGGTGTTCCGGCCCGTCGGCCTTGCCAGAAAGCACTGGTTACCTCATTCGGACGGCTCAGCTCAACTGCCAAGACAAAACCGTTCATGCGGGCGTCTGGGGTAAATTCGACTTGGCAGGCACATCATTGCCGCAAAAAAACATATCGCCCGGCCTCACGTCGCTCCGGCTTACTCGCGGGCACCACCACGGGGGCGGTCAGCTCCGAGCACCCGAAACCAGCCCTGTCCCCGTCCTGCAGACTTCAGCCGAGAAAACATCGCCGTTGCTTACTGGTGAACGAATCTTTTCGCGGACACTTTGTCGGATGCGTCAGGGGGTTGTCGGTGGAAATGTCTACCCGACCCTTGTTCGTCCAGGGTTGTGAAAGAGCCTCCGGTACTTGGATGGCCCTGCACAGAAAGGCTAAACGCCTGGAAGAGGAGGAGGCTCATTCGGAAATGAGGCACATGGGCAGGCGGAAGGACACACTTCGTGCAGCTGGCTTAATTTAGCTCAACTAAGGACAACGTGGACTGGGCGTACCTGACATGGTGGCTGACGCCGGCAACGGGTACCTGGATGCGAGAAGAGAGGAGTTGAGAAGAGGTATAAGGCTGGGCCTTCTCTTCTCAATCCAGACGCCTCCTGGTTTCACTTTAACGTATCTTGACAACCCTCTAGCCTCGTTTTTTGAGGATATCCACTCGTTTGACATTGTCTCAGTCGCTCTTTTGAACTGCACTTATACCGTCAGGATGAAGTTCCTCGTCCCCGTCGCTCTGGCGACCTTCGCGACTCTCGCCTCGGCGCACAACAAGGCCGACAAGTGCGACGCCCTGGAGAAGAAGATCCCCATCTGCGCCCAGCCCTGCGTCAACGGCGCGGCCAAGCAGTACTGCACGCCCGGCGACCTCGACTGCGGCTGCGCGCCCAAGACCATTGAGAAGATCATCGCCGACTCGGCCACCTGCGTCGCCAACGCCTGCAAGGGCCAGGGCCCCGTCTTCCCCCCGCTGCGCACCTGGTGCCAGTGCGTCGTCGGCAAGCCCTCGGCGACGACCACCACCAAGAAGCCGACGCCGACGCCGACCTGCGCGGCGGAGGTGTCCAAGGTGCCCAAGTGCGCGACGGCCTGCGTCAACGAGGAGGCGTACAAGATTTGCGAGAAGGGTGACTTGAAGTGCGGATGTGCGCCGGAGAACCTGGAGAAGATCATCAAGGGCTCGGCCGAATGTGTTGCCAAGGCCTGCAAGGGTGAGGGGCCTGTGTTCCCTCCGCTCCGGAACTGGTGCGACTGTGTGAACGGTGGCAAGACGACGACGACGACCACCAAGACGAGGACCACCAAGACTTCCAGCCACACCTCGCACACCTCGCACACGTCTCACACCTCTCACACCAAGAGCCATACTTCCCACACCAAGAGCCACACCAAGACTCACTCCGTGACGTCTTCGGAGACTTCGGCCACGGCCAGCGAGACGAGCACGACCACCTGGTCCAACTCGACCACGACCTCCACGCCCGTCCCCTCGTCCTCCAAGCCCATCACCCTGACGTCGACCTACACCACCACCAAGGTGCACACCATCACGTCGTGCCCCCCTACCGTCACTGCGTGCCCTACCGGCGGACACGAGGTCACGGAGACCATCGTCACCACCACGACCTGGTGCCCCGAGACGGAGGTCCCTGCGCCCACGACCCAGCCTGGCGAGACCGAGACCGTGGTCCCCATCCCCACCGGCCCTCCCGCTGAGACGGAGACCGAGGCGCCTGTCCCGACCAGCCAGCCGGGCGAGACCCAGACCGAGATCCCCATCCCCACGGGCCCGCCTGCCGAGACGCAGACTGAGCTGCCTATCCCGACCAGCCAGCCGATCCCTACCCAGGTCACGCCTGGCCCTGGTGTCCCCGGCGGTAACTCGACCGTTACGTCGTCGCCTCCGCCCGCCGTCACTGCCGCCGCTGCCATGATGCAGCGGAGCACCGGCCTCGTGGCTGGCGCTGTCGCCGTCTTTGCGGGCTTCGCGTGGCTGTGAACGACCTGAAATCTTTTCGCTTCATGTAATGGTGTCTTAGGTTACGTGTCAGCGGATTTAATAAGGACAATGAGCCTCATGCCTGAACATTTTCACTTCTCGGAGATGACTGCCTTGACGTATTGGCTAGATGAGATGCCGCGCTTGATGAATACCGAACTGTCGTTCTACACGAACGTTGTTTGGTATACCTTGCCTGTCTGCGGATATATTGATTGTGACTGGAGCATGGCGAGAAGGGTAATGAGGCGTGCGGTTCTGACAGCATATGGATGCGTGTATGACATGTACGAGATAATTGATAGCAATATCATGATTGTGCCCACTACTTGCAGTCCGTCAAATGGTTTGACTGATCGCCCTGCGGGCTTGTATCATAATTGGACCAGGCTGTATCTGAATCGTGCTCGGGCGGCGACTCTGACAGGAGGTCGGTGTACACGGCTGGAGTAACAGCCGAGAAGAAAAGTTCACAGAAAGACGAATCTAGTGGCAGCAATGAAATGCCCGTGTTCAGAGATATCTGGTGCTTCCCCTAGCCATTACTCCACGCTACGCCCACGTTGATGCTCATGCCTCAAAATCACATCAGAACCCATCCCCATCCGCTCAGTCCTTCCGAAGCACCTCCTCAATGATCTTCTCCTGCGTATCCTCCCGCTGCAGCTCCTCGTCGAAGCTCCACCTGTACACCACCTTGGAGCTGCTCACCCAGTCCCCGTTGATGGTCTGCTGCACCATCGGGCCCGGCATCGGCACGTACTTGACCGAGTAGTCGCCGGCCTTGGGCCGCAAGCCGCATTTCTTGCACGGCGGGTTCCACGTCTGCTGGGTCAGGCCCGTGATCTCCTGGCAACGGCTGCCGTTGCGGACGATGGCGTGGCACTGGAAGGCGTGCGTGCGCAAGAAGTCGATTTCCATCATTTTGGGCGGTGGGCTAAAGGGGACGGCTACGGGGATGGGCACGGGGATGGCGTCGTTAGCTCTACGGGAGTCTGGGGCGGAGGGCTCGAGGGAAGTTGTCAGGAGCGATGGCGATGCTGCTCTGTTCCAGTCTAATGGGAAGAGCATCCTCGGAGACATTTTCGACAGCTCCTGCGTTATATAGGTTGTGGCAACCAGCAGTGAAACAACGACTTGGAAAGAACGATTCGCATTGTGGAACGACTGTGGGCAGACAACTCAATTTCAACACCTTTGGATGAAATGTAAAGATGAGCGGGGGGCCTCGTAGGGGGCGGAGCTGGATTCCAAGGCTTCTCATCACCTCTGTGGAGGTGAGCCTAGTCTTATCCCCGGATGGTGGCCGACATCCCAGCACAGCTACCCGTTCCACGCCATTGGAACAAGGAACAACCAAATCCAAGCTGTGCAAGACTTTCGTGCAGTCAAAAGCTAGACTCTTGATGGCGAGCATTCCTAGCCTCCTTGATTTCCCTGTTTGAGTCGCTGTAGTATGTAGGACCGGCAGGTCAATGCACCTTCGTTGCGTCAATCTATCGGAGTCCACGTTAGCTTGCAGACCGCCTGATGCGAGGGCGAAGCACCGACCTAATCCTACGCCATACCCATTTCCTCCACTCAATTTGGCCTGCTCCCCACGAGGCGGCCTTTTAGACTTTCATTTCAGATTCACTCCGGGACGCAATTTGCGTCTTCAGCTCGCGGTCACTAGGCGATGAGATCGGCAACATTCATCGGCATCTCGTCGATCTGGGTCGAGTAGTACACTGTGGGGGGTCAGCTTTATAGCCAGACTGAACAGGAGGGGATCACTAACGCTCAATATCGCGAAGGATGCGCACATCTTCGGTGGTGACAAAGTTGATTGCCACGCCCTTGCGGCCGAAACGGCCACTACGACCAATGCGGTGAATGTAGTTCTCGCGGTTGCTCGGCAGGTCGTAGTTGATGACCAAGCTGACCTGCTGGACGTCGATTCCGCGTGCCCAGACATCAGTCGAGATCAGAACGCGGCTGTTGCCCTGTCTGAAGTCCTGCATGATGCTGTCGCGCTCCTTCTGCGGCATGTCGCCATGCATGCTGCTCACCGTGAAGTTGGCCTCGCGCATCTTGTCCGTCAACCAGTCGACCTTGCGGCGCGTGTTGCAGAAAATGACTGCCTGCGTAATGGTGAGGGTGTCGTAAAGATCGCAAAGGGTATCAAACTTCCAGTCCTCCTTCTCCACGGCAATGAAGTACTGCTTCAGACCCTCGAGGGTCAGCTCGTCACGCTTGACGAGGATGCGTACGGGATCGGTCATGAACTTGGTCGTCATGTCGAGCACGTCGTACGGCAGTGTGGCGCTGACGACGACGACTTGAGTCGCTGGCGGCAGGTAGCGGTAGACGTCGTAGATTTGCTCGCGGAAGCCCTTGTTAAGCAGCTCGTCGGCCTCGTCCAGAACCAGCATCTTGATGTGTCTTGTGCGCAAGTGGCGGCGCCGAATCATGTCGGCCACACGGCCGGGGGTACCAGAGACGATGTGCTGGCCGTAGTCGAGCTTGCGAATGTCCTCGCCGACGTTGGTGCCTCCGATGCAGGCGTGGCACTGAACGTTCATGTAGTCTCCCAGGGCCATGACAACGCTCTGGATCTGGGTCGCCAATTCGCGCGTGGGCGAAAGCACCAGGGCCTGGGTCTCGCGCACAGCCGTATCGATGACCTGCAGCATGCTGATGGAGAAGGTTGCCGTCTTGCCAGTGCCAGACTGGGCCTGGGCGATAGTATCGCGGCCCTTGCAGACTTGGACGATGGCTCGGGATTGAACGGCAGATGGGGTCTCGTATCCATACGCGTAGATGCCGCGAAGCAGGCTCTCTAGTCAAGCGTGTCAACAATGCACGGGAAGATCGAGGTCATCCGAAGGTACCTTTGAGCGACATGGACTCGAATGTAGGGTGGACCGTGACCTCCTTGGAGGTGGAAAACTCCATCCTCTCATCCGCCTTGCGGTCGATACCTCCTGCGCCTTCAGCCATGATTGCGATGTTTCGGTGGAAAGTCGTGTGTGCAGAAGGGAGATGCAACAGGGTTGCGGAAGCTGGCAGAAAAGTTTCCAGGTCGTTGATCTTAGAGTGTAGCAAACAAACTCCAGCGCCGGGAATACTTCGGCTGACCACAACAGGCACCGGTGGCGCGCGACAGTCGCCTGTGTTCGCGCGCCAGCTGCCCAGGTGGCGTCGGCCGCTGGAACCTGGAACTTTTTCCGTGCAACCACCATCAGCCCGACGACTTCCAGAGCCTGCCTCTGTCATCCCCAAACACCCGCGCCACGAATCTTCCTCAGCATCCCCCGTCGCATAGCCAACATCTACCGAGTGCCCCTGTCGATTCCCACCTCGCAATGTCTGCCGTGGAGGCAGCGCGGAACATCCGCGAGGACCTCGAGCGCCTCGAACAGGGCATCGCGGACCGCGTCCGGGAAGAGCCCAAGCATGTATGTGCTTATGAATCCCCTCCACTCCTCTATCCGCGCAAACGCTCTGGTGCTGACCACTGATGCAAAGATCCGCAACATTCTGAATAGAGATCACGAGGTTGCGCAGCTGCTCGGCGAGATCCAGAAGCAGGCAACCAGCCTGATTGAGATTCTTAACGATGACGTCGGCTTCACCGCGCAAGCCGTGGAGGATCTGAGCACCGGCGATCCTTTCAGCAAATTCTACGGTCAAATGGACAGCCTCCGCGAGCATCACAACCGATACCCGAACGAGCAAGCCGAGAACCTCGAGCAGCGCTATCGACTCAAACACGACTACACGGGCGCGACCGCCTCCATCGTCGACTCGCTCTTCTCTGGAGAAGAGGGCTACGGCAAATACTTTGACCTCAACACCTGCCACGACGAATTCCTCAGCCTGCCCAGCGTCAAGCATCTTTCCTACCTGCAATACCTCGAAGAGTTCGACAACTTCGCTCCCAACCACGGCGGAGTGAAGCGAGCCGAGAAGCTCACCGACCAGTACTTCAAGTACGTCGGAGACTTGGCCGAGTATCTCACTTCGTTCCGCAAGCGCACCAAGCCCCTCGAGGATGTCGACAAGGTCTTGACTGAGTTTGACGCGGAGTTTGCCGAGGCATGGAAAAAGGACGAGGTGCAAGGATGGCAGTCGGAGGAGGGATCCGCGAATGGAGGCCCCAACAATCTCAGCAGCCCCGATGCTGTCTGGTGCGACGACTGCGAGAAGGAGTTCAAGAACGAAAACGTCTACAAGAGCCACTTGACTGGGCGGAAGCACATCAAGGCCGCCGAAGCCAAAAAGCAGCAGAAGGAGGGCGGCAGCGGTGGCGAAACCGGTCCAGCAAAGGGTGCTCTTTCGACAAAACGCATCAAGGAGCGGGCCGTGGCCGAACGTGAGCATCGCGTCAAGCGGCTCGCCAGCGCAATGAGCACGGAGCGCAGCGACACCCGGGTCAACGTCGAGCGCAAGCAGGGTATGACGGAGCGCGAGCGCCAGCAGGAGCTTGAGAACATCAACAACATATCCGAGGAGCCGAGAGAGACCGAAGAGAACGGTCAAGAGGAAGGCGAGGAGGGAGACGAGAAGATCTACAACCCGCTCAAGCTGCCGCTCGCATGGGACGGCAAGCCGATTCCCTTCTGGCTGTACCGACTCCACGGCCTGGGCGCAGAGTTTAACTGCGAGATTTGCGGCAACTTTGTCTACATGGGACGCCGGGCATTTGACAAACACTTTAGCGAGCCGCGGCACATCTACGGCCTCAAGTGCCTGGGCATCACCAACGTCACGCTGTTCCGAGATATTACAAAGATCGAAGAGGCGTTGAAGCTGTGGGACAGGATCCAGCAGGAGCAGAAGAAGTCGAGGGTCGACGACGGCAGCATCGTGCAAATGGAGGACAGTGAGGGCAATGTCATGCCTGAGAAGGTTTACCTGGATTTACAGAAGCAAGGCCTATTGTAAGCGGTGGTCTAAGGTGGTTCAGGGTGGTTCATGGGAAGAGCGGCGGCGTACAACTAGATGTGCTTTAGATGTGGCCTCGACGATACAGCCACGTGTGTATATCGAATACCAGTGTCGGAACACCCTTTTGCCATTGAGGGATGCAGCCATCGTGATGACGTGACATCCTCGAGGTTGCGTTGCCTGCATGGCTTCGAAGGTCATCGATGCATGATTAGTCATTGTCGTCGGCCCCGACAAGCCAAGCTCCAGAGGCTGCCGGGGCGACAACAACGCCTGACAATGCTGAGCTCCAATCGCCAGTTAGCGCCAGCATCTCACTTCACAGCAACAAACATCAACCGTGAACAATGCCATGAGCCATACCACCACCACCGCGCGCCTACACCAGGCATGAGCCAAGTAACGAAGCCCCTTCCGGCCCTGTACACGGTCTACGTCCTGCGCTCGACGGTGCGGCACGCGTCGCTGTACATCGGGTCGACGCCGAACCCGCCGCGGCGGCTCAAGCAGCACAATGGCGACGTCAAGGGCGGCGCGGCGCGCACCTCGCGGCACACCCTGCGGCCGTGGGAGATGATTGTCCTCGTGTCGGGCTTCCCCAGCATGATTGCCGCGCTCAAGTTTGAGTGAGCAGATACCCTTCCCCCCTTCACCCCCCGCCACTCTTTCTTCTCTCTACGCTGTACTAGCGCACGCGAAAAGATAGAAAGAAGTATGTAGGCGGGCAGGCAGACGCAGGAGGACTAACTGACTTGGCGATTGCAAGATGGGCGCTCACGAACCCGCACCTGTCGCTGCACATACCCGACGAGTCGCGCCTCGCCGTCGCCACGCAGCGCAAGAGGAACGGCATGCCCAGGCGCCCGCCGCACAGCCTCAAGTCGGTCGTCTCGAACCTGCACCTGCTGACCGGCGTGCCGAGCTTCGCGCGCTGGCCGCTAAGCCTGCACTTCCTGGCGAGAGAGCCGCACGTCGCGTGGAGGACCTGGCTCGCGACGTCGGGCAAGCCCAGCAGGCCTGGGCTGCGCGTCCTGACAGACTACGAAGACGGGCCAGCGCCGCCGCCGACGAGGGACAACGCTGTCAGAGACGGCGATACGGCGACGGAGACAGAGGCAGCGGCAGAGGTCTCGCAGCGGGGCATATACAGCCTCCCGCTGGACTACAAGCCCATCAAGGCGTACGTCGAAAAGGCAAACGAGGTGGTGTCGTTTGAGCGCGAGGGGGCGTGCGTGCACTGCGGCGAGGAGCTCGCGTCGGGGAGGGGGCTGCACGCAATGTGCCCCAACGACGGGTGCACAGGCATGGGCCACCTCGATTGCTGGAGCAGGCACGCGCTGTCTGGCGATGGCGACGGCGAAGTGATTCCCGACCTTTGCAAGTGTCCGTCGTGTGGGGGCGAGGTGCGCTGGGGCGACATGATGAAGGAGTTGAGTCTCCGGGTTCGGGGCGCAAAGGAGGTGGACAAGCTGCTCAAGAAGAAGACGACAAAAAAGGCGGCAGCGACGACGACGACGACAACAGCGTGAAGGGCTACTTGACGGGTCTTGGGACATTAGCTTGGCGTCTTAGGATACGGTTTGTGATTTCTACATTACGAGGCACGATGTATATGCCATGCTCATCTACACAAGCTGCTTCTATACGTCACGGAAGGTTGTTGATGATGATGTGTGTTGTGGACCTTCTAGAAGGTTTGCGTCGAGGCATACGCGCACATACATTCGTGGATACTCGATAGCTCGGTACGCGAAGCGACAAACGCCACGTCCCCTTCTCGTCGTCATGAGCAACATCATCCACATCATCACCAACATCATCATCATCATCAGGACCGTGCAGCGTTTTATTTCCCATGCCCAAATGACCTGCCATGTGGGATGACGACCGGGGCGGAGTGGCTGCGAGCGCCCTCGCCGACTGGACGGGGCTCCGCTCCAGGTTCTCCCCCCACTGGTTAGCCTGGCCAGGGGGTGCATGGGGGGCACGAGACGGGGGTGCCCTCTTGGCCCGAGGGAAGAAAAAACTTACGAGACACACACTTTTCCAACTTCATCGGCCGCTGATTGGCCCGGCAGGTCGCCAGCATCGGCCGGGCCCCTGCAAGTGCGGCGAGCGATATCAGAGCGCGGCGGCGGGCGCGGGCGCGGGTGCTGGTGCAGTGACCACGACTCGCTGCCTGCTCTGGCCGGGCTCGTTCGTTTTTGGTGTGTGTGCCTGCGTCGTGAGTGCGCGCGTGATAGCCTACTGAAATCTGTTGCTGCCGAGAAGGATGCCTCGGGGGTTCGGGTTGCCGTCGCTCGCTGAATTGCCGCATTCGGACGCCGGTCCTCCCAAGAAGATGGCCTCGCACCCGCCCATTCTTTTCACGGCCCCTCGTCCCACGCGATTGGGCGCTGTCGACTGTCGTCTTACCCATTGCGGAGGTGGTGCGGACGGCCGCCCTGGAGATGGCGCATGTCATGACATCCCTCGCAGCAGCATCCCATCGCCTACCTGAGCTGCTTGGCTGTCGGCAGGGTACCCCCAACACCCTCCTCGGTGTGGGCATCGCGTTGCGTGACACACTCGGTCAGTCAGCCAGCCAGCCAGCCAGCCGTCCGGGCCCGGGGTGCCTCGTCCTTGTCGGCTCCATCTGGGCAATTCGCGTCACCCGCCCTTCCCGCCGCCCTATGTGGGCGCCTCGCAAGATCGATGCCCTGCGGCCGCGCGGGTTGGCATCCGATAGCGATGTGTCCGTCCATGGACAATCGAGCTGCCACGAGGGCGGCGGGCGGTGCGTCTCGCTCGGCCCGAGTCCGTCGCGGCGCAAGGTCGTCGGCGGTCGGTCGCATGGCTGGCCGGACGTCGTCGCAGGTGGATCCCAGCGCCTGCGGCCGCTGTCCATCTCTCCAGACTCCCCCCGTGCGTGTCAGGGCAAGCAGGGCTGGTTATTGCCAATGTCTCTTGTGGCCCCCCGGTCGGCCGTCTGGGCAAGCGCCAATCAAGCATGCGTGTTGCGCGAGTGTTTTGTACGAATTTTGAAGAAGATTCCCGGCTTGATGATTGTCGATGAGAATGGAAAACGACGAGGCTCGGAGGGCCGAGGCCGGGAAGAGAAGCAGGCTGGCCTGGGCCCTGAGGCTTATGACACCCGAGATCGTGGATTTGGCAGGAACCTGGAAAGAGGTGGAGCGGATCCGCCCACCTACCTGGCGCTGTTGCTGCTGGTAGCTGGTTGCTCACTGCTGGGGACTACCTAGCCTGCCACTGGGCACTGCAGGCTAGGTCGTCTTGCGCGCTCACGCCAACTCTGCATGTATAGGGTACTTGACGGGAACCAGTCGCGCTACCTCTGTCGTGGAGACGGACCACTGGGCTGGGCTGGCGACGACCCACCTCCACCGGCGGTGCCGCGCATGCCTGATGCCACGGCGAGCTGTGCGCCCGGCGAGACCCCCAGCTGCGTCCTCCCGCGGCGGGCCCCGTCACCCTGCGAGGCTGCCCGGGTCCAGCGTGCCCAGACACCCACCACCGGGACACCACCTGCGCCTCCGCGAGTGGGTACCGAGGCGGTACCGTCTACCTTTTGTTCCTGCACCACTTGTCTCTTGGCCTGCTGGGAGGCGGCGGCGTTCCGGGCTGCACCCACGGGCGCCCACCCACGCCCACCTCACGCACCACCTGCACCCGCACCCGCACCCGACAGCAGCAGCAGGAACCTCTGCCGCACCTTCACGCTCTCACGTCTGGCGCCGCGACCCATTCCTCCTCGCCCGCCCTCCATCTCTTCTCTCTCCAACATCTACTACACCACGGCCCCCGACCACCACCGCCGTTGCATGCCTCGCGCGCCGCCGATTTCGACGGCCCAACACCCCGTGCGGCCCGTCTGCGCATTCGCCCACTGTTCAATCTCTGATTGAACGGCCTTTTTATACGTGCGTTTTTGTCTCCCTGGTGTTAGTCGACGCCCGCCATGTTCGTCGGCGCCGGTTTTAGCTTTTCATGCTGATGAGGCCAAACCTTTAGCCCGCTGCCAGACTCCCGCTCTCGTGGCCTTTTAAACCGCCACGGTTCGTTTCAAATTACTCCAAGACGACGGCTTCCCTCTCGACGGCCTTCCCGACGACGCCCGTCACCACCCCGAACCGCCGATACGATGCCACTGTCGCTATAGCCCTTGGAATAACTCGACGACCACCATCCCGTGAGCACGTCGAAATAGACCTCCAAGTCTTGAATGAGAACCACCCGCGACGCATACGACTACAGCGTCCCCCCTTTGACACCATAATCCCACATCACCCACCCGCGCCATGGTGTCGGTCCCCAGCGCCGGCGGCGTCGCCAGCAGCACAAATGCCAGCGCCCGCAATTCCCCAGCCCCGAGGTCGACGCCGACCCAGGCCTCGACGAGGCCAAAACGCAAGGTCAACACCAACGGCTACCACCCCGCCAACACGACGGTCCCCTTGAGCGCCATGGTCAGCACGGGGCTGGACCTGACGTCGGTCGAGCGCCGCGGCCAGCCCACTGCGGTGCGCGAGCCTCTCAAGAAGAAGGACCGCCTCCACGGCATCTCGGATGCCCCGACGTACTGCCCGAATGAGGACGAATGGCGCGACCCGCTCGAATACATCAAGAGCATTGCCCAGGAGGCGTCTCAATACGGCATGTGCAAAATCATACCACCAGACTCATGGAATCCCGATTTTGCAATCGACACCGAGGTACGCACACCCTGGCCGGTTCATCTCGAACCTGGCGTTGAAGCTCCATTACTCATCCACGTCTCCTCATCTGCGCGCAATGCCCTTCTCGTGAGCATTTTCTGACATGGTCGATACAGAAATTTCATTTCCGGACTCGAAAGCAGGAGCTGAATTCTGTGGAAGGGAGTGAGTCTTCTTGCGGACCCCGTGGTGACTTTTGCCGCGGTGCAACTGCGTATGCTGACCCTGTCCCTCTTCTGCAGGCACCCGTGCCAACCTGACCTACCTCGACGGCCTGGCCAAGTTCCACAAGCAGCAGGGCAATCACCTGCTTCGGCTGCCCTATGTTGACAAGAAGCCCTTGGACTTGTATCGCCTGAAAAAGGCGGTCGAGTCTCGCGGCGGTTTCGACAAGGTCTGCAAGCTGAAGAAATGGGCCGAGATCGGTCGAGACCTCGGCTACAGTGGCAAGATCATGTCATCGCTGTCGACATCGCTCAAGAACTCGTATCAGCGATGGCTCTGCCCTTATGAGGAATATCTGCGCCTCGCCAAGCCTGGCGTTCACCAGCAGCTGGAGCAAGAGTATGGCGGACCACTGACGCCGAGCCCGGCCCCGACTCCGCCCAAGCGATCGAATGTGAACACGCCCTCGAGCGCCAAAGGCGACTCGCCGACCCGCCAGGCGTCCGACGCTTTGCAGTCCAGCTTTAGCAGCTTGAAAAAGGAGACGGATCGGGATACGCCAATGCTTGACGCTCCGCCGGCACCAACCTCAGCGAGCACGCCAGGGGGCTTTACGGCCATCAATTCAGGAGGTTTTACCGCCGTCAACGCTGCATCTAACTCCGCCAGCCGAACCGCGAATGGCGAAAGCAAGAGCTTTACACCTGATCCGAAGCGGTTCGATACCCCAGGCTCCTCTGCCAAGAACACGCCGGAGAGTCGTCCGATCGGGCTTGCCGCTGCCGCTGCTCTCAAGCGGCAGCTCAGCTGTGAGAGCTCCTCTGACTCCGCGAAGAAGGATACCGACGCGGACAGGGAAGAGGGGGACAGCAGCAGTCGCCGAAGCAAGCGGCTAAAGAAGGAGGCCGTCCCAACCGTGGCCGGGTCCCACATGACGCCTTTCAGACCCTCCGTTCCCCGCATCCCACGGGATGAGGCTGCCACTGCCGGCGACAAATGCGAGAACTGCGGAAAGGGCGACGATACAGGCCCTCTGCTCGTCTGCGAATCGTGCGACCATTCTTATCATGGCTCCTGCCTCGATCCGCCTCTGAAGCGCAAGCCAGACGCCGAGTGGAACTGCGCCCGGTGTCTCGTCGGCGACGGACAGTTCGGGTTCGAGGAGGGAGGCTTATACTCACTGAAGCAGTTCCAGCAAAAGGCCAACGACTTCAAGCAGGGCTACTTTGAGAAAAAGATGCCCTTCGACCACACCCTCAATTGCCATCGGCCAGTGACGGAGGAGGACGTCGAGGTTGAGTTCTGGCGCCTCGTTGCCGATCTGGAAGAAACAGTGGAGGTGGAATACGGTGCCGACATCCACTGCACGACCCATGGCTCGGGCTTTCCCACAGTCGAGAAGAACCCGAACAGCCCATTTGCGACCGATCCGTGGAATCTTAACGTCCTTCCGTTTCACCCCGACAGCCTTTTCAGGCACATCAAGTCGGACATATCTGGCATGACAGTGCCCTGGGTGTACGTTGGCATGATCTTCTCCACATTCTGCTGGCACAACGAGGACCACTATGCGTACTCGGCCAACTATCAGCATTTCGGCGCCACGAAGACTTGGTATGGTATCCCCGGCGAGGACGCCGAGAAATTTGAGGAGGCCATGAAGGAGGCAGTGCCCGAGCTGTTCGAAACGCAGCCAGATTTGCTGTTCCAGCTCGTCACACTGCTCACTCCAGAGCAGCTGAAGAAGGCCGGAGTGCGTGTGTATGCCTTGGACCAGAGGGCTGGCCAGTTTGTCATTACGTTCCCGCAAGCTTACCACGCCGGTTTCAACCACGGTTTCAACTTCAACGAGGCCGTCAACTTTGCCCCTTCCGACTGGGAGCCTTTTGGTCTAGCCAGCGTTGAGAGAACTCAGATCTTCCGGCGCCAGCCATGCTTTTCCCACGACGAACTTTTGTGGACCGCAGCGGAAGGAAGCGCTGCGTCGAGCCTCACCATTGAGACTGCGAAGTGGCTCGCTCCAGCTCTGGATCGCATACATAAGCGTGAAAGGACTCAGCGGGCGGATTTTGTCACCAGGCACGAGGAGGCATCAACGCACAAGTGCCCGCTTTCAGGCAATTCGGGTGAGGGCGACTGCCCATTGACTTTCAAGGTCGAGGACGAGGACGTACTCGACGAGGATGAGCAATGCTGCAGCTACTGCAAGGCATTCGCGTACCTGTCACGCTTCAAGTGCCAGCAGTCCGGCAAGGTCGTGTGCATTCTTCACGCCGGAACACACCCCTGCTGCGAGATGACCGAGCAGCAGAGACTCGCCGGCGAAGGCCACAGCCTGATTTATCGGAAGACCGAAGACGACATGGTCGCTGCTCATGACAAGGTCATTGAAAAGGCTCGCACCCCAGAGCTATGGGAAGAAAAGTACGCCAAGACACTCGAAGAAGAAGCAACGCCGTCGCTAAAAACTCTCCGCGCCTTGCTCCATGAAGGCGAACGCATCCCATACGACTTGGCATCACTGCCGATTCTTAAGGAGTTTGTCGATAGATGCAACGAATGGGTCGAGGAAGCGACAAACTACATTGTTCGAAAGCAGCAGAACCGGCGTAAGAACGAGAAGGCCTGGCAGAGCGGTATGCGGAAGTCGATTGGCAATTCCTACCAGGACCAGAAGGAGCGCGATTCGCGCAATGTTTCCAACATCTATCGGCTTCTGAGAGAGGCGGAACACATCGGCTTCGATTGTCCCGAGATTGCGCAGCTCCAAGAGCGTGCGACTGCGGTCAAGGAATTCCAAGTGCGCGCCGCAGCGGCTCTCGAAAACAGCAACAGCATGTCCATGGAAACCGTCGAAGAGCTTCTCGAGGAGGGCCGTGGCTTTAATGTGGATACGCCCGAGGTCGACAGGCTGTCGAGGGTGCAGGAGCAGATGCGCTGGAACGAAAAGGCTCGATCTAGCCGCGGCGCCTTCCTGTCTTTGAAGGAGGTCCAGGACCTTATCGAGGAGGGCAAGCGGCTTGAAATCCCAAGCTACAACGACCACCTCAAGTTCTACTGCGACCAGATGCTTGCCGGCGAAGCTTGGGAGAGGAAGGCACGGGAGCTCATCGACGCGGAGATTGTCCACTATCCTCAGCTCGAAGCCCTGTCTAACCAAGTGCAGGTCAACGCGCTGCCGGTCTCGCGGGAGACGCTGGCTAGCGTTGATCAGATTCTTCACAAGCAGCGTGAGGCGCACCGTCAGATCCTCGACATCACGGAGAGGTGTCGCAATCCGGACTACACGAAACGGCCAAAGTACTCGGAGGCTGTCGACATTTCCAAGAAGCTGGAGGACCTGAACTCGAAGCCGAACGGCACGCTCGATCTGGAGAACGAGAAGAAGAGGCACGAGGACTGGATGCGCAAAGGCAAGAAACTCTTCGGAAAGTCTAATGCGCCGCTTCACATCCTCAAAAGCCACCTCGAGTATGTCCTCGAGCGCAACTCGGATTGCTTCGATGTGGACCACGACACTCCCCGGCTTCCCGGTGAGCCGGTATCGCGCGAGGCCAGCCCCGAGCAAGGCGGCAATCGCTGGGAAGATCCTCGCTCCAGGCAGGTATTTTGCATCTGCAGAAAGATTGAGGCCGGTATGATGATTGAATGCGAACTGTGCCATGAATGGTAAGCGAAGCACGGGAAGAAGTGACTTGGACAGCTGGCTAATGCGGCTCAATAGGTATCACTACAAGTGCTTGAAGATTGCGCGCGGCAAGGTCAAGGAGGACGACAAGTACACGTGCCCGATCTGCGACTGGCGGATGAAGATTCCTCGGGACGCTGCAAGGCCCAAGCTCGAAGACCTCGTGGCCCTGTCTGATGAGATCTCGGGCCTACCATTCCAGCCTGATGAAGAAGACGTCCTCTCGCGCATCATCGACAACGCACAGACATTCCGAGACCACATCGCGCGCTACTGCAATCCTCTTCTCTCTACGGAGGCAGAGGCAGAGACACAGCGATTCTACCTGCGAAAGCTCGAGGGTGCCGAGGTGCTTCTCGCCTACGAGACCAACTTTTTCCGGCAGGAGCTTCACAAGTGGTGCCCCGTGGCGCCCGAGGCGCCGCCAATCCTCGAGGTGTCACTGAGCACTCGCAAGCCCCGGCCCACTAAGCTGCAGAAGATGCTTCTCGAATACGGCGTTGATAACCCGGATGACCTACCCGAGCATGCCAGGGGCAAGGCGAACAGCCTGCGCCGGAAGGCGGCAAATGCCGAGGCCGCTGCCGCAGCCTCGCACACCCCTGCCGGAGTCATCCTGCCTCCATCCAGCAATTCTGCTTACGGTGGCCCGGCATTCTACTCCCGAGGCCCTCACGCGGGTGGACTGGACGCGTCGGGTCCATCGGGCGACCACGGTGCCAAGTCGGGCTCGCCGCTGGATAAGGACAGGGCGAAGTCTGGGGGCAGCAGCATTCTGCATCCCGGGTTCGGACCTCAAGTGCTCATGGACAGTTCTGTTCTGTCGTTGGAAGAACGCCTGCTGCAGGGACAGGAAGACCGCATGGACTTGCAAACCGAGGCCGGGAAGAGCAAGGCCCTCGAGATCCTCGGCCGTACCGAGGCGGGGAGGAGAGAAGCCGAGCGCATATTCGGCGGGAACGTGTGGGGCTCGAACCGGCGATCTATGAGCGCCCAGGACCGGTCGATGACGCCCAGCGGCGCGGAAGACGACATGATGAAGCAAGACCAGGGCAACGTGGACCAGATGTTCAAGGACATGACGAACCAGGACGACGAAGACGAGCAGAAGAAGAAGGAGAGCGTCGCGAACGGCCCCGTTACGGCGGAATCTCTCGAGAGCGAGAGAAATGGCATGGACGCGCTGTTAGATGGCGAGTAGTTAGAGAAGGGTTGCTTTCAAGGAGTCACCGGGGACAGGGAGGCGTGCATCTTTCCACTATTTTCTGATTGTTCGCAGGAACGGGGTGCGATGGCGCAGGTCATTACCGGTTGCTTGCTTGACAAGGGATGTACCAAAGGGAAAATGTAACATTACTGCGCGTGTGGCGTGCCATGTCACAGCTAGACGAGGCGTTTCTCAGAGAGCGGGGGCAAGAAGACGGTCACAGGTCACAGACTCACTTATTTAGCTCAATAATTCAGATGCCTCGAGTTGCACTGCGTCGCATTGCATTGCAGTGCATTGCGTTTGCACGGAAAAGCAACGTCGTGTTCCATGTTCATGTCATTTCTGTCGCGACCTCGCGCTCTTTCTCTCTGTGTCTTCAGGGCGTTGAGCCCAGAACGTCTATACTAATGGTAGGTATGCAGCCGTGGTGAACCAGTTTTCTGCAAGGGGCCGTCTTGCTGCAGCCCCTGCACCTGCCTGCCTGTCTTGCCTGTCGGCCTGCCTGCATGCCGCCGTACACTGGTTGATCGAGTGTCTGTCTGTCTCTCATATATCGCGTCCGCGCCCGAGAAGAAGACCAACCGTGCTTGTGTGTGTGTGTGTGTGTGTGTGTGTGTGTGTTTCATGATTGTGAAAGAATAAAATAAGACGTCATCATCGACCAAGTCAAGTTTGTTGAATGCGTTGTTGAATGCACATGACCACCTTCCAATTCTTTTGCTGAAGCGAAAACATAACAAAATCCCAAAAACCAACCCGAAAGGGGGGGGGAGGAAAAGAAGAAGGAGACTAAGAAGAGAAAATGAGAGAAGAGATGGTAGATCTATTCTCGATTTCTTCTTTTCGGAGATATAAGTTGTTTGTGTGTCGATCCGGTAAAAACGCCGTTGAAAATGCAGAGATTGGGTGTTGCGTATCCGAAACGCGCAGCGGCAAGACGGATGTAAAGTGTGTGGGGAGTGGAATAGAGCTGGATGATGAAGAAGATGTCGGGGAGGTGGCAGCAGCTCATGTCCGGCTGACGCCGACGAGGCTCAGAAACTCGTTGCGCGTCTTGGACTTGCGCTCGAAGCAGCCGAGAACGCAGCTGGTGATTGTCGAGGTGGACGTCTGCTGGACGCCGCGCATGACCATGCAGAGGTGGCTCGACTCCATGACGACGGCGACGCCCTGGGGCTTGAGGATCTCCATGATGGCGTGGGCCACCTCCTTGGTGAGGCGCTCCTGGATCTGCAGGCGGCGGGCGTACATCTCGGCGATGCGGGGCAGCTTGGAGAGGCCGATGACGGTGTCGGAGGGGATGTAGCCGATGTGCATCTGCATGAGCGGGTGAGTCAGTAGCTGCGGGGACGAGGAGGAGGAGGACGGCGAGGAGTCACAGGCCGGGGAGCGGGCACGGCGCGCGGGCCATGGCTGACTGTCCGAGCCTGTTTGGGGATCAAGCTTTCGATAAACAAACGTACCTTGCCGATAAAGGGCACGAGGTGGTGCTCGCAGAGGCTGTGGATCTCAATGTCCTTGACAATGACCATCTCGTTGTGGCCCTCGTGGAAGAGGGCGTTGTTGACAATGTCCTCGACGTTGACCTGGTAGCCCTTTGTGAGGAAGAGGAGGGCCTTGGCGTAGCGCGAGGGCGTGTCGAGGAGGCCCTCGCGGTCCGGGTCCTCGCCGACGCACTCGAGGAGGGTGCGCACGGCGCCGCGCATCTTGTCGAGGCGCTTCTCGGCCTGGTCGGCGTCTTCCTCTCGGCGTTCGCGCGTGCCGCGGGCTGGGGGGCGCGGGATGTTAGCGAATGGCCTGGCAAAGCGTCTGGCTTGACTTCTCTCTCGGGGGAGGTTGCTGCTTACTCGGCCTGCTCAGGCCATCGTAGTCGATGACGGGGCTCGGCGGGCGGACCTTTTGGCCCTGGCCGGCGACGGGGGCGCGCTTCTTGGGGGGCGGCTCGTCCCTCGGGTCGCGGGCGGCCTTGCCCAGGCTGTTGCGGCGCTGGTCAAATGCGCTGGGGCGGCGCGCAGAGGCGGTGCCATTGACGACGGCGACGTCGCCGTTGGGGCTGCGAGACTTGCGGCTCCGGTTCCTGTTGCGCCGGCGCTTGCGGGTGGACTCGTCGCTGGTGGAGGAGCCCGAGACGCTGGCCGAGTCGAGGGAGCGCTTCTTGGTGGCGGCCATGTCGATGACTTCGCTCTGTGCCATTTGCGCGCGTCGTCTGTGTCTCTGGTTCTCTTGCTTGCGTGCAAATCGGTCTATCGCCGAGTTTGACGGTCGGTGATGATGCTCTGCGCGGCGCGGCGCGGCGCAGATGCGGCTGGCGGGCGACAAGGGCGAGAAAAAGGCAACGGGCGGGATGGCCTCTCGTATGTGTTATGCAAAGTAGGCGACACGAACGAGGGTGGCAAGGGTATGTATATGTAGAGAACGTCCCCCGGCTGTCGAGAGATGGGCAAGGCGGGATGGATGACGGGTTGAGAGAAAAAAAGATGATGCGAGGCTCAGGCCACGAGCGACGTCGGCGTTCGGCGGCGGCACGGCGTCGGTCTTGGATGGGGATTGCGGGGTGCGAATTTCTTACATGAGAGGAAGGAGCGACGGAAGCCCGCCTGCCCCGGGTCGGTATAACTTGGCGTGCAAAGTATTTCGTACCGGCGGTGGTACTTGGTCATGCTAGCGCCGTGCACGCCGGCCGCCTTCCTGTCAGTGCAAAGTATGCCGCCGTGCCCCCGGTTAGTTAGTTAGAACGAGCCTGCGGCGGCTCTCGGTCGGCCCCTAACACGCCGTGGGAAATGTACGTGCGTACTCGTATCCGTTCCAAACGAAGGGAACGCAAAAACTCTCCCAAAATGTGAGCCGCCAGTACGTCTAATTCGTCCTACCTACCGTTCGGGGTTTTGAGGCGTCATCTTATCGGGGCAATGTGGCTTGGTGACCTGCGTTGACGTCGAACGCATGTACCGCAAGTACTTCGGTGTGCAGCGGCAGGCGAACCTGCGTGAGACTCGCAGCCGGCCCGCCTAGTGGCCGGTCATGTGATCTGGCGCCCGGAAGCTGCAGACTGACGAGCCGTACGTGTTGCAACTGCACGCGAGCATCAACCACCTCCATCGAACATCCATCCAAAGCCCCTCTCCCTCCGCCATCCACCCGCCCCGGCACTGCGCCTTCGCCCCCAACCGAGGGCGCTTCCCACGCCCCTTCCGCCAGCTTCAAAGGGACCAACGCATCCTCTCCAACGCGCACCTCGCGCACAACACACCTCACCTCCCGCGTCATGGCGTCGCCGCCCTACGCCTCGTCGCCGCTGGCCATGTCGCCGCCCAACCCGTCTCCCGCGCAGCTCCCCAACAAGAAGCGGTCCTCGACTCTCGACGTCAACGCTCCGCCGGTTAAGCGCCGCAAGCCTTCCAACCTCTCGCAGTCGGGCCCCGTGCACCCCCTTCGCCAAACGTCCTTTCCCCCCGAGGGCGGCCGCTCCCCCTACGCGCGCTCCCCGTCAGTCGATGCCACGTCCATTGTTAGCGGCAGTGCGGCCAGCGGCGTCACTGCAAGCGGCGCGCCCAAGAAGAAGCGCGGACGCAAAGCCAAGAACCCGCGCCCCGGCGACGAGTCGGCCGAGCAGACGCCCAGCCTCGTCGGCGGCAAGGCGCCCACGACTGTTAGCGGCCAGGGCGGAGGCGACAAGGACGCCGGTGCCGACGACGACGACGATGACGAGAACCAGGAGATGGCCCTCGAGGAGGGCGTCGCGCGGACACAGGAGCAGAAGCAGGAGGAGATTCGGCTGCGCGCCATGCTCGTCGAGGCCTTTGACAGCGAGCAGTACAACCGGTACGAGCTGTGGCGGGCGGCCAAGCTATCAGATGCCGTCGTGAAGAGAGTCGGTCTCACTGCCGCAGTCATTCACAGCCCTCACGGTACTGACAGTTTCTATTCTAGGTGGTCAACGCGACGGTATCACAGTCGGTACCGCAAATGGTCAGCACAGCCGTCAAGGCCGTGGCCAAGCTGTTCGCCGGAGAAATCATCGAATCGGCTCGCAACGTGCAGGGCGAGTGGATCACGGCGGGCGAAAAGCAGAGCGACCTCCCGACGCCGCCCCCGTCGGCCAAGGACGCCGCCAGCGAGGAGGAGCCAGATTTGAAGCGCGGCCCCTTGCGGCCCGATCATCTGCGAGAGGCGTGGAGGCGATACAGGAGCGGAGGTGAGAGCCGTGGCGTGGGCATGCAGCAGCTGTGGCACGCGCAACAAGGAGACGGTGTGGAGCGGTTCTCGACTCGAACCGGCAAGCGGCTCTTCAAATGAGGGCCGTTTTTGGCATTGATTCCTTCACGGGAGAGCGAGGGAGGTTGTTGGAACAAATTTGTTATGATACCCATGCTTTGTCCATCCATAGACCATAGGAGGATAAAGCATACTGTTTGATATGAACTCGCTGCAGAACCAGGTGCCCCTGTCGAGAGCCGTGCCATAAGCTGCGTCTGAATTGGCTGTTACGGGCGAAAGGTTGCGCCGTCTGAGTTGCGGCATCTTCCGCGGAGAGGTGCCGATCCTTTGCGATGTGCTTTCGCAGGTGCCTCTGCGTGCGCCATGCGAGTGCTCCACGGCGTGCAGATTCACGCTCTGGGCGACTGCCGACTCGACAACCCACTTGATTATACAATGCAAAGGAGTCGCAATGCAGTTCGTAGCTTCATATTCATGATAAATTACCTTGTTCAAAAGGAACAGCATTGCCATACGAGGGTAACATATCAACTTTTGTATCTGCATCCCAACCACGAAAACCTGCAACGATGCCAGGCCACGTCTCCATCCGCGTGTCAGACCTCGAGGCCTCGGTGCGGTTCTACCTCGCCGCGCTGGCGCCCCTGCGCTACGAGGCGACGCGCTTCGACGGCGTCGTCGGCCTCGGGCCAGCACCAGCACCTTCCACCTCCTCCGCCGCCTCCGGCACTATCACTACGTCGACGGCCGCGGGTCCCATCCCCGACTTTTGGCTGCGCCAGTACACGCCCGGTCCGCAAAACGGGCACGCCGCGAGGCCGACGCCCGTGCACGTCTCCTTCTACGCGGGCGAGGCGGCGCTCGTGGACGAGTTCCATGCGGAGGGGGTGCGCGCGGGGGGGAGTGACAATGGCGGGCCGGGGGAGAGGCCGTGGTTCAAGGGATATTACGGTGAGTGCTGAATGTGCTGGATGATTGAACATGAGGGGTTGACATGTGGTGTTGTGCTTCCTGGGACGAGCCTGGCTAACTGAAGGGTCATGATTGTGACGATGCAGCGGCGTATGTGTTGGATCCGGACGGCAACAACATTGAGGTCGTGTGTTTTCTGAACCAGGCCAAAGAGTAACAAAAGGGATTTGGATCATGGTAGCAAGCGCCATTTTCACAGAGCTACGAGGGAATCGCGCGAGGTTGTCTCCGTGGTCTGGTTGTCGCCGAGGTTGTGGCTGATGCCCATCACAATGTTGCAAGAGACATAAAAGTTGTACTCCCATTCAATGGCCCTCCCCGGTCTCGGCAAAACGACAACGGCTTGGGTGATGATTGTACTTCAATTCCTACAATTTCTTCACGGTAGTCAATGGCAATTATCGCGCTGGGCATTCAGCTTTCTCGCATCTGCGCCTCACAAACAAGCCCAGGGTAAGCGGGCAGCAGTTGTCCTGGCAAACAGTGACACTGTCGCCCAAGAGGGGTCCACCTCACTGTTGTGCTGTGCCCCTGCGGCGGCGGCGCCAGGAACAAGCGCCGCGGCACAGGCGGTCACGACCCAACTAAAGCCTCCACTCCAGCGCGCCGCGTCAAATCACAGCGGTTGGAAATACAGAAGCGAACATCCATGGATCCCCCCCCCCGGCCCACTGGACCCTGCCCGGCTGCCGGCACTGGGGCGCGTCGATGCGTGCTGTCACTGGGCCCCCCGCCTGCCCGCCCGCCAAGCGCTGGAAGAGAGAGCGAGAAAAAAAAAGAGAGCAGCAGCAGCTCCACCAGCCCATCATGCAAGTCATTTTTTTTCCTCTGTGGAAATTGTTGGCCGGACGGATTCCCCTCCACACCACACATCCATCCATCCCACACCACCCACCATCCCTCACGACCTGACCTTTACTCCAAAGATCCCCCTTTGCATTGCAGCTGCCTTCTCGCCCAATGGGTCTCAAGGTGAAGGAGAGCGAGGGCTTTTGCGGGACAATCATGGCGGGAGCAAAGGTGAGTTTTGAACTGTTTGTCGTGTCGTCTGTGCAGCTCTAGGCGTTGGAGGCAGGGCGTGCATCCGCTGCAAAAGCAGTGACATGCATGCATTTTCAACGGGCTCGCACACCACGCACCACGCCGTTGCACGTCCCCCCCCCAGACAGCCACCACAACCACGACCACAAGCACCACCCGCTTCTTCATGCATGGCATCGACGCTGACATTTGGGGCTTGTGCTCCGTGTTTCCACAGACAACGACCACAGCAGCCGCCGCGGCGTCGTCGACATCAGCGTCGGCCATACGCATACGAGAGAACCAGCGCCGGTCGCGCGCCCGCCGCAAGGAGTACGTCGAGGGCCTCGAGCGCAAGGTCCACGAGTACGAGAAGGGCCGCGTCGAAGCCACGCTCGAGATGCAGACGGCTGCACGCACCGTCGCCCTCGAGAACGCACGCCTGCGTGCCATGCTGGCCCGCATGGGCGCCTCCGACGCCGACGTCGAGGCCTATCTCCAGTCGTCGCAGGAGCATGACGCCGCGAGGGCGCTCGAAAGCGTGCGCTGGCAGGGCCGCCAGCAGCAGGGCGACGACACCACTACAGCTGTTGTCAAGACTGAGCCGGCGAGGCAAGAGGACGGATGCCGCCCGTCACACGGCACGGACCCGTCGGCGGCCGAACATATGCCATCTATACACAGCCATCCGGCCCCTGGCCATAGAGCAGCCTCTGCCGGCGCGACGCACTACGCCCTTCCGCCCGTCACGCCCTTTGACAAGCTCGACGTGCTGGCCTCGGCCAGCGTCCAGCAGGGCTGCTGCGACGGCCGCACCCAGTGCATCCTGCCCGCCTCGTCGGCCAACTCGCGCGCCAACAGCCCCTCCACCGTCGGTCCCAGCCCGGGCGCCGTCACCCCGTCGTCCTCGGGCGGGCCGCACCACCCGCTCTCTCCCAGCGACCAGGCGTTTGGGTCGCCCATGGAGATGTCGTGCAACGCGGCGGCGCAGATCATCGCCGAGATGCAAGGCTACAGCGGCGGTGGCGGCGAGCGTGACCGTGACGCGACGAGGGAGAAGCTCGGCTGCAACGGTCAGGCCGAGTGCCTCGTCAAAAATACGGTTCTCTTTCAAATACTCGAGAACAACAGCAATTTTTGATCGACTGGGGGTGGACGATCGAATCTTCATGCTGGTCCTTGACGGCGGCAGCTCAATGCCGCTTCCATGAAGTGGGCATGCTGCTTCCTGAACTGCAGCATGCGCCGTGCACGCTGCCTGCTCTCGTCTCCACCACCTTTGTGCTCCGGGGCCATCTGGCAACATAGGCCCTGTGATGCCATTGGCGCCGAACTCAGCTCTGGGGCACTACAAGAGGTGTCGAGCTAACGGACAAGATTGCCGTCAAGCAATCCAGGCTGACAGGCATGGGGCATGGCCGGCTACGAGTCACGAGCGCAATGTGTTTTGCATAGCACAGCACTGTGTTGAGGTCCCTCGGGCTAGCCAATGCATGTCCGCCTTGCCGTAACAGGCACGGCAGGCAGGCGAGCCTGTAAGCAAGCTGGCAGCTGGCAGGACGGTCCGGCATTTACGCAGTAGAGAGGAGCACCGCGCCTACCAAGGAGACGGGCTGAGCTCACGAAGTACGAGCTTACGGGCTTACGATTAAAGGGCCCAGTGCTTGTCTTGGAGGCTTTCGCATGGGACCAGGTTTAATGTGGTATGAAAAGGTTGACGGCAGGAAAGACGGCGCCCGCTCGCCGCGGCCCGGCTATAATAGCGCCACGGCAAGCCAATGGAATACTCGGGAACAGGACATGGAAATCGCCGCACATGGCAAGAAAAAGCGAAACAGTACCATCATTATAGGCATTTTGAGCCAGCGACAAATAAAACTAATTCAAGCAGCTACTCTCACGCCTAGCGTACAAGCTATGGGCTAAACCCAATAAACGTTGAAAACAATTCTAGGCGCCTTCTACACCGTCATGCGGTGCCAAAAAGAGACCATCATAAAGATCTGTTGTTAGACGCCATGGCCAGGCGAGCGCCCGAAGTGAGGAACCAAGCATCCTTCGTCTATCGTTGTCAAGGTCGTCTCCAAAGAGAGGCCGGACTTCCCAATCGGGACATGTTCGTCATCCTGCGCCTCTGATTGGCTCTTGTGTCAATGCCTCGCGCAACGACCACGACGGCGACGCACCTACCGCAACGCCATATCAACCTGGATTCTTGCACAATTGAAGCAAAAATTTGCGTTCGAACCTTTGAGATATCTTGTCTCGAGCTGCTGAGAGAGTCGATTGCCGACACACATACCAGTCGGTCCGCCCGGCGTACATACTCTTACCCCTCGCTCCGTCCACAAACGTCCCAGGCTCATATCCGTTATTCTTTTGTGTCCGTGGGAGGAGGAATCTTTGTGCTCGACGCGACAGGTTTTTGCCTGTTCCCGGCAAGAGGCCAGGGCGCGCGCCCAAGAAGGAGAAAAGGGGGGGGGGGGATTTAGTCGGCTCGATGTGTTAGAGTTGCCTAGGTAGTATAAGTGGGCAAGATACGTAGGTATGGGCGCACGGGTTTTCGCTTTGTTGACGTCGTGATCGAGAGGGCGTTGTTTATATGCAAAAGCTTAATTAACGGACGCGACTGAGTAAACTAAGCTCGCATGGCGGAAGAAGCATTGTTGTGAAGTGAAATGTTTACTTGCATACAACGATAACTTGCCCCTCTCGTGTTTTCTTGGATCTCTCTCTCTCTCTCGCGTCTGATGCACTCCCCTCCTTGCGCATCGCGCCGATGTCTGGTGTCAAGACATAAGGGGGGTGACTGTCTATGCATTGTACCCCAGATTTCTACCACGAGAGAAAAGACGGAGACTCTCAAAGCCGATCGTCACAGTTTGCTGGTTGGAAAGCTAGCTCAAACCCTAGCATAAGCCTTTCTTTGACAACGGATCTATTTCCCCCAAGTAGGTGCGAGTAAGAGCACGCCGCGCCTCAAACTCACGACCAAGAGAGTTGTTCAGCCCCTTAAGTTTGTGCCTTGATAGCTTGCTCGCTAGCATCCATGGCCACAAGTGCACCTCAGTCCCCCGACCGTATAAAAGGCAGACTCTCCCACCCTCATATTCCCTCGTCGTACAACCTCACAACCACATCTGAACGCCCAGTTTACCAACGAGGACCGCCTTCCCTTGTGCCAACCATCTCCTCCGAAAATCCTCCCTTCCTACCCGTTCATATCTTCCCTTTCACCATGAAGACCCCCGTCTCCGCCGCTGTGGCCGCGGCCATCGCCGTCGTCGGCCCCGCGCACGGCCTCCGCATCCTGCAGACGTCGCAGGAGAGCTGGGCCGACCTCACGGTGCGCAACCTCCACGCGGAGCTCACCGCGTCCAACCACAGCGTCGTGCTCCTCGGCCCGACCAAGCACTGCACCAACAGCGGCTCTACCGACGACGACCCGACAGTCCTCACCGAGGCGTGCCAGTTCGGCTCCTGCCCGGCCGGCGCCAACTCCGTCTTTGGCTTCAACGAGACCGACCCGACGCTGCAGTGGCTCAACGCGCACCCCCAGACGTGCATGCACTCGGGCGCAAGCCTAAAGAAGCACTACCCCAAGCCCGACAGCTGGGCGAACCAGACGGCGCAGCTGGGCGTCGCCGGCCCCAGCAGCTCGCCCACCAGGTTCTTCGACTTTGGAAGGTGGAGCGAGTGGTCCTCCACGGCCTACGCCGCGGCCTGGGCGGCCAACCATGGCTTTCCAGGTATTGCCTTCGGCTCGCACCAGGGCGGCAAGTCGATTGCCTGGAACGACACGGAAACGGAGCCGTATAACCACATCTACCCCAAGCTGGCTGCGCGGTTGATCAACGAGCTCGCGGCGGGCGGCGACCCGCTCCTCCCGCCGAGCGTCTTCCTCGCCGTCAACTTCCCGCCGACGACGAACGGGTGCGACCACCCGGACAAGTTCAAGTGGGTGATGACGCACCGCCGCCAATGGGGCGACAGTTGGGGCGCTCAGATTAGGCACTGCAACCGCACGAGGCTTCTTGGCGACTGGGTTCACCTCCGGCAGCCGAACCAGTGTCAAATCTCCGTCAGCGCCATTGGGGCCGTGCACCTGAAGACTGAGGGCATCAGCGTGCACAAGACGTTGCTGGAGAAGCTTGGCCACTTGTGGTATTGCGCCGAGCCCTACAACGAGGACGAAGAAGAGTGTCCTGGCTGTTGGGGACCCAGTGATATCGGCTCGCCGCCACCCCTCGACTAGTCTCACGACGTCCACGACCCGAAGATATATCGCTATGCCTTGTTTGCTGAGTTGCTTGTTGTTTCGTCGAGTCGCCTTGATTGCGGACCCAAGAGCGAGCGGCGAGGAAGAACTTGGACTAGGTCAGCATTTCTGCGACGCCGCCGGCAGTGGTGGGGTGTGTATCCGGCGATGTCCCGTCCCCGGGTCGCAGGCCGCCCGATCACGCGCCTCACGCAGATATTCGGCCGGCGTTTTGTGGACAACTGGGCCCCGCGCCGACGTGAGTTTGATCCACCAGCGGAGGAGCACGAGGACGATCGCGGCCGGGACTGAGAGCGCGGCACCGCCGACATCAGGAACCAGTGCGAAGCCCATGACTTCGCTGCGGCGGATGGGTGCTTTTCGGTTTCGCGCTGGGTACTTTGTTCTTTGTCAGGATTATGGGGAACGTGGGGAAGCAGTGTTACACGAAAGAGAAGGGAATAGGAGAAGGAAGTGCCAGGTTTTCGAAATATTGTTTACTTGTGAGGGGAATGTTGCCGTACAAGTATATACTTACTCGCTGACCTCCGCGGTCCAAAATCTCTTATTTCTTTGCAAGTCCGATGCTGTGCTTACGGGCTGTGCCTCCTGTGCCGTCAACCGGCAACCACAATCAGCACTGCGAAACGACATGTAGAACGCGCTCAGCCACAGCGTCTGACGGCCGCCATCGAACTAGCAAGGAATGTTTCCTCATCAGTAAAAAGCGCCACGTGAGAACCGGATATAAAGGCACACTCATGAGTGAGATTCGTGATGCCGCTTGCTCAAGTCAGGCGGGACATCCACGCACGAATAAAGTCACTTAAGGGAAAGAACGTTGCCCGCTCGAGAGTTTTTGTCGCGAAACCTGCCGTTGGATTCCACGTTTCTAAAACTGATCGCCTATTTTGATGCCTTGCCGGTCGGGATGTTGAACAGCACCACCCTCGGGCCCTTGAGCCCGGCCTCGCCCTGCTTCCAGTCATTCAGGCCCTTGTCTACCCGGTAGAAGCCGCGTCGCTCCAGCTGGATGATGTCGTCAGCCTTGAGCTTGCCCACGCCAGCATCGCACCACGCATCCTCGACGCTGGAGGTGTTGGGGTTGAGGAAGTCCTCCACGTTGTCGTCCTCCTCGAGCTTGTCCTTGGTGATGAGGTAGTCAAAGTCCCACAGCTCTGCCGGCACCAGGTCGAAGCCCTGGGCTGACAGCCACGTGATCTTCTTGTCTGTGGCCTTGAAGTCGCCCTTGAGGTTGAGCTCAACCGTCATGCTCTTGATGGGGTCCTCGGCGGGGAGCTCACGGACGAAGCCGTTGCCCCAGCCCATGAGCGTCACCTCCTCGTTGACCTTGAAGCTCTTGGCGTCGGCCTGGTCGATGTAGATCTCTGGGGAGAAGACGACGTCCTTCATGCCGACGCTTGGGTTCTTGGGGTGCTTGGCGCGCTGCTCGACAACGACGCCCGTGGGGGCCTCGGCGCCGATCAGCTTGGCCTTGACCAAGTCCTTCTGGAGCAGGGCCGTGTGCCGAGGGACGACGGGGTCAATCTCCTTCTTGTTGGCGTTCCAGAAGCTCGTCCAGTCCATGACGACGACATTTCGGCTCGGGCCCTGGCGGATGATGAAGTCGCGCAGCGCAGCCACCGACATGCCGCGGCGGCGCACGCCTCGGACGGTGGGCATTCTCGGGTCGTCCCAGCCCCACACCTTGCCCGTGTCGACCAGCTTGGCCAGCTTGCGCTTGGAGAGAAACGTGCGGATGAAGTTCATGCGCGCAAAGTCCCACATGTGAACCTGGCGGAGGCCCAGCGTGTCGAGGAACCACTGGTACTGGGGGTTGCGATCCGTGTACTCGGTGGAGCGCAGGGCGTGGGTGACACCCTCGTGGCTGTCGACGACGGGGCACGCAAAGTCGTACATGGGGTACATGTTCCACTTGCGTCCGGTGCGGTGGTGGGCGTCGTTGATGTTGCACCGGTAGATGACGGGGTCGCGCATGGCCTTGTTGGGGTCGTCGAAGGAGATCTTGGCGCGGATGCAGTGCGTCAGGCCCTCCGGGGAGCCCTTCTTCATCTCCTCAAAGATGCGCAGGTTCTCTTCGACGGATCGGTCGCGGCGCTTGGAGGGGATGCCGTCCATTCGCTGGGCACGCATCGTCTCCTGGTCCGTGTCGTCGGCGTAGGCCTTGCCCATCGAGATGAGCTTCTTGCACATGTCGTACAGGTAGTCGAAGTAGTCCGAAGTGTAGGTCAGGGTGTCGGCCTTGATGCCCATGAGGGCGAGATCCTCGACAATGGCATCCTGGAACTCCTCGCTCTCCTTGGCGGGGTTCGTGTCGTCGAGTCGCAGGCGCATCTGGCCCTTGTAGGCGACATGGCCAAAGTAGTCGCTGAGAAGGGCAGCCTTGGCGTGCCCAATGTGCAGGTAGCCGCTATTAGAGTCAGTGGCATGTCCCAATTTGGTGTAAAGGATTGACGTACGAGGGCTCGGGCAGGAATCGGGTCACGACGCCCTTGTCGGTGTCCTGAAGGGCGAGGTTGTAGTTGGCGCCGGCCTTCTTGGCCTCGCCGCCCTTGGTGTCCTCCTGGATCTCAGGGTGGGACTGCTCGACAAAGGTGAACCATCGGGTGACGTTGGGCAGCCCGTTGCGGCGGATGAAGCCCAGGGCAGCCTTGTTGGCCTTGAGCGTCTGCCAGACCTGCTTCTCGAGGTCCGTCAAGCTGTACCCCTCCAGGTAGGTCCTCAGCGTGAGGTGCTTGTCGAGGTCCCTGAGATGGGGCTCGATGGACCGGAAGTCCCCGGAAAGCTTGGAAGCGAGGGTCTCGAGCTCGTCGTGCTTCATTGTGGCGGCACTCTCGTCGGATCGTCGAGAGTAAACTGTAGATGAAGCAGCTTGGTGAGTCAATGGATTTTCGGTGGTGGGGGAATGGAGGGGTTTGGGCTGGAGGGGCCACACTGGACTGGACAGACGACCTGGAAACGGCGGTGCGGCCACCGGGCACCCGCCACCAACGCCGCAAGCCCCCAGAGCGACGGGGCTTATCGATAAGCGCGCCGGCCCGTCAATTTTTCGCCGCCTGAGTTCCCAGGCAGTCAGCGAGGCCAAGCCTGTCCGTCAGTGAGCGTCCATCCTGGACTTTTTGCGCGTCTGGCTGGAGCATCACGGTCCCCAGGAGCTCCGTCAACCACCCCGACCATGCCGCCAATCGACCGGTGCCTGGCCTCCATGGCCAGGCTCAGCCTCTCACAGTTCTCGCAGGTCGCGCGACCGTCAGCGACGTCGATACCGCGCTTCCTGGCGCCTGCTCTCGTGCAGAGCCGCCAGGCCTCGGTGGTCAGGATCAAGAAGACCAAGAAGAAGCGCCCGATCCCCAAGGACTTTAAGCGCCACAACCTGGAGAAGAGACAATTCCCTCAGTTTTCATTATGCGAGGCGATGCGGTGCGCACACTGTAACTCTAATGTCTGACTTGCATGCTAACGACTGCCAGCGTCCTTCGCGCCGTCGAGGTCGGCGAGCCCCCTGCGTCGGTCAAGTACGAAATCCACATCAACCTCAAGACTGCGCGAAACGGACCCGTCATCAAGAACAGTATCCGCCTGCCGCATCCCGTCCAGAGCGACTGGCAGATTGCCGTCATCTGCCCCGAGGGCAGCGAGATCGCCACTGCGGCCACCGCAGCCGGCGCCGTCGCCGTCGGCGAGGAGACGCTCTTCGAGGCCATCCGCCAAGAGAAAATCGACTTTGACCGACTCATATGCCATGAATCCAGCGAGAAGGCGCTCAACAAGGCCGGGCTGGGCAAGATCCTCGGCCCTAAGGGGTTGATGCCGAGCAAGCGGATGAAGACCATCGTCAGTGACGTGCCCAAGTCGATCAGGGACTCTGCCGGCGCCGCCGACTACCGCGAGCGCCAGGGCGTCGTTCGCATGGCCATTGGGCAGCTGGGTTACACCCCGGACCAGCTCAAGGCCAACATCCAGGCGCTCCTCAAGAAGATCAAGTCGGAGTGCGCCGAGATCTCGGAGGAGGTGTCCAAGGAGGTGCACGAGGTCATTCTCAGCACCACGCACGGCCCTGCGCTGAGCCTCAACGGGAAGCTGAGGGACGCAGAGGATCAGGTCACGCCGGAAGCGTTGTCCAATGTCATGTAGAAATGCCATAGACGGCGTGTATTATTGTACAATATTTTGGCCGAGTCGCTGCGAAGAAGCTCGAGGCGGGCCAGTTGAATTTATGGCTTATTGGGTATCATTTACGGCTTCGCAGCCTCTATGCTTTGCGCAGTGCCTTGACGGCCTCGTTTTGTGCATCCAGCATCCGGTATATCTCCAGATATCTCATCACCCGGCCCTGGCCTCGTGCGCCAGCCCCTCTCGCCTCCTTGAGCGCGTTGCCCAGGTCCAGAAGTAGCGTGTTGCGACATCTGGTCAGGCGCTCTTCCAGCTTGATGAAGAAAGGGTGTTGCGGGTCGAGGCTCTGCTGCAAGAGCGTTATTTGCCGGCATTCGCGCGCGGACTGTAGTAACCTCGCTGGGGAGCTCCCGACGAGGCCCTGTATGTGTTCATCCTCGTCCTCGTCGTTTTCGTCTGTGTCGTCCGAGTCCCACTCCGCGTCCCCGTTCGCCGGCAGGCTATCTACCGCAAGCCGCTCCTCCAGCGCCGATAGCCTGTCCGACACCTCGAGCATCTTGCGGCCCTGCTCAATGTCCGAGCGTACGTCGCCGAGCTCGCCGCTGAGCCGCTCCGTCTCGTCCCGCCGCGACGCGACCTTTGCCTTGACATCCTCGACGGCGCGCCGGAAGCCCAGCAGCGCGACCTTGATGCCCTCGACCTTTTCGTCGCCGCCGCGCAATTCGGAGCCGAGCGACAGGAAGGCCGTGTAGTTGGAGTTGACGAGCTCGAGGAGCTCGGCGCTGATGGCGGCGCTGCGGTCGCGCAGGTCGGAGCGCAGGTCCTCGAGGGTCTGGTGGCGGTGCGGCAGCGCGGACAGGTAGGCGGCGGGCTGGAAGTCGGGGGCGAGGAAGTCGGACCGGGGCAGCGCGGTGGGAAACGGCAGAGGGGCATCGTCGTCGCCGGCGCCGGCGTCCGACGACGACTCGGACGAGGGGGCCAGGTTGAAGGTGGCCGAGCTGGACGAGGTGGGGCGGGCGTGGGAGGCGGGCGCGAGGTGTGCCATACTGGCGAGGGATGAGCAGGGGAGCAAGGCGAGTGAGTCTGTGATCACATGTGATGCGGTCTGCTGCCCTGAGGTTCTTTAGTATGCTGGCGGTGGCATGGATTGGGCCTGTGGTGGAGCTGTCGATGGTCGTCCCGAACAGCTGTGCTGGACTGGGCTGACTGGGTGCCGTGGTGGTGGACTGGTGGTGGTGGTGGGCAACAAGGTGGCACTGTCTTGGTGCATAACCTCCGTAACTGCATGGCAGTCCCTTGGCCTTGGCGGTGGTCCGTCAACCATCCACGCATCCACGCCGGGCAGCCAACTCTGGTTTGGTCCACAATCGCACCCACACATTACGTACGACGTAAAAGGGACCCAAGAATGGTCCATTCACGAATCATGCGAGCCCGGAAGACGACGAGCCGTCTGCCGTGGGAACACTGCTGCTAGAATTGGCCGCCCGGCTTCGTGATCTACAAACGGGTTGCGAGTACGGGCTCCTGGCGACGCAGATCGGCGCATGCGGATCTCAGTTGCCCTGCTCCAGCCTCCCATCGTCTCTTGGGGCCATCGTCCAGTCGCGCTTCGAACAACCGACGCCGCCCGTGGCATTTTCGTCATTTGCGGGGAGGGGTTTGCGAGTCGCGGTCAGGGTCCGGGGGGGCTGTCGCGGCAGATGCCCATCCGACGGCCCTGCAGGCCATCCACTCACCATTGGCTCAAAGGGGCAATACCGAGCGGGCAGGCGGAATGTAAAACGGCAAAATGGACGCTGGCATGCGGTGCGAAAAAAAAAGCGCCGCCTTGAGAGCACATCCAAGCACGCCTTCACCGCAATGCACAAGCTTCATACGTCCGATTTTCTATCATAAAAAGAGACGATTTTGAAGATTGAGAATTGGGCTATCGTCTGCTATCAATTTTTCTCGACTCAAATAGGTGCTACGCTCATGTTTTGACGGTCTCGCAGAGGATGCTTACCTTGCGTTCTGGTGTAAAGGTGGCGATTATTTTTCGCCCCGCATGGCTGGGCACGGTGAGCATGTTTGGTGGCTCGGAGGGATGGTCATGATTATCTACCCGCCGTGGCCGTTGTGCCGGTAAAATTCCAAAGTATCCTTCAGAGGGTGCTATAGGCGACGCTCCCGTGCTGACGCCGGCACAGCGGCAGCCCAACCTCGCACAGATGGAGAGATGCCGCCGTGCTGCCGCCGCGGCGAGGTGCCGAAATCACAACTGCTGCGGACCGTGGCGATGAGCATGGATCAAGCCCCGGCCAGGGTAGGGCAGGGCTGGCCCAGCAGAATATCTACTTCGACAGGCCTCGTGCTCTTGATCCGATGGGGACTCGCTGCAGGCGCCCACTCCCCAGCACGCAACCTGCACCACACAGGTTGCTCCTTTGGTGTGTGACCGGGCACCTGCTAGGCCAGTTAGCGCGAAAGATTTTATCAATCAAATCTTATCAATCGATCAAGGCCCACAATCTCTTGCCCTCCTCCTGAAATCGGACCACACTGGCTTTGGCACAAAAGGGCGGCCGCCGCACTTTGCAAATTCTCTCAAACCCCGCGTCTCGCCTCCGATCCCGCCAGCTCGAGTTTTCCCGTGTTTTCCCTTTCATCTGCATCGCGGCACTGCACGGCACGGCACTCTCGCGCTCACATCTGCAAGCACGGCAATCTGCCTCGTTGCAACGAAGACCGTGCGCGTCGCAGACTGATACCCGCGGAATTGCACTCACAGTGTTTCCTCCTGCAGTCAGCAGGCCGGGTACTGCTCATTTCCCCTCCGTCCGCCCTCCAGCCCCGGCAGAATCTGATAAGCCGCCGCCGCTTCCTGCGCGGTAACCCCCCTTCTCCCGCCTCTTCTCTGTCGCCAACCAACCCAAACCAATTGGCAATCGCGCGACATATCCTCGACATTTATATCTCGCCGGCATATCCAGATCAGTCCAGGCATCCTCGGACAAAACTCGAATTGAATTTCAGGGCAATCCGGCTGCTCGCTGCTATCGCCGGAGGCACATGCGGGAGACCCGACTCGGAGCTCCGAGGTGACGAATCACGAGGCGGATCCGCCCCCCTCAGCCCACCAATAGCCAAACCCACACCACCATTGCCGCTGCCACCGCCGCTGCCACCACCATGAACGCTTCTTCCTCCTCCACCGCTCTCGCTCCCTCTCCTGCTGGTCAGCCCAACACCACCAAGCCCGGCGAAACCACTCGCCCGCAGATCGCCTCCCGCACCTCGTCGGTCAAGGGTAAGGCACCCGCTCCGTCGTCCGCTACCGCCGCCGCCGCTGCCGTTGCGGCTCCGTCCGGTTCCGCAGCGCCGGCCCGAGCCCCTCTCCCGACCAGACAGCCGAAGGGCGCCGTGCCGGCAAAGTCTGCCGCCGCCGTTGCTCCGGCCCCTCTTCCGCGGCTCTCTGTCCCTCCCGTCGACAAGATGACCATGGCTGCCGTCATCAGCCCCAGTCCCGCCCCGGAGGCGCTCGCGCCGAAGACGTCCATGACGTCCAAGGAATGGGTCATTCCTCCGAGGCCCAAGCCCGGTCGCAAGCCGGCAACGGACACGCCTCCAACGAAGCGCAAGGCACAGAACCGTGCCGCTCAGCGAGCATTCCGCGAGCGCCGTGCCGCGAGAGTCGGGGAGCTCGAGATTCAGCTGGACGAGCAGCGCGAGGTGCACGAAAAGACCGAGGCCGACCTCAAAGAAAAGATCCACGGCCTCGAGCTGGACCTCCAATCATTCCGCTCCCGCTGCATGCTCTTGGAGAACATGCTCGACCGCGAGCGCCAGGAACGTATCCGGGCCGAGACGCAGGCCGAAACGCTCAAACGCCGTCACGGCGATGACTTTTTTCGACCCCAAAGCATGAGCGCGTCCCATCGTCACAGCCGCAGCCAGCAGCCCAGTCCAACCCGCCACCACCAAAGACACAGCGTGTCCGATGCACACCAGATGCATCACGGCGGCAGGAACCTTTCCATCTCTCACATCATCACTCCTCCGGACACTGTCGGCACAAACAGCAGTGATTCAGAGGCAACGCTTACGTGTGGCAACTGCTCGCCCTCGGGCCCCTGTGCCTGTGCCGACGAGGTGTTGGCCTCTGCTGCCAACGGATGTGGCAAGTGTGGCTTCGGCTCTCATTGCCAGTGTCTCGACGAGATCACCGCCTCAGTCAGCCAAGGCCAGTCCCTGAAGCGGCCAGTGTCCCCATCAAACCCTTCGTCGGATGGAAAACGCCTGCGGTCTGACGGACGCGGCGTGTTGGAGACTGAGACGGACTTTACAGCCATGTTCTCTCGCACATCTGTCGCGAGCGCCCCGCAGCAGTCTCCGTACGAGCTGCACTCAGAGAGCCAGCTGTCTACGGACTCGATGCCGTTCAAGGATAGCTGCGGCTTCTGCAAAGACGGCACCTACTGCATGTGCGCGGAGGAGGCGGCGGCGATGGCCACACCGGCCATGACACCAACCGCCGAGATCTTGCCACCCATTTCCCATCAAACACAAACACCGCCACCGAGCGAGCCAGACATCATCCCATCGCCGCTGGTGATGGAGATGACTGCTGACGGCGCCGTCAAGCTTCCTCGCCGGACGCAAAAACCGCACAAGAAGCCCACAAAGAACAACACCAAGGGCTGCGGCGCCAACGGACCGGGTACCTGTGCCCAGTGCCAGGCTGATCCAAAGTCTGGCCTCTTCTGCCGCCTCATGGCCGCCAAGTTTGACCGCGAATCTGGGTCGGCGGGAGGCGGCTGCTGCGGCGGTAAGGGCGCTGGGGGTGGTTGCTGCAAGTCTGGTGGACCGGAGAGCCAGAAGATCACTCTCCCTAGCTTGCCCAGCCTAGGTCTGAGCTGCGCCGAGGCGTACCAGACTCTCTCCAGCCATCGGAATTTTGACCGCGCTGCCGACGACATTAGCTCGTGGCTGCCGAAGCTCAAGGCTTCCACGCCCACACCTAGCCGGCCCGGGGTGCAGCGCGGCCGGCAAGCCATCGAGGTAGAGGCAGCGAGCATCATGAGCGTGCTGAAGGAGTTTGACGTGCGGTTCGGCCGGGAGTGCTAGAGCCTGGATGATTTGCAATGAATGGCATGGGGCAAACAATAACCCCGATGATTTATGTTGACGCGCACAATGTTCATGTCATCACGCGCAGGGTCATGTATAAATGTGCGGACAGGGCGCCGATGACCTCCATGTTTGGGAGGCGGCTTCGCCGCGTTTGGCGTGCCAAGTATGTTTGTATCAGTGTAACATGGGACAATCCAAACGTTGCTCAAGTGCTGCGAGTTTGCGCGACTGCCTTGACGGGATCCGTATTCTCGAACGTCGTGCTTGTGCTGAGCTTGCATTGTGCTTCTGTGCTGCACTTTCAGACCGCCGGATTCACGGTCCCGTCGACTCGTAGGCACTACTTGACCGCCTTCACGCCTCCGCGCCTCCAAGCACAGATTTCCAGTCGCCGACACCTACATGCTTGGAGAAGATCAAACAAGCCTCAGCCGAGGACTTTTCCCCAAGATCAAGCAATTGGGCACTCATCGGCTGCGCCGGCAGATCAACCGATCCCCTCGCCAGCCGGCCCCATTCCTTTGTTGCGCTGCGACGGTGCGTGAAGAAAGGGGACAAGGGACAGTGAGTGGGGTTTATTAAGTTAGTAGTTGGTAGTACGTCAGTACGTTATGTCGTAGGTAGATCGAAGCGCGCAAGCGCACGCGACTCTCTGTGCGGCTCTGTGGCGGACGATGTGCTCCGGCCCGCGGGAGGGGTGGCATGCACGGTCAGGGGTACAGCGGCGAGAGCCTGTGGCTTTTCTTTTCTTTTTGTTCCGTTGCAATGGGGTTGGGTTGGGGGTTGCCGGGGAGGAAAACGGGCGTGCAGATGGACGGACTACATTGTGGACTCATGGGCGCGTCATTCATCGCCCGTTGCAGGGGTGGTGATCGTGCGTGATCGTGCGGTGCGAGGGCGAAGAGGGTGAAACACCACGGATGGTCATGAATCATCGGATCGAGGAGCACAGCCAGCGCCGACCTTTCGCACACGCGCACTTGTAACAGGTCTCCATCTTCACCATCGCTTCAATGGATGTCAATGGAGGTGGAAATATGTATATAAGTCGGCGTCGATGCTCGTGATGGAGGATTCTTTTTGAAGGGCATCAATCCAGCAACCATCACCACTACTTCATCATTCAAGTCACCTTTCAACTTTTTAACCATCTTCTTTTGAAGTTAAAACACATTAACATCATGCCTACCGAAGCTCAGATCGCCGGCGGCCACAAGGCTACGCTCAACAACCCAAACGTGTCGGACGAGGCCAAGGAGCATTCGCGCCAGGTCCTCGACAACGAGTTCAATGGCGGAGACGGTGAGTTTTCCGTGCCTGCGGGGCCTCCGGCATCATCAATAGTGCCATCTGCGCATATTCACGGTCATGGTGCTGACATTGATGTGTGTAGTCCCCAAGTCGGGCGACAATGAGAATAAGAACCCCGGCAACGTCGTCGGCGGGCTCAAGGCGTGAGTGACTCCCATCTACCATTCCGAGAATACGTCGAAGAAAGTGTCACAACTGACATGTGCGCAGTACTCTGAAGAACCCGAACGTCTCGGAGGAGGCCAAGGAGAGCGCCAAGGAGCGCCTGGATAACATGTAGATAGCAGAGCTAAAGAAGCTGGCTGGCATTTTCATCACCTACTTCGAGGAGGGCGTGTTGTTGTGCACTCGAGAGTTACTGCAAGCGAGGCGACATACTAGCAAGGCGCACGAGTTGTGGCGGTGACGATAATTGACAAACTGGACGACGATTCTCACGAGCTCTTTCATTCCCCCGTAACGGACCGTGAATGTAGGGAATTATCCCCTTTGCCGATGATACGCCCTGTCATGTCCTCACTCAATCGCACTGGAGTATAATTGCCAGCTTTTCGCCTCCCTGGCGGCTGAAACATGTAGTTGCCTGCCAGGCTGCCTACATGCATACGACTTCCTCACTCCCACGTCTCCAGTAGCACATATGGCCTTCTCCCGAACACTATAACAAGCGCGAACAGTCAGAATCCGCGTCTCTCATTCATATCACTTACCCGCACCCCCCGCTCCAGCTCTCTCCCCAACCCCCAAACCAATCCTCGTTAGCGGCACGTCTGGTTAATGGGTTACTTACCGAGCGATGTTCACTGCAGGCGACGCTGACGTACTCCGTCACGCCCCCCGGAGTCAGAATGTTACAAACACCCGAAGGTGAGCCATGCACGCTGCATTCCTTCAAAACCCCGCGCAATGGTAGTCAGTATGAAGTGTCTTGTGCGATTTGGGGTCAGGGATTTGTGTAGGCCGTTGGGGGCGTGTGAACGGCAGTGGAACTTACACCCTCGAGCATATCGCATGGCATGCCCGCGGCTAAGAATGCGTGCGTGATGCAGAAGAAGACGATGTGCTGCAACTTCATGACGGGCGAGTGGTAAGAACGAGGGAGGTCTTATCTGGACAGGCGGACGTGCGGGCGGAGGCGGACGGTTTACTTTGACCGGACGTGACGACGTGCTGTGCGGGCGATAACGATGTGTATGGAGGGACTTGTGCTTGCCCGGGCACGTCTATGTTTATGAATGGCGAAGATTCACCCCGAAACTGCGTTCTTGGTGCAGGCGACTGCAATCCACATAGCCAAACTCTTTGGCTATTATTTCCTCACGACGCTACTGCTTAGCTCGGGCATCTCGACTCATTACTCAATGTGTCGCTGAAGGTTGAAGGTCTTCAGACCGCCCCTTTGTTTCATTCATGGGGGAAACATATGACTAGTAGCCTGCGAACGTGGTGCTGCGAGGCCCGGCCCTTGCCCATGTGCCGTGCTGTGCTCCCTTTAATGTCTGTTCATCATCTATCAGAGCCTCCCCAGTGCCATTGGCATCGAAAGCTCACGTACACCTACGGAAAAACGAACATAAGTAGAGCGATCAAAGCGCTGGTAAGTTAGCATTTGCTCGAATAGTTCGGTTACCGCGTCTTGCGGATCAGACCCCTTGCAGGACCAACGGCAGCCGTCGCGATGGTCAATCCTGTCTGGCAGCAAGGACTCCGTGCGGTCAATGCGTCTGGTATTACAACCTGGTCAACATCGTCTTCAATGGCTTGGATCGGGCCGCAGCACGTGGCAACCGGGCAATCTGATACGGCTACTACCCTGGGGCAAGTGCGCGCGGCAGCCCGGGCACCGGGCCTGTGCCCTCCACGTCTCGGTCTCTGACTGATTTACACGACGGACCCTCGTAGGCTCTGTGACGTGGCAGGTTGCCTCCGTACCAGCGCTGACTCCGTCAAAACCCGGCTCGGAAGACTCCGTGGTGGCGTTGTACGAGAAGCACTACATTCTGAGCAAACTACGCAGAGCGAAAGCATCACAGAGCGTCTGGTTCTACGATAAGCACGCACCCCTTACGTGGATATCGATGCAGAGTACTGGAGGATCAACGCCCCTGCCGGTAGAGGGCACAAGAGCAAGTGTGTTGTCGCAAAACTGGGACACTCCAACCGTACGCCCGTGGTAAGCCATGTCCGACGTGAGACGCATGCACCTCGTCTATTCCGCAAGAAAACATACTCTTGCGGTTAGGTGTGGGCGAGACTCGATGGTACACCAACAACAATAGGCACTCGTATAAGTCGCCCGCAGCTCGAGTGTCTGTCAGACCGCCTTGCATTTCGCAGGCAATTGCGATTGCACGTGAGCATCGCCCGACGCACTCGCGGCTGTTGTCTTTCGAACACGCGGCGAAAGAATCCTGGGTATGAAGTCGTCCTCCATTTTTGTGGCGATTGGCGGGCTGATGAACAACGCGACAACGCAGCAGAATCCCCTTTTGGACTCGGCGGACACAGAACGGTCAACGCTGGCACCAAAGGGGCAACCGACGCAGGAAGAGACGATCCGGCCTGGCTCAAGTCCACCTCTGGCGACAGCGTCGATTGGTGCCCGCGGCGCTATATGCGTCGAGGAGCTGGCAATGGCAAAGCTGGTGTTGCTGAGTGTCGATACCTGGTACGTCCTATGCATAAGGTAGCACTGTAAGGCGGTGCTTGGCGGCGTCGAGACGATCCACCCGAGGCCGCCTATGCATCTGGACTTGACAGCGCAGAGCCTTACGCATCATGCGCGTGTAGCCGTCGCCCACGTCGTCGCGGACATGAGCTGCCAGCAGCGACATGAGGGCGTGCGTCACGGGACCTTGCATGGAATCTCAAGATTCCCGTCGCTCCACGTGTCCCTGCGACGAGCACTGCGAGACCGGGCGTGCCGACCTGGCTCGTTGCTGAGCGTGCAGGTGGTGGACGAGTGAGAGGCGGTCGCGTGGATGGGGGTATTCGTACTCGAGTACATGCTGTAGTAGCCGTGGGCAATTGAGACACGAGCCGTTCATCGGTCGGACAATTTCGTGCATGGCGTGGCATGGCAGGGCATGGCACCTGTCATGGCATCCGTACTCGCACCGCCGCCTAGCGCAAAGATTGAGCGGAGGACTGGCGGGAAGGGCTGGACAAGAGCGACACGACATGCCGTGCCGGCACTCATGTGACTCGGCGGCGCTGGGCTGTGAGCTTGTCGAGATGGGGTGGAGGAGGGATGGATGGATGTCGGACCGGCACTGGAAGGCGCCAGCCAACCACGCGTGGCCCTCGTCGACTCCGGTTTCGTCGATCCACGTAGCAGGTCCAAGGGGGCGTTAACGCGGGGGCGACATTGGCGAGCGAGACTGGCTGGCGGGCGGGCGAGCAAGTCGAGACGTCGGTGAGAAGAAGCCAAGGGGACGGTCTGCAGACGAACCAGGCGACGAGGCTGGGCTTTGCTGGGCTTTGCTGGGCTTTGATGGGGAACGCAGGGTCGAATGGCGATGGTGGCATCGGGACGCTCCAGAGGCGGCGGAGGCTCGCGAGTGGCTTCGGCGGGATCCAGAGGGCTCGGGAGGGCAGGGGAGCGAGGTGTGATTGGACCCAGGCGTGAGCTGGCACACCACCCCCCCTCGCGTGCATGCACATGGCGTGGACGATGGAGATTGGCGCGAGGGCGGGAAGCCGTCTCGTGGATGGCGTGGATTGGCGAGGCTTTGGCCTCTGTCTGGCGATGCATCGACCATGCAGTGCCAACTCATCCATCTCACGCTGCGCCTGCCCTGGCCTGCCCTGCGACCGGGACCCCGAGAAACGACGCGGCGGCCGCCTCTTGCAAAGGGGGCGGCTGGCGTTTGCCGCGTGACGAAGCTGCTGACCGCGCCGTGGCGGCGATGCTTTGGTGGTGGTAGTGGTGGTGTTGATGGGTAACTGTCGTTGCGATGTCGCTGCGTGTTGCGTCGCACGAGGACGGGAAGCCAGCATGTCGGCTGCTCGACCGCCTGTCGACAGGCTGCCGAGGATGGCCGGCATTCCTGCATGACGGCGGCGATGGCGGCGGCGGCGGCGGTGGCCTGGTCGGCGATGGGACGGGGCCGTGGACAGAATGATAGATGGCTCGACCGCCAGCCCCGGCTTGGATGGGATGGTCGGGGGAGACTCGAACAGCGCAGCGCAGCTGGAGGCAGTGGAGTTCCGGGTGGCTCCAGGCCCGTCCCGTCTGTGCGGTGAGGCCCACTGGGTGCTCCTTCTTGGGTGGTTTCTGGCGGGCCAAGGGTCCCCGACTGACAACGCATCCAGTGGGCCGAGGGCCGCTGAGAGCCTCCCAAGTTCCATCTGGCCTCGCCCTGGGACGGAACCGACGCTGCGTGAGCTGAGCTGGAGGTGAGGGTCGATCCATTCCATCCATCCAGGCCGTCTGTCTGATCCCGCCGGGCTGGTGCTCCCATCCATCCAGTGGGCCGCTCGCTTGGGCCACGGAACACAGGACCACACGAACGGGAGACGAGACGAGACGGGACGAGACGGACGAGCCGGGAGGATCCATCTCGGCGCGTGTTGGCTTTTTGTGTCCTTGCATGCGCACCCAAGAAAGTACGGTAGCACATACAGTACATACGAGCAGATACCTAGTGCCTTACCTACTGCACCGTGACCGTGGGCTCTGGATCTCGAATCCAGGACTAAACGCTTGCTTCCCCATGCTTGATTGCTTCCTTGCTTGCTTCTTGCGCACGGGCACGCACGACAACCTGGAACCTGGAAGCCCCGGCAGAGCGAGTCTCGATTGGCGACGGGGCCGTTTGCCCGCTGTGCGTCCCCCGCCTCAGGCGGTTCGTTCCTCGGGCGGCGCTCCGGGGGTGCCCCTGTGCATCGCGCGCATTAGCGCCGACCCCGACTCGGCTGCGCTGGCGGGCGTCCAGCACAGGTTCAGGGCATCCATCCTCCCAACTGCTGGAACGTCAGCGGTACTTTGGACGTTCACTGACTCGGGCGTCTGTCCTCTGCTCCTCCCACGTCATCCCAGCCCAGTCGCTATTGTCGTGCTGGCGTCGTCAGGGTGCTGCGTCAGGTACCTTTTCTCCAGCTCACGGCTCGCATCCCATCCGTCAGGTCCTGTCGCATCCCCATCGTTGCGGACAACCTCACACCTCACCTCACATGCAAGCGCGGGCAGGGACATGCCTGCCTCCAAGCTGCTGCAAGACCAGCAGTGCCAGTCTGCACGGGTACAGGCCAGCATTAGCTCCCGTCCGAGTACGAGTTAGTACATTGAGGTTCCATCCATCGTACCAAGAAGTCGTCGTCTCGAGCCATTCGCCGCGCACCACCACCGCCAGCCAGTGGCCATCTCGTCTCGTCGTCTTCTCGTCACGAGGAGCGACTTCTTCCCCTTCACTCCCTCCTTCCTCTTCTACTTTTTCCCTCCAAACCTCTCCCGCGGGCGACCCTCCTCTTCTCTTCGCCTTCCTCCTCGCCTGGGCCAGCTAGCGACGCCGTCGTTTCCATCTTGTCACGGTGCCTTTTCATCCCGCCGCGCTCGCTGCGTCGCCCTGGCCCGCGCACCCCCAGAGCCCCTCAACCACCGTGGCTCTCGTCGAGGCTGGCCTCGATCCCTAGTCCCGTCCCTCTACCTCGACGTCGACCTCAACCTAGCCACGGCGCCGCTTCCCAGAGCCGTCCCGCCTCGCCACAGCTCCTTGCTGCTGTCCATCACCGCTGGCGTCGGCGCCTCTCCTTTGTGCAAGCCGTCACCCAGCAGCCCCTGCACGGCGGCCTCGAGAGGTAGCTTCCCGCCGAGCGAAGCTACGTCGCGAGCTGTTGGGGCGCTGGCGCTCGACCTCCTCATGGGATCACTATGATGCCCATGCAGCGCTCCTTGTCCTCGCCTGTCTGCACACGTTCCTCTCCCCGTACGTTGCTGTCGCACGCGCGCGCGCGCGCCTCTTCCTCCACTGCACTCCCTCGCGACGGCCTTGTGTTGCTAACCTTTCATGCCACTCCTGTAGCCGTGTCACCCACCGTTGCACACATCTCGACCTCTCCCACCCCGTCGCCCGACGGCCATGCTACCGCTCCCAAGCCTAGGCGCCAACGGTCGCGCAGCCCGTCCCGTGCGTCCGACGCCACCCAGATTCTACCGCTGCGACGCGGCGAGGAGCCCCAGCGCCGCGGCCGCGCCCATCGCCAGAGCCCGACGGCGACGTTTCGACGCCCGCTTGTCGCACAGCCCACGACACCCTCGCCTGCCGGCGCCCGCCGCGATGTCAGGGACCGGTCCGCCACGCCTCCCCGTGCCCAGGCCGACAAGATCCCGCAGGCCCGGTCCAAGCCCCTGTTGGACGACCTTTCCCTGTACACGAACCCGCATCTAACCCGCGACAACGAGAGCACCACGCTCGAAGAGCTGGCCCACGTCGTCCGCCTGTCCAAATACCAGGAGCGCAAGCGCGCCAACACCCGCATCCGCTTACATAGGAGCCTAGTCTCTACCGCCCTCAGTGCCCGGCTGACGAGATGCGGCGAGATTGCTCACCGCAACTTGGTTGACAACTTTCGCAAGGATGACAAGGATAGCTTCGCCCTGCTGTACAATGCCATTCACGATGTCCGGAAGAGCTGCGACGAGCTGCGTCGATACGCGCTGCTGGAGCCCGAGATGGAGTCCCTTTCCTCCCCGGCCTTGGCTTCCTCTGACAGCTTGGACACGCCGACTAATTCCGTAATCGGCGTCGGACCGCTTCGCTCCATTGCCCCCTTCCTGCATGATATATCTGCCTCGGCCAGAGAAACGTTCCTTGATTTCTTGTCCCAGCTTCGCACCAACCCGGACTACTTGGCCACCCGGATATGCGCACTAACTAGCTCCGAGCTGAACGCGTTCCTCAGCTTCCACAAGGGCCTGGAGCCGGTTGAGTCGGTGCTACCCTTCCATGGTCGTTCTGCCACCCGCTCCCACTCTGGCGCATCTGGACGCAACGGGCATAATGCCGACATTGAGCGGCTGCTTTCCTTCCAGCGGCACGACCCGCTGTCTATCCTGATCCATACTTGCTTTGCTAACTCGGCGGGGCCAGACAGCTCAGAGGACCAGCGAAGGACCGATATCTGGTCCACCGTCTTGGCAAGGCTTATCCAGCAGCCCAAATCGAGCAGTGAGCATTTTCTCATATCCGTCTTGAACATTTGGACTGCCATGCGGGAATGGTCCGGCAAATCCAACATGGAGTGGTATCTCATGAAGATCCTCGAAGACGGCGCTTTTCTTCTGGACAGGGCCGAGGACCAGCACGGAACCAGGTTCAACCTCTCGGATTGGAACCAGTCCGACGAACTCGCCGCCAAGGCCTTCTATGACAAGGCCGTGGACGAGCTCTTCGAGCTCGTGGATGACGAAGACGCAACTGGCATACCCGAAGGCCTGCTGGAGCTCGGCAACGCCATCATCACCAAGCTTGACAACAAATACGTCGAAAACACGTCCAAATGGTTTGTTTGGAGATGTCTCTTCTTTGTCTTCCTCCTCGGAGTCATTGTCCATCCAGAGTCGTACGGTATGCTGGCCGAATATCACATCACGCCCTATGCCCGGGAGAAGATCTTGAAAAAGGTTGCCATGAAGGCCCATGAATACGTTTCCAGCATGTGGAGCGGTAAGCCTTCGGCCACCTGTGTCCCCGTCCAGGTACCGCCCAAGATCAAGGCCCACGTCGAAGGGATACTGGCCAGATTCCAAGGCGCACGGTCCAAGGTGCCCGCTGCCAAGCTGCTTCCCGCCAGGTCCATCACGTCTTTGAGAGAAACCGTCGAGGTCCATCCATATTTGGTCATCAGCCCCGCGGACTTGCTGACTTTGGTGAATGCCCTGTTCCCTGAGAAGAGACCACTCTCGGCCGGCTCGAGCATGCGGTCCGGCCAGGCTTCCATTTCTGGCTTGTCGGCCATCTCACAGCCCATAGCCATGGCGGGTAACAGGGCCAACTTCGAGACAGCGTCCATTATAAGCACGAGCGTCTCGTCGGCGCTCAGCGATGGCGCCGCTTCTCGCGAGGGCCTTTCCGATGACCACAATACGGCTACACCACAACGCTATAGCCCCCCGTCCGTTGACCCCGAGGCCCAAAGGCGCCTGAACAAGTACGAGGACGATGGGTATCGTCTGCGGCTTGCGCTTCACGAGCTGAGCCAGAACCTCGGGCCCGAGAATCTCCGAGGAGCCTGCCACCCCTGCGCAGAACGGTGGGCTGTTCTCTTCATATCCTCTAATGGGCGTGCGTTGTCTATGAACATGACCTATGATCCAGACGATGAGCGTGATGAAGAGGATAATTCCTCGAGCGTCGACACGGATGACGAGGATGGCGAGAGCGGCCCAGAGCTCGACAAGGACTACCACCAACTCCGAGACTCCATCCTCAGGCTGGTTGAGGACTACGAGATACCACGCAGCCTAGAACCCGACAGCGAGAGGGCTCAACTGAGCAATCGAGCTTCGAGGCTCAAGAGGTACAAGTCGAAGACAAAGATCATCACCCCAGAGAAGACAATGTCAAGCAGAAATCCGTACCGAAACCACGTGGCCAAGGAGCCCACCCCGACTGCCGCGGACGGCGTTGACGACGATCTGGATCCCGTCCTAATCACCATGCTCAAGGCCGCTTCCGCACGGTCCAAGGCTCAGGCGGACTTTGTCTCGGCCCACGCATACTGGAAGACCCTGAAACAACTCAATGCGTTGGGCTCGCAGTCTCTCCGTGAGAATGGATTCGCCGTACTCATCAACATATTTTCCCGTGGGCCCAAGGACTCGATACGTAGGTCTGCGGCTGCCATTGAGGAGTACGATGCGTGGCTGGTTTGGCTCAAGCAGAGCCAAGAGCGGCATGAGGGCCTCATCGACCAGATGATGAAACGCGTCCGGGCTATGCGAGACAAGATGTGGTTTGTCACGGATGTCCGGAACTCCAGAGAGTACGCACACAGCCGCGATGTCTGCCAGGCGCTCAAGACAATGGGGATGCCCAGGCGGTGGAGCTCGTTTCAACGATCGCGGACAAACACTGCTCGCGGGCACAGCGCCTCCTACCTCTACCGCACCGAATCGCAGGTCATGGACCTCTTGGCAGCCTCTGAAGAGCAGGGCGGGCCGAACAAGCTCAGCGACGACCAAGCCGAGAAGACTGCGCTGTGGCTCCAGCAGTACAATGTGGAAAACTTTTGTCAGGGCGAAGAAAGAATCCACCGGTTCTGCTGTGAGGTCGACCGCTGCATATCGCAACTGATTGGCGAAACGATCCGCGAGGCGCCGGTGCTGTGGTCGAGCGAGCTGTACAAGCGCGATAAGATCGTGTACGACCGGATGCGAATTCGCGAGCGCGAGCAGACCGCCGCAGCGGACGACAATTCGAGTCTCCTTAGCGACGGTGACCGCCGCTTCCACTCGTCCTTGAACCGTCATGGCGCGTATGCGCGGGATCTCAGGGGCGTTAGCAGCCCGCACCATCATGACTCGGCCCGCGCTGGTGGCCACAGAGCCGGCGCTCATCTTTCCGACATCGTGGACGGCCAGGAATACTTTGAGAAGGCATCGCCAATCCATACCATTGACTCCGCCAGCACGTTCTGGTCACCATTTCAACCTGCCATGTCCCCCGGCTCGATGGCTTCGCGAGCCTACTCTCCAACGACCAGCCTCACCAACCTCTCGACGACGTTTTCGGGACCACTGTACCACTCACAGCTGCCATCAAGCTCCAGTGTTTCTTTTGGGCGACCGACCACATCGGCGTCGTCCAACGAGACTGTCTTCCCCCTGAGAGCTGAAGACGAAAAGAGCCGCTTTCTGAACGAGCTGAGGCAGTCGGTAACGAGCTTATTGCTGTCCGACCTTGGGAACCTTGTACTTGCCCGGGGATCCGAGACAGACGTCTGGTTCGACAACCTTGGTCAGCAGTGCATCGATAGGAAAGAGGCGCTCGATCGACGTGCCCGCCGCCGGTCCGAGAGAAGGGACAAGGAAAGGCAGAGCAAAAGCTCTCCTAGGCCGAGGGTCATCGAGAAGAAGAAGAGCTGCAACAACCTGCGCGGCGTTGGAGACGGAACAGGCGAGCGCTCTTCAGCCACACCCGAAATAACGGCGAAAGTCGAGCATGATCCCCAAACTCTCGGCAGTGGTGATGGTCATGGCTGGCCGGTGCCAAAAGAAAGTGCTCCCGACTTTCCGTTCAAGAAGGCGTTTCAAAGACTACTCAACATGTTTTCCGTCCACCCGAACCCTTATGCCAAGCTCAATGCGCTCAACGAGCTGGAGCACCTCATCGTGGCATCGTTGCTGTCCAACGGGTCGAAGAGAATGAGAGCGAGTCGATCAGATGCTGGCTCGAGCGTTGTTGAAGATGGCGGAGGCACCAACCGCCATGCGCAACTGGAAGGCACAATCGATAACGTCAAGGAGCGCCGCTCCCAGGCTCTGCAATCGGCTCTCCCGTCGACGGGCCTGGTCTACCAGTCTCGCCAGTCTAACTCGGAAACGCGCTCCATCTTGTCGGGGGGTGCGACGAATACGGATGCAATCACAAAGGAACTGCAGATGCTCTTTCGCGATCCGTCCATTCGGCCAAAGTCTTTGTTCCGCGACCTTCAGATGATTGCTTCTTTTGTCCCACCCAGCATCCTAGACAGATCGGACAAGGGCAAGGCGTTTTGGAACACGGGGTTGGCGGCTCTGAAGGTGAAGTCGGAGGTATGTCGGACCATGGTGGAGATGGCCGACGAGATTATCGCCGCTCGTGCGCACACGCGCAAATCGGCAGGGGAGGGGGGCGTGCCCGTGGCAGAGGCGGTCCCTTCTGCGACGGGCACACCGCCGCCTCCGTCAAGCACATACAAGCTGGACGATGCGGGCAAGATGTGGGCGATCACAGCCAAGGAGGGGTACGCAACGGCGCAGCGTGAGCTGGCTCTCTTCTACCTGGCGAACCCCGAGTTTGTGGAGAGGACGACGCTCCCGCTGTCCAAACCCAGGGAGGTTTTCAAGCAGGTCGTCATGGAGAAGTACGGACGCAGTGAACGAGTGCGAGGCAACATGGGAGGGCCTAACGTGGGCGGGATGGGCGGTGGCAGCGGAGCCATGCGCCCACAAGGCGTTTCGGCCAACCCCGCAGACGGGCCAGCCATGGGCACCAACGAAGGGGACGTCAGGAACGACGCGGGCCTCATGTGTGTGGCGGTGCACTGGATGGAAGCAGCCGAGCAGGGCGGCGACGAGCTGGCGACGAGCTTCCTGCGGCAGAACGAGTTTGCGGGTCTGCCTTGATGTTGACGGATTTGCTCATGATTTATGCGTTCATGTACGAGCGAGCGAGCGAGCAGGAGAGTGTTCATATCAGAGAGCGCGCTCGGGGACACTATATGATATCTACGTATATATACATGGGCTGTTGGCAGGTCGGAAGCGGATAGATTGCGGGCATGGATCTGGCATGGGTCATTGGCGTCATTGAACCCTCGGGACTGGGTCGGAGGATATACAAGGCGTACTGTCTCAACGGGTCACGCAGGATAGACGATGCTACGTTGGCATGACGGGAAGATCTGTTCATCTGCACATGCAGGTTGTCAAGATTTCGTTGTCAGGGCGGTGACTTGAGTGACATGTGTTGCGTACAAACTGCGATGCTAGTATGTAGAACGCTTCTTCGAACGCCAGCGCAGATATGATGAAAGGGCCTGTCAGTCTGCGTCAACACCGGATCGCTATCATGGAGTTACAATGTTAAACGCCGGGTTGGGAACGACAATGAGGGATGTGACAGCGTCCCAGGCCCCGGCATCTCCAGCGGTGACGGCTTTGACGGAGTCGAGGCTCTTGGGGGTGCCCAACGTCGCGCTCCCGACGAGGGCCACGAGGCCAACGTGAGCGATCCAGACCGTGAGGTCGACGTTGCTGTCTCGCCGCTTTGGATGCGCCACGTACTCGACGGCACGGCCCGTCAGCGCCCCGTTGCTTAGACGTAGATGCCAGCCTGCGCCCTTGGCGGATGTCTTTGGGTCGACTTGCATGCCCTCCACCATGAAGTCGATGGTGACGCCTTTGTGCAGTACTGCCTTGGGGCCGTTGATGCGGATGGCCATGGTGTCGAACAACTCATCCAGGTTCAACGCCATGAGCGACTCGGGCGACATCGCCTCCGTGCCCGCCTCGGGTCCGTGGAGCAGCTCGTGCGCACCCGTCAGGTAAATATTCCGCCAGGTGCCGTTCTCGGCGCCCCTCCCCAACTCCGTATACACAGACGCGAGCTCCTCCCTCGCCGCCACGTCATTACCATTGCCATCCGAGAAGACCAGCTGGTTGAGCAGCGTCGCCGCGAAGCGCAGGTCCCCGTCCGCGCGCCACTCGCGGGCCTTGGCCAGCGTGGCCTCCCGCCCGCCCATGCACGCCACGTAGCGCGTCGCCTCGTCGGCGGGCGCGTGCCGCCACAGGTTGGCCGGGTTGCCGTCGAACCAGCCCATGTACCGGTCGTACACGCCCTTGACGTTGTGGCTCACCGAGCCGTAGTACCCGCGGAGGTTGGTGCGCGTGCTGAGGCTGGGGGGCATGGTGATGGACTCGGCGATCTCGAGGGGCGTTTGGCCGTCGTTGAGCTGGCGGAGGGTTTCGTTGTGGAGGTAGGCGTAGTAGTCGCGCTGCTCCGACAGGAACGTCACGATGAGGTTGCCGTCATCTTCGTCAGAGCTGTTGTTCCACGTCGGCCAGTGGTGGCTCGAAAACACCACGTCCGACTTGTCGCCGAACAGCGCAATCGACTCGTCCATGTAGCGCGACCATAGCCTCGCGTCACGCACGGGCGCGCCCCGCAGCGTCTGGATGTTGTGCAGCGTGTGCGTCGCGTTCTCGGCCATGCACAGCGCGCGATACTGCGGGAAGTAAAAGTTGACCTCGGCGGGGGCCTCCGTCCCCGGCGTGAGCTGGCACACGATCTCCAGCCCCTCGATGGCGGGCTCCAGCGCGCCGTCGGCGGTGATGATCTGCGTCGGGGCGAGCAGCGAGCCCGTCCCCGAGGAGAGCGCCTGGCCGAGCCCGGCGCCGATCTGGCCGGCGGGCGACTTGTCGAGCCGCTCGCCGTACATGTACACGGCGCGGCGGGACATGGCCGCCCCTGCGTAGATGTTTTCGCTCACGGCGTGCGAGAGGAAGCCGTCCGGGCCGAGGATGCGGAGGTTGTTCGCCGGCCCGGCGGCGTCCTTGATGGCCTGCGCGCCGCCGAAGTGGTCCGCGTGGCAGTGCGTGTAGATGAGCGCCTTGATCTCTGCATCTGTACCCCCGAGGCTCTCGCGGTGGAACTCCTGGTAGAGCTCGAGGGCGCGGCGGGCCGTTTCCACGGACGTGAGGCAGTCGATGATGACGATGCCGTTGGTGCGGGGCACGCGCACGATGGTCATGTTGGCGAGGTCGAGGCCGCGGACCTGGTAGATGCCGTCGACGACGTGGTACAGGCCGGGGGTGGCGCTGCAGAGCTGGCCCTGCCGCCAGAGCGAGGGGTTGGCCGTGTCCGGGCAGGAGTCCTGGAGGAAGTCGTAGGCTTGCGTGTCCCAGACGACGGTGTGGCCGGAGTCGGACATGATGACGGGGTCTTGGAAGGTGGCGACGAGGCCGCGCTGGGCGAACTCGAAGTCGTGGTTGTTTTCGTCCACGGCGGTGGTAGAGATGGTGATGGCCATGGTTGCGGTTGGGGGTTAAAGTGTTCTCGTGGTCGTAAATACTGAGGTTTCGAAACAAAAGGTTGGGCAGCTCTCTGTAACGATCGGTTGTCTTAGAGATCCCTTGAAGTGTCGTTTCCTGTGCCGCTCGTGTACTGGCCTGGTCTCTGGTCAGGTTCGTTCATTCTGGGCGTCGGATGTCCTGGTATTTATACTTGGGAGAGTCGAGGAGAGCCTCCTCCTCTTTGTCAAGGCAACACAAGTCCCCCTCATTGCGCCTGCGTTGGATTCTTCGTGCGCTCTCACAAAGCAAAACTGCACTCTTGTCGTCGTGCATGCATGTGTACTCGTCACAGCACAGCTCTGGAAGACACCCATGGAAGCGGGTCAATATGAGAGAAGGCGGAACAGATGCCGCTCCTGCATACGCAGCGTGCCGCTGCTGCAGACTCACCGGCGTGCAAATGCGACCTGTCAAGGCCAGCTGAGCGACGACCACGGCCTCCTTCATTGGTTCAAGCGCAACTTTTCAGACAGCCACAGGGTGCTGCAACGCGGCTCGCTTAAAAGCACGAAGCAGAATCCAGTCTCTGCTCAGCGCACTTGGGGCTGCGGGAGTTGTAACCCGGCGTCGTCGATCTTCAGGGATGTAGTTTTTTGTGACGTGACAGACTATGAAGTTAGCTTCGCGGTTGTGGGTGACAGCTTCAGTCCATGTCATTTGAATTCAATACTGAGGGCGGGGTTTGTCGTACATGTTGCTGCGGTGCACCGTATCCAATGTAGTGTAACTCACCCCGCGACCGATCGGGAGTGCAACCAGCCTCTCCTTCGTACGCGTCGCTGCGTGTACCATGCGATACGTCTGACTCGCCGTGTCACTTCTGCAACGTGAGTTCCCGTACTTTGCTATTGTGGGAGATGGTCTTGGAGGCCCTCGACGAGGGTAAAAGACATGAGTTTCTCTGCTCTCTCGCTATTCATTGACATTGAACAAACGAAACATGGTTGCAAGCCGTGCGTTATAGTTACGATGTTTCAGACAACCCTTGACCTGAAATGCAACACAAGGACAAATGTCATCGTGTTACATTTACTTTATAACGCGGGGTTCAGCTGCCGTGGGGTGCACAACATCTGGAGCGACCATCCTCGGGGAGACTCTGCCGATTTGGATTTGTAGGCCAGCTCCATTTTCCAACGATCAGTTGCGGTGTAAGACCGCCCAGAGTAGCATGTCAACGCGTTTCAACATTTGAACGGATATGACCAGGAGGATGTTGCTCCTTTACCTCTCCATCCCCTACGCATACTTGTGCTGAATCCAAGACGAGCCAATTACACATTCCGTGGTTCGGTGACAAAACTCCCTATAAGATCCAGAGATTCGGTGGCCGTCTGCGTGTAAGTGCGCAGCATTTGGCTGGTCAGCAGGTTGGCGACAAGAGGCGCCGGTACGACCATATCAGGCACTAAAAGGTGACTCTCGAATAGAAAGAGTCATGTTCTGGACTCGATGAAGTGTTGGACTCAGGCGGAGCTTGTCGCCTTCCGTCGTCTCTCTCGCGTGGGTATTGATTCCGAAGAGCGCGGTGAGGAACCTCAACCGTGAGGACATGGAAACATCGGCATTTGCACGATTTCGGAGTACATGTAGAAACCCTTGCAAAAGTTCAGGAGGCCGCTGTTCTCGAAAGTCTGAGGCGGTGGCTCCTGCCACAATCGCTCCAGGCGGAGCTCTACCTAGATGCACATCAAACCCTGTACTGGCTTAGTTCTGGGGGCGCGAGTAAGGGTCTGGTCTCAGTGACCTGTATCCATGCAAGTACGGTCTGTTGGTTGATCGCTCTCGGTGGCTGCGTGGACGTAGGAGGGCTGTATCTAGGTCAATTAAGCAGGACGTGCACGCCTGCGAGCCAATATTTGATGTCTGCGAGGTCTTGGTATTGCGTTCTTGGTTCAGTGATAGCACGGAAAGCCATGCTCCGAGGTATTTTAGTTGATTTCGAAGTGAGGACGACACGGAGTCTGCTGACATGGAGCACTTGATGTGTTCGCCGGGACAGGGGTCTTGCCTACCCCGAGCAAGAAGGCACTTTGACCTCAGCCAATTCAAACATTCATTGCACGCACTCGCATATCTACATGTATCTGATAGGCACCACATCACATGCAAGCTCCACGCGAGTCGACGACCACTTGTATCGCAGCGAGTCAAAGCAGGCGCAGGGACCACCGGGTCTGGCAGCGTGCGAGTCAGGAAGGCTTGACTTTGGCGCTTGCATGGGTCTTTAACACCCTTGCTGACCACGACTTGTCAACCCCAAGCCTGCCTTTCTGACCAGGGCCTCGTGATTGATCTTAGACGAGCACTCGCTGGGGTAACTCACGCCGGGTCAACTTCATACAGTGCATAGGTACTCGCTATGTTACATTGTATTACATGTGATTTCGTGTCGGGGCGCCTGCCAAGCGTCACCTCCACACCAACTTGTTCCCCCCGTCCCGGCTCCGACGGTCTCGGCTCCGAGATTTCCCATCCACCTCCTCTGCCGCCTTTTGGCATCCACCCCACCCCCCTTCCACTATGTGCAGAAGGGGAAAAGGCAGGTCGACTCACACGCCGTCCTGGCGCCTCAACCGTTCAGCTGACACTGCAAACTGTAGGGCTGTCAGGGAGAGCCATTGAGCATGAGCGGAAGGAGCACGGTACATAGTCTCCAAAAGGCTACACCGTCGCTGATATCGAATGCGGACGACCCTTTAACCACCGTTCGCGTGCTGCAAGTAATTACGGCTCAGCCACGAGTCAAGGCACCGGTGAGAATGGAGCATGTTCGGCCCCTACGCTTGCTCCTTGAATGCTGGTCTCAAAGTCGCTTCACAAGGAACGAAGTATGTGTTCAAGTTCTGGCAGTTCAACCGGGAATGACATGCATTACGAACAATCACGAAGTCATGGCTGAGTTGAGGCGATTTTATTGCTACTTTTACTGAAGAGGGTACACATGCAGCACACTCCCGACAGCATGAGGATGACTCGGCAAGGTCGACGCATGTGCCGCGACAGACTTTCGTGGACGTCCTTGATGCTTCTTGGTACCGACATGGGCGTGATGAGTAGCTGAAATCGCAGCCACGGATGTTGAATCGCAGTATATTCGGAAGGAACGCGTGCGAGCCTGTTACATGCGTCCAATGGCAGCAGTCAATCGCGGCTCCTGGACTGCATGAGTCTCTCTGCCAGACTGATCTCGCTAGCCCTTGTTTCGTGGATGTATAGGTCGAGCATCGATACCGCTTCAGCCGGAACAGAGGCGACATTGCCGGTATATGCACATGCAGTGTGTTGCTGCCCGTAACCCCTAGTGAAGCTTTGGCTTTAGTACAGGGACAGACAATACAATGACTTTAATGCAACTCGGAGAGATATACCCTGCGGAAGTTTGGGCCTGAGTGTTGGTAGACGCCTCATCGGCGGTAGGCTCATGTCCCGTCTCCACAACCATTGACGAGGGCGACTTGCTGCCCATTGCCACGACAGTATGGACAGCAAGGGCAGAGATGTAATGTTGGACGAGACAGAGGTGAAGGGAGCAGGAAGTTTGAAGGAAGGAAGGGAAGGAAGGAAGGAAGGCTCAGAGGCAGGAGAAGATCTCCTCACGTACCGCACCAACATTGGCTTGGTTGGACTTGGGGAAGCGCTCGGGACGCCATCTTATATACTTGGGCTCGGCCAACTCCAGTGTCTGCTCAGTTCCATAAAAGTGGTGCGTTGGAGCCCGCGGAGGACAGGTTTGTTGCGTGGTGTAAAACGAGGGATGGTGGAGGTAGTGTCTATTTGTGCGGCCAAGTAGGCGTCAGCGTCTCTTCGAGGTGGACTGCCACCACGCTGACTCGACCAGCGGCGGGGTCCTTGCAACCGGTCGCTACCCATGCTGGAGCGAACCCGCGCCCCCAGTGCTTCGACAATCCTTTACTCGGTTGCGTGGCAGAGGGACGCCTCAATGTAAGCCATGGCACGCACGCACGCACGCACGCACCGAGCGGGCCAGCCGGGACCAGGGGGGGCTTAAGGACTGGATAACACATGCAGTGGGAGACACCTTGACCCCCCTTGAGACTAATTGCGCCTCTTTGGGAGTTGCGTTGCCTTGTCTGCTGGAGATGGAACGGGGGGATGCGCCTCGTACCAGATTGCAACAATAGACTGTGCCATTTCTGGCTTGGTTTGCCTGACTTCAAGCACGACCGAGTTCGAATCGAATCACAGGGGTGCCCCTTTACCCCATTGGCCCTGCGCTTGCTAACTATGGCACGGATCCCAGTTCGCGACTGTGGAGAGCCGCTGCAGCTAGTTGACCAGGATCAGGTTCAGGGCTTTGATGTCTGGTGTGGGGGTGCATGTCGTCGGCCGTGACGACTTGGAACCTGCACGACAATGGTGGCGTTGGGTCCGGAGGCGCTGCAGCACTGACCATCAGAAAAGGCAGCCGGTGGGTTCCAACGGGGCAGCTTCAATGTCAAGACGAGGGTGTTGAGGGGGTGGGCTCAACACTATTTGGAGTTAAACCTGTTCGCCTTAGGGTCGGGCGTAAGCGCAAGATCTGTCCAGGTTCTCCCGCCCTGCAGGGGTCGTCCATGGGAGGGCGTCGCTTCGCGCCTCGCGCCTGTTCGCGGGCGACTCGACTCGACGGCGGCCGCACATGTATGGATGAGGAAGCGCGGGCCTTGATTGGGGATTGGGTACCGGGCTGACTTCGCGCACGCTCTCAACCACTTCCCTCAGGCGGACCAAGCTGGCTTGGCTGTTGGTGTGGGGATCGGGCCACCTGGTTATGGCTTCTCTGCGCCTCAGCCAACATGAAGTAATGCCCGGCATGTCCGTCGAACGAGGGCGCGGCGGGTCCCCAGTACGTCCGTCGCCGTGACTCTCAGGTCTGTGACCGTGCCCTTGTGGCTGGCTGTTGGCGACCTTTCTGTGTGGAAAGGGCTGGTGTGGCAGGTCGTCGGACTTGCGC